ATTTATTTTAAAAGTACCATAATGAAAATGAATGATCAAGATTAATTAGACCTCTTTTTTGGCAGAAGCAATACAGTTGAGATTGATAAACTCATCGAGAGCACAATTTATCTGAGCAAGTCATTGGATATGGATTAATATTAGATTAATTTATAATTTCTATTGCCATTACAAAAGGATTAATATTAGCTCTTTAGTATTTATCCAAAAGGAAGTGTCTAATATTAAGCAAGAGTGAGGGAATAGTTATAAGAGGACGAGTAAAGATTGATATAAAAGCAGCAACAGATCTCAAGGTTATAATAGATGGCCCAATAGATGGAATAATTGGATTAACTCTTCTAGGAAAAACAACTCTTGACTATGTAGGCTGAGAAAGATAGACAGGAAATGTTTGATTATTAAGTAGAAATGAGAGCCCAAAAGCAATTTTAATAGGATCAATAGGTTAGATAGTAAAGAATTAAATAATTGGAAAATTTAGAGAAAAATATGAATTAAGCAGTCCAAAAATAATTAGATTTGTAATAATAAGAATAAGAATTTTTAAATAAGTAATTCAGAAAAACTCAGTTGGCTGACAATTTTAGGATTGTTTCATTATAAGAAGAGGAAGCATTACAAAATTTAGAGTATTAGATATTTAGTAAATTTCAACATCAAATGGAACAAAGATCCAAGTAGGAGAATCAAAGAAAAATTCAATCGCAATTAGAGTTTAGATCAAAGGAAAAAGAATTATTAGATCAAATCAAATAAGAATAATGGAAAATGGATTCACAACAATAATAAATAAAAGTGGAATAGTTAAAGTAGTTAAGAATGTAATAAATTCAAGAATTAGAAAACGAGGCTTAGTTAGAAGAAGTTGAGTATTAGGAGAGAATACATCAATTTCAATAAGATTTAAAGATGATTTAGTTAGAAAGAGAAAAAAAGCTAAGAGATCAATTATTCTAGGAATAGATAAGCAAAGAAGAATAACAATTGAGAGACAAGAAACAAGTTGAGGACAAAAAGAGATAAAGTAGTATATAGAGAAGATAACAATTTGAACAGGAGATGGACAGAATAGCCAAATAACATTAAGAGAAATTGAGGATGTAGGAATAGTAATTAATGGAATAGTATAAAAAATCATAGAGCTTTTCAAACTAACCATATTAGCAAAATTACTATTAAAATAGTAATTATCAAAATAATTTTGAACAAAGCTCAGGTGATGTAAGAGAACCAATGACAAGTTAAAAATTATCAAGTGCTTTGTATGATTTTCAATCAAGCCAGAAGTAGTAACAATTTTCACCTTCGATGCTGGTTGAAGATGAAAGAGAGAAGATAAATTAATTAAGAAATCAATTAAGAGATGAAATGTAAAATATAAGGGAAAGAGAGCATGATGAACAATTACAATCAATGTTGAGAGAAAGGGAATAGGAGATATTCAAAAGAACCTAGTAAATAAGAGATCAAATCAATTAAGAAGTTGAAAATAAAAATAATTCAAGTACACATTTTAATTCATATTAGCATATAACACAGGATAATTCTAAAGACAGTAATAATATTATAGCCCAGGATCATCATCACAATTTTCACTTTACAAACCATAATAAGAGGTGGATATCGAACCAAGGGACTTGTCGGAATCTTAGTTGACATATAGTAGTGGATTCACTTCTCCAGGTTAACGTTATTGATAATTTATAATAAAATAATTTTCAAACTAAAACTTTTGGAGCCAAATGCTGTATAATTTAAAGTAAAGTCTAGTTTAAAAATATATTTATATATAAAAAATGGATCAAGACCATGATTATTCTTTTGAACATTTATAAGAGTTAGCAAAATAAAAAAATATATCATATGTTTTAAAAAGAGATGGAGGAAAATAAAATATAGATATTTAGAAAATAGCTGAAAGATTATAAAATTTAGCTTCAAATCTATAGCATATCAATATAAACTTAATAATGTGGAAGGTTATTCAAGGAATGTATGAAGGTATTTAATATTCTAAGAATTTATTTTAGGAATAACAACTGTATAATTGGACAATTTGGCGGCAGAAACTTGTGCTTATATGAATTTGGTACATCCACAATATTCTTTATTGGCTGCAAGAATAGCAGTCAATAATCTTCATAAGGAAACAAGTGAATCTTTTAGTGAAGTGGCTACAAAATTGCATTCTTTCACAGTAAATTATTGTTAAAGATTCTAGGATAAATACGGTAGACCAGCTTCATTGATTGCAGATGATGTCTATAAGATTATAATGGATAATAAGGATATCATTCAAAAAGAGATTAATTATGAAAGAGATTATCAATATGACTTTTTTGGCTTTAAGACTTTAGAAAGAAGCTATTTATTAAAGGAAGGTAAGAAGCCAATCGAAAGACCATAATAATTGTTGATGAGAGTGAGCATTGGTATTCATAAAGAGGATCTGCAATCAGCCTTTTAGACTTATCATTTAATGTCTTAGAAGTACTTCACTCATGCCACACCAACATTATTTAATAGTGGCACTCCTTATCCTTAAATGTCATCATGTTTTTTGTTGGATATGGTGGATGACTCAATCGAAGGTATTTATGAGACTCTCAAGAGATGTGCTCTGATCAGTAAGTAAGCAGGAGGCATAGGATTAAGTGTATCTAAGATCAGATCATAAGATAGTTATATTAGAGGAACTAATGGAATTAGCAATGGATTGGTGCCTATGTTGAAAGTGTTTAATGATACAGCAAGATATGTAGATTAAGGAGGTGGCAAAAGAAAGGGATCCTTTGCTATTTATTTAGAACCATGGCATAGTGATATTATAAGTTTCTTATAGTTGAGAAAGAACCATGGGATTGAAGAATAAAGAGCAAGAGATTTATTTTTAGGTTTATGGATACCTGATTTATTTATGTAAAGAGTGAAAGATGATTCAGATTGGACGTTGATGTGTCCAAATGAATGTCCAGGTCTCTAAGATTGTTATGGTTAAGAATTTAACACTTTGTACACTGAATATGAATCTAAAAATATGGGTAGAGTGACAATGAAGGCAAGATAATTATGGTAGGAAATCATTGATGCTCAAATATCAACTGGATTACCATATATGTTGTATAAAGATGCTTGTAACTCGAAAAGTAATCAAAAGAATTTAGGTACAATAAAAAGTAGTAATCTATGCACTGAAATCATATAATACACATCACCTGATGAAGTTGCTGTTTGCAACCTTGCTAGTATTAATTTGTAAAAGTTAATCAAAGAAGATAAAACATTCGATTTTGATAAATTATTAGAAATTACAAAAATAATTACAACAAATCTGAATATCGTCATTGATTTGAACTTTTATCCCGTTAAATAAGCAGAGTACAGCAATAAAAGAAATAGACCTATTGGTATTGGTGTCTAAGGATTCGCAGATGCATTACAAAGAATGAAAATCCCATTTGATTCAGAAGATGCTTTAGAATTGAATGCCAAAATCTTTGAAACTATCTACTATGGAGCATGTCAAAGATCCTTAGAATTAGCGTAGTAACTTGGACCTTATGAGACTTTTGCAGGCAGTCCTGCTTCCTAAGGAATTTTGCAATTTGATATGTGGGGTGTGAGTCCAAAATTATATGATTGGAATACTCTGAAATAGAATATTGTTAAGTTTGGAATGAGAAATTCTCTATTAATTGCACCTATGCCAACAGCATCAACAAGCCAGATTCTGTAAAATAATGAATCATTTGAACCTTATACAACCAACATCTATACACGAAGAGTTCTAGCTGGAGAATTCGTTTGCATCAATCCTCATTTAGTTGATGATTTGATTGAATTGAACTTATGGACACCTCAAATCAAGAATAAATTAATCATGAATAATGGTTCAGTCTAGAATATAGATGAGATTCCTATTAATATCAAATAATTATATAAGACTGTTTGGGAGATCTCCTAAAAAGCTATATTGAATTTGGCCACTTCCAGAGCCCCATATATTGATTAGAGTCAGTCCTTAAATATCCACATGGCGGAACCAACTATGTCTAAAGTAACGTCCATGCATTTCTATGCTTGGGAAAAGGGATTGAAAACAGGTACAAATAAATATAATTATAATTAGGAATGTATTATCTGAGAACTAGACCTGCAGCAGATCCTATAAAATTCACAGTTGATGTTGAGGCACTATTAAAAGAAGGAGGCCAAATAAAAATATAATAATAATAATCAAAATAAGAGTTGATTGATGAAAGTGCATCTAAAAAGATTGTTACTAATGAAGGAAAAACAGTAAAGAAGGGGAAACCTCAAATTATTGTTACTGAAGATGGTGATGAAGTTGAGGTTTGCCTAAATTGTGGCTCTTGAATATAATTATATTTTCTTTTATTAAAGAATTCTTTACTCTTGTGAATATAGAATAACTAACAAAAAAGATGGATACTGTAATATACTTATGTAATTATACTCATTAGGCAGGCTATTCTGTTTCTTCGTTTCTTCTGGGTGCTCCTCTATTTCCTCTTCCAAATGATCTTCCTCCTTTTCCACCTCTTTATCTTGCCTCTGGAGCATCGTCTTCAAATTTCTTATCAGCCTTTTTGAATGTTGCAGGAATGACATCTTCTACGATACCTAGAAAATTGTAGAATTCACATAATACCCAATTTGTCTCTTACATATTTAACACCTTCTGCTTTGAGATAATAGTAGTAATATTGCCATGAAAATACTAAATCCACTAATTTCTTGTCTCTTAAGCTTCTCAATAACATCCAGACTTCAAGATTCTTAACTCCTGTTTCAGCATGCAATGGGAGTGCCATGTCCTATCATCATATAATTCATCGTATACCTTCTTAATTACAATAACACCTTCCAATAACAAGTATTCATAAACTTTTCTTCTGTCTTGTCTCTTAACTTGAACCATGCAAAAATAATGGATTTATTTTTTATTTAAAAAATATTTAAACTAATTATTACATAAAAAATGGAAGAAAAAACTATGGAAATAACAAAGCTGGTATGTAGTACTTCTAATCATAGAAAATTGAATTAAATGCATAAAAGCACTTAAAGTAGATAAGATTTAAGACATTTGAAAACATTAGAGAATTGCGAGCCAAATTAGAATACGATGATTTAATAAAAGAATTTGATGAGCAATGCAATATTGTTGGTATTATCTTACTAATATTAGATGAACAATAAATAGATGAATAGTTAGATTAAAACGCAAAAGAAGAGCAAGCACATTATGCCTAAGTCTATGAAAAATCAATGTTGGCCAACTTAGATAATATCAATTTTGATGAGGTTCCAACCCTCGAAGAAGAGTATGTTTCATGAATATAATATTACTAACAATCATCTTTAAATTAATAAAACTTTTTCACAAATCAACTTAAATTTCTAGCTAACTAAATTATAAACTAGAAATTTTTTTAAATTTAAAGCACTCCATTTATCAAGGAATCTAAATTACCTTTAATGATATCATATAATAAAAAATTTCAATCCCGCCTAATTTGGTTGTAAATGTATTTTTTATATTTGAGTTATAATTATTTAACGTATAATGTAAATTTAGTTCTAAACTAATTTATTAGTTATCTTTAAATGATAGAATTAACAAACTCTCCTTTTATAAATTAATACTATATATTAAATTAAGAGATTTGATATGAAAATACTTTAATCGTCTATTATTGATTTGATTAATAATTTTAATATGATAATAAAGGAAAGAATGAGAATAGAATTTTAAATTTAAATTAGTTTTTATTAGTAAATTCAAGATGAGTAAATATGTTGTTACCTTTATGAGGAATAAAGAGCTGAGTTAGGATGAATAGTTAAAGAAAAAAAAGAAAAAATTAAATTAAATTTTTAATTCTCGTAAAAATTAAAGAGATGAATAATATATTCCGATTCAAGTCATTTATGCGAACTCCTATGTTTTGGTTTAGCCAACCTATGCACAAGTTAATTAGAAACATTGGTGTTTCAGCTCATATCGATTCTGGGAAAACTACATTTTCAGAAAGAGTGCTCTATTATGGTGGAAGAATTCACGAAATTCACGAAGTTAAGGGAGCAGATTCAGCTGGAGCAACAATGGATTTTATGGAACTTGAGAAAGAGAAGGGAATTACAATTTAAAGTGCTGCAACTCATTTGAAATGGAAAGGACATTAAGTGAACTTGATTGATACCCCAGGACATGTTGATTTTACCATAGAAGTAGAAAGAGCATTGAGAGTGCTTGATGGTGGAGTATTGCTGATTTGTGGAGTGGCAGGAGTCCAACCTTAAACATTGACAGTTCATAAATAAATGTCAAGATATAAGGTGCCAAGAATCATATTCATAAATAAATTGGATAGAATGGGAGCAAATCCATGGAGTGCCATATAGAGTATCAGAAAGAGATTGTCATTAACAGTCGCAGCAGTACAAATCCCAATCGGATAGGACTAAACATTTAATGGGTTAGTAGATTTGATTAAAATGAAGGCTTATTTCTTTGAAGGATTGAAGGGAGAGGATGTAAAGGAAACCGAAGTTCCAGAGAGATACATGGAGGAAGCAAAGGAGAAGAGATAAGAATTGATTGAGACTTTGGGAAGTATTGATCCAGAGATAGAGGATTTATATTTGAATGAGTAACCAATTAGTGAAGAGAAATTAAAAGCATCTATTAGAAAGAATTGCTAAGATCACAAGTTCTACCCAGTGTTTATGGGAAGTGCATATAAAAATAAGGGAGTTTAATTGGCTTTGGATGGTGTCGTAGATTATTTACCTGCTCCAGAAGAGAAACAGAACTTTGGATTCTAAATATCATAAGATTAAAAGGAAGAGAAAAAGATTGAATTTAAAACAGATCCTAAATTACCATTCGTTGGTTATGCCTTTAAGTTAGAAGAAAATAAATTTGGATAATTAACATACGTTAGAGTATATTAAGGTAAGTTAAAGAAAGGAGATTATGTTTATAATATGAAAACAAAGAAGAGAGTAAAGGTTGCTCGTATGGCTAAGATGCATGCAAATTAAATGGAAGAAATCAATGATGTTGAAGCTGGAGATATCTTTGCAGTATTTGGAGTAGATTGTTCAAGTGGTGACACTCTTGTCTATGGAGATATGAATTATCAAGTATTATGTTCAAGTATGTTTGTTCCATAACCAGTCATGTCATTATCTATTAAACCTACTAAGAAGGAATACTCTGCAAGATTCTAAAAAGCTTTATCTAAATTTTAGAGAGAAGATCCTACCTTTAATGTTGATATGGATAAAGAAAGTGAGGAAATCATTATTTCTGGAATGGGTGAATTGCATTTGTAAATCTATGCTGAACGTATGAGAAGAGAATTTGAAATTGATGTTCAATTGGGTCAACCAACTGTTAACTATAGAGAAACTATTACATAAAAATAACAATTTGATTATTTGCATAAAAAGTAAACAGGAGGTGCTGGACAGTATGCCAAAGTTATTGGATACATGGAACCACTCTAATTAGAAGAAGGTTAATTCTCTAATCAATTTGAAAATCACGTCATTGGTACAAGTATACCCAATGAATACATCACTGCTGTTGAAAAAGGATTCTATGAATCAGTAGACAAAGGTCCTTTGACTGGTTACCCTGTTGTTAATGTTAGATTCGTTTTAGAAGGAGGAGAAACTCACGTTGTAGATTCATCCTCGAATGCTTTCATGACAGCAACCAAATATGCATTTGCTTAAACCTTCAGATAGGCCGGACCTGAAATTTTGGAACCAGTTATGGCAGTAGAAATCATGGTTCCAGCTCCCTCATATTAATAAGCCATGGTTGGTATTGCCAAAAGAAGAGGGTCAGTTACAAATACTGAATCTCGAGGAGATATGTTTGTATTAAACGCAGATGTGCCATTGTCTCAAATGTTTGGATATGCAACTGAATTGAGAGGGTTTACATCTGGACAAGGAGAATTCTCACTTGAATACAAAAGACATGATCCAGTCCCCCCTAATGAAATTGAAACTATCATTGCCAAATTCAAAAAGTAAAAGAGAGGATAATGATTTTGAGTTGCTTTTGTTAAAATATAAATATTTGTCTAATATACTGTATTAAATTAAATTAAGATCTAAAGTATGGTTGCCAAGAATAATTTCAAATTAAAATTATCTTCTAAAAAATAGGGAACTTAGTTGATTTTAGTCTACATAGTCAATTGAGAGGATAATTTTAAGTTTTTTTAGTAACTTTAATATCATTAAAGAATATTTAATCACAAAAATTTGCTTAATATTTATTTTAATTGTAAATAGAAGAGAATATATATGTTAAATAATGCAAGAAAGTAAATAAGTAGACCTAGAAAGGGCCAGAAATAAAGAAATTAAATAGATAAAACAAATTGTAAGAGTGTTAATTTCAAATCCAATTAGGCGGCATGTTATGTGTATTTAATATTTATCAATTATAGATAAACTACAGCAAAGAAAGTAAAGAATGATAAAACTGTTTCTCTTCTCATGGTTGAGGAAATTCCTTTCGCATAAAAAAGAATTCAATAAATAAATTCATAAAAGTAAGAGAATATGATTTGCGAGGGGCTTTCTAAAAATTAATTTCCATTTACTTTAAATAACTCTTTAGAAGATAATACTTAAGAAAATGGATCAGATACTTTGTTTGAGTTTATGAGAGAATAAGTAAAATTTGAAGAAATTTATAGTTATTAAAAAAATTACTTAAGCAACTAGAATGAAATTTAAAGTCATATGGTTGCCATTTTATTTGATTGGTTGGTTGATGTCGCACATTCCTTTCATTTCAAAAGGGAAACCTTTTATCTATCTAGAAATTACATTGAAAGATTTCTTCACAAACAACCAAATGTTTCAATCACTAAATTCCAACTTATTGCTGTGACTTCCATATTCATAGCTCATAAATTTGAAGAAATCTATCCTAAAACTATCAAGGAATTTCATCGACTTATCTAAGATTTACATACAATTTAAGAGATAGAGGAAATGGAAGTTACAATTTTAAAATGCTTTGATTTCAGAATGAATCCAAATACTCCAATATTTTGGTTGAATTACTACACAAAATTATGGGATGAATTTATTATTGATAAATAACTCAATGCCTCATTGAAGGAGAGAACTACTGAATCTTATTATAGATATAGAGAACTCGTCTAATTGTTTGATGTCTGCCTTATAGATTATAGATTTAAAAAAAATGAAAAATTGACTGCTTTGAGTTTAATCTATTTAGTTATAGCAAAATCATTACAAATATTCGAAGATTACAGAACCTTAGCTACTTCTCAATCAGAAATTCAACAATTTTTCGATTCAGATCATGAATATAATTAAATATTCAGATAATTTATAGAATAATCAGATTTATATTTATTTTTTGATTAAAAAATAGAGGTAATTAAATCTATTATAATATAGTATGATGACTTAAAAGATGTAGTTTGCGAGACTACCTAATACTTCATACTTCGATTTGATAATACGTTGCCAAAAGTCTTAGTAAACAATCAGGATTTTATAGATGAAGTAATTTCAATTATTAAATTAGTTGTAACATGAAGAGTTCCTCTCATTCCAAACATACAATAGAAATACAATAGAAACCATAAATTTCCTCTTAACATAATAATAATGAACTTCTATATCTTTATTTCAATATTATAATTATATAATATAATAATTCAAACATCTCTTTAAAAAAGAAACAAACTCTCAACCTGATCCTATCTTAAATTACGACAATATTATTGAGATAATTTAGAATACAAAGGAGAACTACAATAGTAGCAAATTATAAAATTGCTAACTAAATTCACTTATATATCGATTCATTAATTGACAAGAATAAAACAATAAACATAAAAGATAAAAAATAAAGGAATAAAGAACTTCTGAAAATTGAATAAGAAAAAATCAACAAACATTTCAACTCGAAATACTTGATTGCTATTAATAATTTTAGGAGTGCTTTATGTCCAAACGAATTATAACTTAAAAGTTAAATTTTACATATTATTTAAGAGGAAATTCTATAAGAGATGTGTTTATAAATTAAATTAAAGCATATTAAAATGAGTATATTCTCTATAAAATAATACAACTGATTGGTATGCCTATCTAAATTTATGGAGAATATTAAAGGAATCTATAAATTGAATTATTAGTAAAGGCAGAAGTATTAAATTAACAAGTATTTATTGTATTCATTTTCATTTCAAGAGAATCGTAAACAAATAAGGGTTTCTCAATATACCGAATCTTAATTTAAATTTAAAGTATCAAATAAACTAGGAAAATGTCAACAAATTTTAGTTAAAGGAAATCTTAAAAAACACATATCGAAATCATCTAAAATAAAAGTTTTCTTTCTTAATCAAGACTTGTTTATCTAATTTCGAGAAAATAAATTAATGAATACTAAAATTAGAAAACCTTTAAAATATAATATATTTATAAGATTGATTTGTTGCCAAGAAATACAATCCTAAATTGCATAAAATATATACAAAATGGATATTAGATATGTTATTTATGTGAAATTTTTTCCATTTATATCTATATTTTAGGTGACCTCTAAAACTGATTAACTATTACTGATTTTAATTCTCAGAATATTTGCATATTTATTGAGATGACACATCCATAATTTGTTATTACCAAGAAATAAGTAAATTTAGAAGGGATCTAATAAGGTAATTCTAAAAGTAGCTTTCATACAGTATTTAACTCCTGAATTTGTAATGCCTTAAATTTTTATTAGAATTAGATTGAATCAGCTTAGTTAAGATTGGGGAACTCAAATTAGTTAAGGATTGCTTGTGTAATATGAAAAATGTTTGGCAATGGTTATGATTGTCAATGGGGCATATTTGATAAAAAAAGGATATTTTTATTATTAATATTATTGTATATATAAAATTAATGCAGCAGTAGAATCCAATCCTTTTGACAATCTCAAACATTCTGGACGAAATAATCAAAGAAACCGATGCTCTTGAAGTAGAATCAAATTCCATATTTCACGCAATAGCAGCTCCGGCAATCTCAATCTATAATTATTTACAAAGAATAAATAAATACACTCACTGCAGCGAATAATGCTTTGTCATAGCTCTGATATACTTAGACAGACTTTAAGAAAAACACTCATATCTAGTATTAAATTCCCATTGTATACATAGGTATTTCAATCTTAATTACATCCTTTATAGATTTTTACTATTGGCGCTTGTGACTGCGATAAAATTTTAAGATGATGATTACTATAAGAATGAATATTATGCTAAGGTTGGGGGAATAAATTTGAAAGAAATAAATAAGCTAGAATAAGAATTCTTGGAATATATGAATTATGAATTGTTCATAGATGAACAATAATATCTAGTGTATGAAAAGAGATTGTTAGAGTATGGCGAAATAGAAATGTCTTGATGCTTAATTTATCATTATATTTTTTGTTCTTTTATATTAAAAATCTCTTCTTTTTTTATGTAACAAAGCTAAATTCATTTCTTAATTCATAAATAATACAAATTTAGAATCTACTGTTTCAATCTGCTAAAAATTATATATTTATCAATTAAAAAAATAGTTTGATTGATTCAATAAAATTCAACCTATTTTATATTAATGAGATTAAAATCAAAAAATAAAACATTCGCATATATTGATCTTTTAATCTGATCTTCTTGCAAAATTTTGATTGATATTTCCAATATTTTCAATGTCCTGAATAAATGATATCTCATCTAACTCTGTTATAGTATCCAATCTATTATCACTATTTCTCTCAATTTATTGCACATATCTCATGACATTATTGAATTCTGAAAATTGAATCATTCCATCTCCATTATCATCAAAAAAATCAATTATTTCTTTAATCTAAATATATATAATAGTCAATTATTACATTTTGATTGGTCAATGAATTTGTATTTGCAAACATCTTAATCATTTTTGAAAATTGATGTCTCTCTAAAGTATCCTTTTTAGTAGTAGCAAATTATTCGAAGAGATCTCTCATATTATACTATTTCAATGCTATGGCTAATTTGGACAAAATTTTAATATTTGAATTTGACAAGTGTCTGACAATCTTCACTCTTTTAGGATGATTGTAAAAGACACAAGTCTTGAATTCCTTATAATTAACTTTTCCATCAATCTAAAACTCTTAAAATAAACACTAAATATCATCAGCACTGAGACTTTCACTTTAATTAATTTATTTTATAAGGTTTTGGAACTCTTCAGCATTCAATTAACATAACTATTCTTAGATATTTAAATTCTTTAACAATTCATCCATCTAATCTTCTGATCCAATTTTGTCTCTTATACTCTGAGACAATATAAACACCTTTTTTAAACCACTATTTTATTAGATATCAACTTTTCCGAAATAACTACATACATAAGGATGTCTAAATAAATCATCCCAATTTATTCTCTTATCTTCATTCGCTTATAAACAATTAATAATTAAATCTTGGCAAACTGTCGAGATTTTTGGATATTATGGAAACGTTATTGGAACACTTAATATCTTTTAAACCAACTCATCTTCTGATTTTCCTATCCAAGGGACTAAAATAATTTAAAAGTATACGAGTATTGAATATAATTTAATATAAAATTATCCCAAAACTCCAAATATCGCTTTTTGTTGTGTATTATTCTTCTTTAAGTAATTAAGGACTCATGTACGCAGGTGTGCCCAAATTACTCTTTAATATTTACGCTTTGTAATTGAATATAGTCTTTGCATAACCGAAATCAGCTAATTTAAAGATCTTTCTTTTTCCTTCCTAATGAACCAATACATTTGCTGGTTTAAGGTCTCTATGTGCTATTCCTTATCTGATTAATGTCGTAAAGGCATTTAAGATGTCTTANAGTTTGATTGATTCAATAAAATTCAACCTATTTTATATTAATGAGATTAAAATCAAAAAATAAAACATTCGCATATATTGATCTTTTAATCTGATCTTCTTGCAAAATTTTGATTGATATTTCCAATATTTTCAATGTCCTGAATAAATGATATCTCATCTAACTCTGTTATAGTATCCAATCTATTATCACTATTTCTCTCAATTTATTGCACATATCTCATGACATTATTGAATTCTGAAAATTGAATCATTCCATCTCCATTATCATCAAAAAAATCAATTATTTCTTTAATCTAAATATATATAATAGTCAATTATTACATTTTGATTGGTCAATGAATTTGTATTTGCAAACATCTTAATCATTTTTGAAAATTGATGTCTCTCTAAAGTATCCTTTTTAGTAGTAGCAAATTATTCGAAGAGATCTCTCATATTATACTATTTCAATGCTATGGCTAATTTGGACAAAATTTTAATATTTGAATTTGACAAGTGTCTGACAATCTTCACTCTTTTAGGATGATTGTAAAAGACACAAGTCTTGAATTCCTTATAATTAACTTTTCCATCAATCTAAAACTCTTAAAATAAACACTAAATATCATCAGCACTGAGACTTTCACTTTAATTAATTTATTTTATAAGGTTTTGGAACTCTTCAGCATTCAATTAACATAACTATTCTTAGATATTTAAATTCTTTAACAATTCATCCATCTAATCTTCTGATCCAATTTTGTCTCTTATACTCTGAGACAATATAAACACCTTTTTTAAACCACTATTTTATTAGATATCAACTTTTCCGAAATAACTACATACATAAGGATGTCTAAATAAATCATCCCAATTTATTCTCTTATCTTCATTCGCTTATAAACAATTAATAATTAAATCTTGGCAAACTGTCGAGATTTTTGGATATTATGGAAACGTTATTGGAACACTTAATATCTTTTAAACCAACTCATCTTCTGATTTTCCTATCCAAGGGACTAAAATAATTTAAAAGTATACGAGTATTGAATATAATTTAATATAAAATTATCCCAAAACTCCAAATATCGCTTTTTGTTGTGTATTATTCTTCTTTAAGTAATTAAGGACTCATGTACGCAGGTGTGCCCAAATTACTCTTTAATATTTACGCTTTGTAATTGAATATAGTCTTTGCATAACCGAAATCAGCTAATTTAAAGATCTTTCTTTTTCCTTCCTAATGAACCAATACATTTGCTGGTTTAAGGTCTCTATGTGCTATTCCTTATCTGATTAATGTCGTAAAGGCATTTAAGATGTCTTAAAGAAAAATCATATGATCGTCTAATTTGATAATGTTCTTTTATCTAAGTAGAGAATCTAAATCTCCGAGATTGCAATATTCTAATATAATATAATAATGATCTTTGGTTTAAAGAACATCAAGGATTTCTATTATATTTGGATTTTTAATTCTCTTGAGCATGTTAATCTCATTCAATAAATGTTCTTCGTCATCTAAGTCAATAAATATAAGATAGAACCTGCACTTTAAAGATCTGCCTTAAGAATTTATTTAATGGCAACATTTTACTTTGATCGAGTATCAACTCCTTTGTAAACAGTAGCATATGAGCCTATTCCAATTTTTCCTTTCTTATAATTGTAACGGTAATGTTCGATTTGCTTTTCATTTCTATTCATTTATAATATCTAAAATAATATGCGAATAATAATTAGAAATTAAAATTGATGTTTTAATTAAGCCTTAATCCAATTCTTAAGAATTTAATTAAACTATTTTTCAATTATACCTGAAAGGTTGCATTTTAAAGATGAGATTAATGGGTCATTTGATTAAAGAAAGTTTTATATTTTAAAATAACAAATAAACTCAAAAATATCCTAAATAATTTTCTGTTATCCTATATTTAATCTAGTCTATTGTGTATTAATTCAATGCTTGATCTAGATCCTGATTCTTATTAGTTAGGATTTTAATCTATTAATTAAATTATTAGTACTTCAATAGTATTATCCAATAGCATTTTTTTAAGTAAGGCATAAATATTGATATTGGGGAAAATATGCATTAGCTTACCTAAACTCTGATTTGGATATCTTAATAAATAGTTCTTTAATTTTTCTGCAGCGTTCTTTTAGGATTCATAGTTTGCATTAGTTTTTTTGAATTATTTATTATGTTTATATTCTATTGGAGTTAGTTAATCACTTAAATTTGTGTATTAGATATATGTTAATGGATTCAATTGCCTTGTATCTATTTCCCATTCCTCCAATTGTGAAAATGACTTAGAACATTGCTATTAATTATAGACTTTTTATTCTAAGCCTAGCAATGCTCCAATAGAACTATCTTAAAGATTGACTCTCTAAAAGATTTCATTTGCAATCCTAACATCATAATTAGGTTTCAATTTCTTAATCACCTTCTTCATTTCCTTCTTATTTATCTTATTAATGGTTGAAATGAGTAATCCTACGGCTTATTTAATTTTATATTCGCTACCGTTGATCTTTTCATATTCACCTTTATCTTCTTCACTTTAATAAATATCCTTCTCATCACCTTCTAATTGTTCTTCTCCCTCAATATGAACTGGCTATTATTACTATTAATTCCCTTTGGTTTTAATTTTTTTTTTAATCTGACTTTGGCTTTCAATATAATCATTTTATTTTTGCTAATTGGATTTAAATGGCTTATCACTTTACGGCTCCCCCAACTTGAGTAATCCCTACTGCACAATCACATCGTTTTCATCAACACTCCAATGAGATATAAGCCATCGCTCACATTCTCTCTAGACTATTACTGTCTTTATGATATGAATATTCAAAAACTCAATTGTTTTTAGAGTCTTTAATAATGAATGAATCGTTCTAGTGTCAATTATACCATTATTTTCAAACATCTCACTATCAATTATTTAATCCTTCAATTCTTTGACAGTAGCTATTTTTTTACTGTGTAAATAATTGCAAATGCAAGCGAATCTGTTTATTTTCTGTTAAGAAACTTATATTTTCCTTTATCCTTTCTACTTCTTATCATTGTTAATATCCAACTAGCTATTATTCACATTATTTAAACATTCTCCAATCTTATAGTTATCCTACTCCACTACATACTCTTTCTAATTAAGCAATCTTTGTAAATCTGACAATACTGAAGTGTCAAAGTTAACAACCAGAGTACCTCTAATTGATACCTTTTAATTTGTTGAAACGTATGGCCACTTCTTTATAGGCTCTTTTGCTTTGTATCTATACATAAATATTTTGCCCCTTCTCTCTGCCACCTAATTGAGATCTTGTTCCACTTTGAATAAATTGTCAATCAACCTCGAAAATGACTTGCTTTCTTCACATTTATTCATTCTTTACCTCACTTCTGATTCAAGTAATGGTTCTTGTAGGTTAAGCCAAAGGTTCTAATAGAAATTGAATTCTTTATAATGATTTTGCTATTAATCGAAATTCTTTTCCTCTTCTTCATTTTCAAATCCTTTCCATTTCAGAAATTCACAAAATTTTCTTGCCTTTACCTATTTACAATGGCTCTTGCATGAGATATGCACTAAATTCAAATCATACAACTTTCTACAATAATGAGATATTTGATTTAACTCCAATAGCTTCCCTGATTTTGGTAATTTCTATTGAATCTATTGATAACTCAATCCCTCCTTATCCTTCAAGATTATTTAATAAATATCATCCATTACTTTTAAATACTTTTTATCCTCACTTTTGTCTTCAATATACAGATGCAATCTGTTCGATAGCTTCTTATACGATATTTTATCATTAGTAATTTAAATTCCTTATACACTTTACAACTTTTCAAATAATACCTCAGGTTCGAACCCAGGAAGACAATCATTCTTTTCCAACTTCTCGACCAAATCACTTTTTTGCATCTATCCTTTTATTCCAAGTAAAATAAGGGATTCCTTAATTACGATCTCCATAATTAATATAATTTTATTTTTTTACAATTCTAAAAAATTATATTGATTATTCAAAATGTTGGAAATTATCCATTTTTGTAATTATTTATAAGAGATGGGGTAGTGAAAGTGGATATGTGCTTAGATTTCTACTTAAAGATCATTTCAATTTATCGATTTATCTTAAATTATCTAAAAATAATATTAAAATATTAAGATTCTATTGTACAATAATAAAAAAATGAATTGAATCTCATAAATTTATCAATTTTGCATTTTAAATACCATTATTTTAAGGTTGGATTTATAATTAAATCACTAGTGCCTTTTAACTATTAATTTTAAGAACTGAATAGTCCAAAGTATATTTTTGATAAATCTAAAATTTAATTTAATTTGTTATTAGTTTGAATTAATGGAATACAATATTAAATATTATCAAATTCAATTTTTGTGTAAGAAACAATAATATCCATTTATATATTAAGTTACCTCAAAATCTATTGTTTGAATTAGATAAAAGATTCATTTATAATTTATTCACACATTTATGGAATTTAGTTCGTTTGATTTTAGAAATTAAAAGTAATAAATAATTAATCATACATAATTTATCTTGAAATTCGTATTAAAATAATAGTAATCATTAAATTTTTTTTAAATTAATTTCATATTTTGTTATTGAAAATATCTAAACCACTTGGATAAATTGTTATGAATAAAATAGTATTACTTATAATATCACAAAATCCTTATTGAATTCTTAAGAGTCATGAGATATTGCAAGAACAGTTATCTCTAGCATCATCATCTAGTATAATATTATAATCTTTCCAATTTTCTACTAGCACAATATCAACTAGCCCATAATTTGGTTGAACTTCATCTCTAAAACTAATTGAGTGATTCTTCTCCTTTTTGATAATTTCTTGATGAAACATATCAAGTCTAATTTTAGGTAACTTTTGTTTAAGTCTATCGTAATGAGAGGATCTCTCTTGAAAATCAAGAATATCAATAATTTCATTTTCATTATCTCCATTGCATTGTGAAACCTAGATCATCATCATAACTCTATATATATATATTTAAATATTTAGAATAATGAAAATAATATCTAACACTTATGAAATGGTGATCAAATAATGAGAACAAATAGTCCATAATATTTTGAACCTCAAACAATTGATATCTAAACATAGTTGCCACATCTTAGTGCTTCAGTTGAACTAAGATAATTGTGTGTTTAATATGCGTATAACTTGATTTAAGAACTTAATGAACAAAGATGATTAGGTTATATAAAATTGATTAAATGGTTAATATTAATTTATATATAAAAGTAAATAAAGATATTATTTAAAAAGATGGATCAATATGATTATGGAGATTAGGATGACTATGAAGATTATGATTATTAAGATGAGGAATTTTCAAACTACCAAGGATCGAATTTAAAAATATTAATGGTAATTTATATGACAATTTAAAGGTGGCTGAAAAAAATTCAATTGCTGAGGCTGTTGCATATGCGATTGGAAACAAAGTGAGAGCAAAAAAGGGCAGATAAGCATTCTATTATTTCTCAGGGATGTTTAAAGGACAGTAGGCAAATTTTACAGTGACTGCTACAAATGGGCATCTATTTTCAAGAGATTTTCCAAAAGAATATGAAAATTGGGTAATTATGATTATTGAGCTAAGAATTCATGTGATCCAATAGATCTCTTTTAAGCAAAAACAATAAAGAAGCCAGCAAATAAGGCAGCTATAGGGTTATTGAGGAAGTGTTCATCAGGGATAGATTATTTAATATTGTGGTTGGATAATGATAGAGAGGGAGAGAATATTTGTTTTGAGGTTGATGAAGTGTGTAATTCATAAGGAAGAGCAAAGTAATTGATTTTAGCTATTTAATTAGAAAATTGAGAGCAAAGTTTTCATCAATAACGCAAACAGATTTGAAATATGCGTACAATTAGTTGAATACAGGTCCAAACATCTTAGAATCTGAATCAGTAGATGCAAGATAGATTATTGATTTAAAAGTTGGAGTAGCATTCTCTAGATTTTAAACTCTTCACTTTTAAAAAAAGTATTCAATGGATTAGATGGTAACCTTTGGACCCTGTTAAACACCTACATTAGGATTTTGTGTAGAGAGACACGAAGAAATAGTGAATTTTGTACCTAAAGCCTTTTATACAATCAAATTGAGTATAGTGAATAATGTGGGTTACAAATAAGAAGTGGAATGGCTGGTATTAAAAATATTAAAGAATAGGGACAATAAATTTGGAAGGAACAAGAGGCTAAGTAAGTTGTGTAATAGCTGCAAAAATTTAAGTAAGGAGATGTCATTAGTCAACAAATCGAACAGAAATCAAAGCCCAGACCTGAGGGTATCAACACAGTCTCACTCTTGAAATTTGCCTCGTCTTATTTAGGGTTAGGACCTCAATAAGCTATGCATGTTGCTGAAAGATTATATTTAAATGGTTATATCAGTTATCCAAGAACAGAAACAACTGCATATCCTCACGAATTTCCAACTCCAAAAATAATCAATAATTTATAGAAATACAAGGATCCACTTATTAGTGAACATAGTAAATACTTGAAAACCAATGGTCATTCAAATCCTAAATAAGGAGTTGATGTAGGAGATCATCCTCCTATCACTCCAACTGAAAATGTACCATAAAATAATCTTTATGGGGAAGAAAAGACCATGTATGAATATGTGGTTAAGATGTTTTTGGCTGCTCATTCAAAAGATTGCAAATATGAAAATCATACACTCAAATTTGCTGTCAGCGATCATCAATTTAAATTCTAATCCAAATATATTTTGGATCCAGGATTCACAAAAGTAGCCACTTGGTTGGCAATCACTGAGAACAAGAGTGATTTAACTAAATTTGTTACCAATAACAAGGTGCAACTTGGATTTGTTGAATATTAATAAGGATAAACTAGTCCCCCTGACCATTTAACAGAAACTGAACTAATTACTTTGATGGACAAATTCAAAATCGGAACTGATGCTTCTATGGCAACACATATCAATAACATTTGCGAAAGACAATATGTTAAGGTTGAAGGATAATCTAGAAAATTAAAGCCAACTGATCTGGGATTATCCTTAGTAAGAGGATATAAAAGAATTGATCCAGATCTTGTCGCACCTTAATTGAGATCCAGCATTGAATCTTAAGTTGATCAAATTGCCAAAGGAAAACTTAAATGTCAATAAGTCATATAAGATGTCATACAGATTTTTACTAAAAAGTACATTCATTTCAGAGAGAGAATCAATGACTTTTAACTAGTTTAATACCATCAATAAGGAATCAATAGACAAATTAAATAATCAGATGAAGAAATCATCTTAAGTAGATGCGGAGATTGCAACAGATATTTAGTTTAATCAAACAATTCGGCTGTCTGTAAATAGTGTATCAAAACTTACCCCTTATTGCCAGACTGTAAATTTAAAGCATATGGAGCCTATAGGTGTCCATTTGATAAAGTAATATCAATTTATAAATACTTTTTAGTTTGAATTAATATTTTGCACAAGTAATAAGTCTCCTTTTAATACAACTCTTCTTTGTCCCAAATGTTTCAGTTCATCACCATTAGTAACTTCTGATTAATGCACTTGTAATATATGTCCAAATGTTGATTGTGAAAAATCTAAGGAATTTAGGACGGTTGGTTAATGCAAGAGTTGCAAAATTGGTGAACTCATTTTAGAACCATTTATCAGCAAAGGATAACAAATTTGTTTATCTTGCAATGAATGTTGGTGTCTCTATTAACTTGTTCCTGCAGTTGTTTAGGTAGACATTACAAAAATTGCTTGCACAGAATGCAAAGTAATATTTTAAATATATTTAAGTTAAAAACATTCAATTTAATAACAAAAACTAAAGATAAAGAAGAAGTCAAGTATAACAATGTTTGTTTGATGTGTCATGAAGAATTAAATAAAAAATTGTTATATGCACCATATTTAGGAGAAAAGAAATTTATGATATAGCAAAAAAAACAAGAATAACCAATTAAATAAGATGATGTCAATAAGGAAACCTTTTCCAAAGGACGCAAAAAATTCTCTAAAAATCCAAGAAAAAATGACAGGCATGATGACGATCAATTTACTCAAAAAAAAAATGATAATTCCGACTGGGCTACTTTATTACTTTCATAATCTGTGACAAATAATAAACAAAAGCCATAAAATAAACAGCAATAAGAGGATCCTCAATAACAGCAATAGCAATAATAATAAATAAATGAACCAGGATTAGTTTTACTAGAATCGAAAAAAAAGAGAAATAATTGAAATAAAATAAAAATAATTATCTAATAAGTTGAATTTGTTAATCTTATTTTATATTAAAACTATTCCAAAAAATGTTATATAATGTATTCTATTTTTAAATAAAAAAATAATCATTTATAATTTGAATGTGATTTAATTTAATTAATTTTGCCTTTTAAGATCATCTTTAAGCGATCCATTCCGATTAGAATTAATGCAAAATATACTAGAAGTTATTAATATGCTTAGTATTAATATTAATGATAAGCATCTAAGTAATAGAATTAGAGTACTAAAGAAGTTCTTAATAATCAGAAAAACATTTTTAAAGCAATTCAAACCATATGTAAAATAATAATAATTATAATTGTTGCTATAACTAATTTATAATTTATTGATTATATTTTTACTAATTTCCCTAAGTGCCATTAATCGATTTCTAGTAATATTATAATTAAAGTATTTTTTAATATTATAAATATAATTGTTATTTATAACCAAAAAATTTCAATTTTCCAAAACTGTCAACTTAGCCTTAATAGAACTAATTAGTAGATTATCTGCATGTAAGCAATCACAACCTGAAACACGTGCTAATTACTCTTATTTTTTAGCCAAATGTTCTAACCTAAACTATTATCAATTTTTACTTTTTTGCTTCTTCTATTATTAATACATTCTTATCCTTAACTGATAAGTTCTGATTTAGAGCTACTTTTTACCAATAATTCATAGTTTATTATTAGGTATTAGTTTCAATTACAAAACTTTTATGTTTAAATTTTGGCAATTAAGTATCTTGACTTGCAATATCATATGAAGTATTTTAATCTTTATTTTTATTAAAATAAATTAACGATTTAGTCTCTTCATCAGTATCTTAAATTTAATAAGAAATCCTTTTTTATCTTATTTTATTTGCTAAAACTTAATATTTTTAAAAATCAGATCTATGATGTAATTTGCTCTAAATTTCTAATAGTTCATTTTATTTATCTTAACTCACCTTTGGTTTGAATCTTTTCTTGGTTTCTTCTGAAAAATTCTTTTTCTTCTCCTATAACTCCATTAATTGATTCCTTCTCTCTTACTCTAATTATTTTTGTTTCACTTTTTCTTGTTCAATTTTTATATAGTAAATAGACTTTTCAGGACTTAAGGATTTTTTTTAATTCTTTATTTATGAATCATTAGACCTCTATCTTGGTTAAATAATCAAATCACAAAACTTTTTACGGTGTTCTTCAAAATCTAATTTATTTAATGGTCTCCTTTCTAATTTGATTTACTCTAATTTTTATTGTATTATTTATTATTATTATTTTATCAATTCATTCTCTTATTCTTATAGTACTTAATACAATGGTTTCTAATGTTATATTTATTAGGTTTTTTTCCAAGATTCTATAAAGTCGTATTTTCTCTTCTCTGAAGCCTCCTGAAGTTGCTTTAATTTAATCTACGCTCTCTGTCCTCGTTCTTTTCTCATAGATTCTACCTCTTCTTAAGTATATGTTTTAGCTTCAATTTTACCAAAGCAATCAATCTTTCTTACTATTTTTGATATATTACCTTGTTGGAATTGAGATTTGAGCAGTTTGGGACCTAAAAGACAAATCTAAATGCTATTTATTTTCATTGATAAATAACTAATTAGAGTCTAGTTCCTGGAAAACTTTCTAAGATTTAATAGAAACTATTTTTTGAGCATATTTGAAGCATTTAGTAGTTGCAAAATCACCAAATAAAGTATCTAAGTAAGAATCAACATTTTTCATTGATCTATTATATATATAATATTTAAATAAATAATAAATGAATTTGATCAATATTCGTCAAATTATATTGCAGTCCTCTCCTCCTCATGAATATATTATAAGGGACTATTAAAACTCAATTCAATTTTGTTTTGTACAAGAAATTTAAGAACATCCTTGAAATTCATAGGTCCCTTCAATAACTCCAGGAACTAATTCGATAAGATAGTTGCATATTGGATCTCCTTAATTAGTTAATTCTCTTCATATCCATTTGATTCTTCATTAGATTTATGATCTGGCATATCATTAATTTTCTTCATCATTTAATTCTAATGATTCTTTAATATATCCATGCACATTTATGATATTTCTTATAAGTTCTCATCAAATGAAATTAGATTATCCTTTTCATGAAGATTAATAAAGTGTATCCTTAGTGAATCCTCTCTCTAGATATCGACTAATATGTGTTTCACATTTAATCTAGTTATCTTAACTATCTAGTAAATTTTAATTAATTATTCGATTATTCTATAAAAAACATTAAACAATAGATATAAACGATTCCTTAATTTCTAAATATTCTCATCATATTCATATTCCATCATAAATGTATACAGATCAGCTATAGATTAATATGTTATGCAAGTTTCATTCAATGCAAATGGAAATAACTTTCTTACCTTTTGAATTTGAAGTGCTCGAACTGACTCTATGGGAATAGTTTATTGCATTTTCTATTGAAAAACAAATGATAAAATTATTAATAAAAATTAAGTGCAATTAAATGAATTATTTCCAGAAATTCAATTTTATAAAAAAATTGAACAGATCGCTAATATACATTCTCTTATCAAAAATACATAGAAAGAATATTTACACTTAGATTTAAGAGTAAATTTTTATCTAGCATTGATATAATTTTTATTGGAAATTAAATTCTTTTTAATAGAATTCTATAAATAATTTAATAACAATTAGTTAATAAAGAAATAAATTAAACATAATTTGTAACCAAATTAGTATAAAAATAAAAAGTTTTCATTTTTTCTTTATATCTTAATTTTATTGTTGTAATTCTTTTGTTAGATCAAAATCTTGTATTTCACTATGTCCATAATTAATTGAGCTTATCATTCCTAAAGGATTCATAGATTTTTCAGACCAATCTTGGATGGAATAAGTATCATTCTACTTATTTTCATTTCCTAAATACTAAATAGATATTATACCTAATAATTCATCAATAAATTTGAGATTGTCTTTAATTTCTTGATGAGAATCTTCAATCCGAGGAGGTGACTTTTATCTAATTTAAGAATCTCCAACCTTGCCAAGCCAACTACTTGAGAAACTAGATTATGGTATTGATAAGCCTAAACTACATTGAAAGGCTTCGCTTAAGATATATTCAAACTATTGATCATTAATATCTTAAGTTGGTTATGGAGGTGGTAGAAATCTTAAGTCTCGTTCGTAAATTAAGTATTGATTTCCTTTCTAACAAACAATCACTAAAATATTTTCAGCATAATTTTATAAAAATTAAAAAAAGCTTTAGCATTAAAACCTTTAATAATTAAACCATTCTCCCAATTATTAAGATAAATCATAGTATAGCTAATTAATGCTGATTCCATATTTGTGTTTACTCAATATGGTTTTTATCATTTATAAGACAGTGAAAATATACTTCTAATTAAATGATTCACTTTATTTGTGCTCTATATATATTATGATTCGAAAAATACTTTAATATTTTTTTGGCAACTTAGAGTAATTCAATTTAGCAATAAAATTATTTCGACCGCTGTTTTCAATTGTAATGACATCCTTAACACTTTCAATGAAATTCTTGAGTTTTGGAAATCCCAATTCAATCAAATTCAATTCAAAATTGACTCTTTCTTTTAATAATGTAGGTATTTATGCCAACGATACACTCTTATTTAATTATTAGATCTTACCCATCTGGATTGTCCAATAGCAACTCTATCAATTGATCCTATAATTCCTAGACTCTTATCTTAATTTAAGGATCACCATCAACAGAGCTATCAGTTGTATGTTCTGATTTTTCTCTACTTTCTTGTATCAAAATGGTTTTGTTGTATCTAATATAATTTTTATTAACTGCCATTTAGACATAGAGTGTTAGTCTACCAAGTGATAATTCTCTTAATTTCTTAGGTCCTAATAACTTAATGAATTGAGCACAACCATATCTACCTCCTTTTAAGATTTTATTATTCTAAGCATTTGTTTTAGCAAAAAAATCCATTAAAAATTCTATAAATATAGTCCATTCCTATTTTTTATCTAATTCTGGTTGAAATTCATCTTCCACAATCCAATTTTGTTAATAAATATAAATTCCATATGTTTCTTCTTGTATCAATGGATCCTTAATGTTCTTGACTGAGAGCAATGGCAATTCAATTAGCTTTCCATTGGAAGAACGGAATTTAATTTATTGTTTTTGAGATTTTAGCTAATTCATAACAAGTTCCCATTCTATTCGATTGTACTTCAAACCATAGCATTCTTTGATTCTACTTTGTACCAATCTTTCAGTTGGAGTGATTAAATCTCTTTTGATGGATCTAATAATCCAAACTAAATTTTCATAGGTTAACTTCTTAACTGATAATGCATAAAAGTTAATTGCCATATCATTAAATAATCTCGTTGTTTTTGATATCCATCCTTTATCGATCAATTTTTAAAAAAAATCTAATTAATTTTTACTATTTTAAATATATCTAATTATACATGATTACTTTACTATCATCTAACAAACCTTATATTTATTCGTTTGTGTAAACGATGGTACCATTGCTACATTGGGTTTTCATAAACAATAGAAATTGATAAACTTCTGGTGGCAAAGTTATTTATAGAGTTTCCCATTCAAGAATTTCATTTGTCGGGAATGAAAACTACAATTTTTAAATTTGAACATACCTTTTTATCGCTAACAGTAAATGAATTAGAGTTGATGAACTAAATTGGCTAAAGAGAATGTTCAGTTTTGCATTTTGTTAATTTTTGATGTTTTTCTTGGGATGATTGTTCACTCTCCAAATAATTGCTTTCAGCTAAGAATTTGAGGAATGGCTCATCAAGTGCACTGTTGGACGATTGCCTTCTAATTTAAGATGATCGTAATTGCTATTATTATTACTGCATTTAGGTTATTAGTTATATAAAATAATATATATTCTTTATTTCAATACATCGTATTATTAAATGCTTTCTAACTAGATACTATATCTATCTAATTAAATAAATACATAATGTACAGGAGAATTATTTATAAAATAATCATTAAATTAAAACGAATTCTTTTAGAGTTTAAGTTGTTGAACTCTTCAAGCTATTTTTTAATACAAATAATTGAATTTGCTTTAGGTAATGAAGTTTATATTATTATTTTAAATGAAACTTTTGCTATGAATTACTTTTAATATTTTTTATCTATTTTAAACAAATTGAATTGTGTGCAATCATCATCCAGACTTTTCACAACAGAATTTAAACAGAATTTTTATCAATCCTTATTTAAAAAATAATGATTTATAAATAACCATTGAAGTTAAAGGCCATCTATCAAGAACTTATTAATTTGCTAATGTGTTATTTTTTATGACTATTGGAGAATTTACTAATAAATTATAATGGTAAACAACCAAAATATTCGACATAATTTGTTAATTGTTTCTAGAATGACTTTATTCCATTTTTTAATTTTATAAGTACAATTTTATTTCAAAAGTCCTCTTTGTGTTTTAAAATAATTTAAATAATAATTTAGTAATTTAATACTAAGAGGATAAAGATTACTTTGAGTATTGAAGTGAAGTGAACAAATTAAATAAGTTAATTAATTATTTTAATTTTAAATCACTTTTCTTCTTATTTTTCTAATTTTCCTTGTTCTTTCTCTAAAACATCGTCTACACTAGTTCTATCCTTATATTTAGACTTATTGATAACAGTAGATTCGTTTCTTTTTTCTAGCTCTTATTTTTCAAATTCTTCTCTTTTCTTGTCTTTTTCAGATTATTATTTCCTTTTTTCAAGTTCTTCTGCGTCTTTTTCCTTTTCTGCTTCTTAATCCTCTTTGAATAATTTTTTGGTTTCTTTCTTGTAATCTGACCATTAACCTTCTGCATCCTCATCAACTATTTTAGCTAAAAATTCTCCATCATATTCTTTATTCTTTGTGAATTCATCAATAATTTATATGCTTCTCTATTTCAAATTTCTTTCTATACTTATCATTTAATCAATAACAACTCTTCTACTTTCAATTTAATTTTTCAATTATATCATATCTCTTTGCTTTGATGCTAAGTATAATTTCTAATCTAACTCCAAATCTGGTTAATTATAATAATCTTCCAATTCATCCTTATAGCTAACCTTCTTATCTATTTTATATTATGACTCTTCAGGACACTCATCTCCACTTACCCAAATGTCACAACTATTAAAAAATGCTCCATCTCTTGCATTTCCCTCTTAGCACTTATACTCTTCAGTACACCAAACGCATCCTTCTCTAGACAGACAAGAATCGCATTCTCTTAATTATTAACATATGCTTAAGGGAGGTGGGAAATTTTCTAATAACTCCTATAACTAGCTTTTTAATTCCTCTAACTCATCTTCTCTTTCTTTTCTTATGTCAGCCAAGATCTCTTTTGACATATCTAGAATCTATTGAAAGTTCTAAATAACCTATTCATTTGTTTTATTTAAGATTTCCATCACGAATTCGATATTCTTTTTTATATTTGCTTTGAATGCTCTTTTTAATTTAGCATAAAGATCTCTATTGTATTCCATTACTCTTTAAAATCTTTGAATTGCATAATCATTTTTTTATTATTTGTAAGCAAGTACAAGTTCATGAAGTTCCACCAAAAATCTTACAACTGCTCCAGTTGATAACTGTTTTCTTGAACCACACTACCAGACTCCGAAGATTTCCAACGATCCTGCATAATGAATGCAATCTCTATTATATAAACCATGTTGATGATGTGATCGTCTAAAATCGCAATATCTTCCTTTCCTATCCCTTCCACAATTCACTCTGTGTCTTTTCCTTCTCTTTCCATTAATCATAAAAGCGTGAACATCATCATTATAAGGATCAAAGTAACCTGAATAAGTAAAGAGATCATTATATTCTGAAGGCTCTGGTTCAGTCCCTAATGAGGGAGGATCTGGAGGTGGAGGTGGTGTTTATGGTTTTATCGTTATTGGAATACCCATAGCTGCATAAGGGGCTGCTTATGCAATTGCCGCTGCCATAGCTCCTTATTATTATGCTGCATATGCTGCTGTATTTGCTTATTCTTTTTAGCTCTGAACCAATTTGATTACTACTAGCAATAATTATATTATTTTTCTCATAATATTTTATAGTAAATTTAATAATAAAGTAAAAATCCCATTAAAATGAGATTGAATAAGAGTTGATACTACCTACATTGATGAGATAATATAAATGTAAATGGAAATTAGAAGATTCAATTAATCATTATTTAATAGATGAATTATATTTCTATTGTTTTTAGGATATACCATAAATCTTTGTTCCTAGACCTCAGATTTATATTAAAATAAGAATGGAGATCTTTATTAAGTTATTTTAGATAAAATTTGTTACCAAATATTAAAAATATTACAGGAATTGAAAAGTTATCAGGGGGAAATCGAAAAAGAAAGTAAAACAATATAAGATAGGGGTGTAAACGTTGTGATTTTTTAGAATAATTAAGAATATAATATTTAATGATGTTTTAGTATGTAAATGTAAACCAATTCAATCATTTTAGCTATATCTTTAAATAATTGATATTATAAAAAGATTTTAAATATTTTTAATTTTTAATTTTTTGTTATTAATGCAGAACACAAAACTATCTGAATCAATCGCTTAACTTGATTGCATTAAAAAGAAAATTCACAAAATTAAGTCTTAAAATGAAAAATGGCAAAATAACATTAAATTATGTCCATATCCCCCTGGAATGCAAATAATGGCTCAAAACCTATATCCCATCAAGGTGAGCATCCCCATAGCTTCACTGAACCTTAAGGAGACCATTTTAGAAGAATAAATTTTGTGGGACTTTGAAGATGATTATTCAGATGATTAATTATTTAGAAATCTCTTCGCCATCATAATAGATTTATTAGAAGAAAAGTACCCGAAAAAAGTAACAAAGCTAACTGCAATTGAAGCACACAGTAATTTAGTTAGTTAATCATAAATTAGAGATTATTGAAGATTGCTAATTTTAAGTAAAATAAGCCATAGATGATCATAAAAAATATAAACACATTTAAGACATTTTGGCATTTGAGTCATTCATCGATAAAAATGATTCCATGATTAATTTACAAATAAATACGTCAAAAGTAAAAGAGATCATATAATGGGATTTAGAGAATGCATTTAATTAGTATTGACAATCAAATAATTTATTAGCATTGATGAATTCGTTCAAGGCTATTGTTACGAAAATAAATTGGACAAAGAAAACTTTGTGTTAATAGGAAATTAAATTAGAGAATAAATATAAAAGGCATATGAAAAGAGATTTCGAATTGCATAAAAATTACTTTTAGATGATTAAACAGGTAATAAACTATAAAATTATCATAAGAATTCAAATAGAAGTTGATCTCATATTTGGACTATCCATCTTTTGAACCTTATTAACCAATTAGGGATCTTCCATAAAATAATGATATAAATATGTTTTTCAAAAAGAATATTGAATTTTTGCCACCTGAACTATAAATACTCTACGGATAAAAACCACATATAAAATAAATGTAAAATTTCATCTAAAATAGACTGGAATTAGGAGTAGATTAAGATGATACAAAAAAGTTCGAAAAAGAACTTAATTAAAAATCTAAATATCTTGATCAAACTATTTTATCCGATATCATTAACAAGACTAAATAAAATTGATGTAAATATTAATTATTGTTTTATAAATTGACACTTTCTAATTATCTTTAATCATAAATGAATGGCTACTCTCATTTCTAATTTGTTAGTCTTATAAAGCAAAGAGTAGTAAAGAAATATATTTAGATATATTTTCAGAAAATACAATTTATTCATTAATTCTATGCTATATTAAGAATAATGATATTATAATGTGACTTAAAAGAGTATAGATAAAGAAGTTTTTAATTAATTGATGTTATAAACAACTCAGACTAAATAAGGGATTGCTATTCTGAATGATAAATGGGGACTGGAATGTAGTCACTTGATGTGCATTTTAATATTTAATTAAATAATTAATATATGTTAATTTTATTGTTGATATCAAATTTTAGGTGTGAGTCTGTTCTATACTCCAATAATTATAATTCAGAAATTAACTATATGAATATTACTTTAAATCAAATGAACTCCTATAAAATACAGGTATGAACATCAATAAAATCATAAAAGTTATATATTCTACAATTCCCGATAGATTAAAGATACTCACTGTTATTAAATATATCATACAATAAAAACAACACAACATATTAAGTGATTGATTCTGATGCTTTTTATTCTAAACTGCCTTACTAAAATATTTATATCTATTAGATTAACAAAATTACAATAGATGTCCAATATAAACAAATCTGTACTTACCCTCATTAAAACAGAGTAAGTTTTAATTACTCAATTTACGTAATAGAATAACCAAACCCCAAGAACTAATGCATATTCCCTTACTTTTCATTGAAGTGCGATTAATAAATAGACTATCAATAAATATCACATAAATCCTTTACAGTTCCAAAATAGAGTTGGATCTATATGTATTATATGCTCGATAAGACTGATTACACAGTATTACTTTGAATATAAGCATTAGTTGTACTTGGAGAACAGCGAATCTGACCTTGGGATCTCCTTTGTTCTTGCAGGCACGCCCTATCAAACTGAATTGCCCTCTTTCAATTCCTATTTTACCATAATACCATAGCTTTACTTTTACAAAGTGGATTTAAAGAGATAAGAATACGAAACAAATTACATAATCGTGATTGGAATCTATAACTTTAATACTACATCCTAGGCTAAAATGACAATGTACTTGGAGGAGATAGGCAATGAATCAGATTCCTTCCCTCTGTGGGCAATTTTAGTGATTGTGGGCATTCTTCTATTAGCTTTATTAATAATTTCATCCATTTATATTCATTTGCGAAGATAATTTAAAGTGATAGCTTCGGATGTTCCAGCCTTAAATAGAGAGACTTTGAATGAGTATATGCCAGCAAAGAAGGCAATAACTGAAATAATGGGTGAGGAATGTTGTATATGTCTCAATGCATATAAAAAGGATGAATTTGTACGAGAATCCATATGTCACCATATATTTCATGATTAATGTTTATCTGAATGGTAAATAATCACTTAAATTGAAGGACTAAGAAGAATACTAATTGTCCTGTCTGCAGATAAGAATTCTCTGAAAGCGAAATGAAAAGGTTATTGTAGACATAGAAACAAACTGAGAGTAGTCCATTCAACAGACATGCACAAAAGTCTCCCTTCATTATAAAATATCAAAGTCTAAAAGTCATTCAATCTCAATAACAACATAGGAATTACCCTGATGATTCAATCTAATAATTAAAATAAGGGGAGATATCATTGTAAGAGAATTCTGTTTAACCTTTTTAAATTTAATGAATATTATTATTTGTTCAATTAATTATTTAAATTATTGTTATGAGTACTCCAGCATTAGAACAAAGTAGAATAAAAGCTGCCTTACTGATACATCAAGGTAAATTCATTAATGCAATTCTAATAGGAAAATCACTATATATGGGAGGCAAAACATATGAAATTAAACAATAAGGATTTGAACTAATGAAATAAGGATGTTTAGAACTTAACTAATATAAAAAATAAGAACCTTCTCAAGACTACAGTAAACTAGCTGAATAGAAGAATGATTAGTATTATAAGGAACTCCAATAAATGAAATAATATTTGCTTTCTTATGAAAATTTTGTTAAAGAGCAATAGAATAAAATTTTAGATAAAAAGTTAGAAAATTAAAATTAAATTAGTAATGAACTTTATAAAAATTAGTTGAAAATTAAAATTAGAGAATAAATAGAGAGAATATAATAATCAAAGAGAAGTTAAATGTCTTATGGGAAGACATAGCTGGACTAGAATAAGCCAAATAATCTTTGAAGGAAGCTGTCATTTTTCCATTATAATTTCCAGATTTATTTCAAGGGTCTCGTCAACCTTGGACTGGTATCTTATTATATGGGGTATTCGTTGATTATTGACAATTAGCCTCCTGGTACAGGCAAAACATTTTTAGCCAAAGCTTGTGCAACAGAGTGTCATGGCACCTTTATTAGTGTTTCAAGTGCAGATTTATTATCCAAATATTCTGGTGAATCAGAAAAGTCAATCAAAGAACTATTTTAATTAGCCAGATCTAAAAAACCGTCTATAATCTTTATTGATGAAGTTGATTCGTTAGCTAGTGATAGAGAAAGCTCTGGACCATCAGATAATCTCAAAGGTGTTAAAAATTAACTGCTAACTGAATTCTAAGGAATTGGGTCTAATAATGATCAAGTATTAGTTTTGGGAGCAACCAATCTACCCTGGGCTATTGATTCAGCTATCAGAAGAAGATTTGAATAACGTATCTACATTCCTCTTCCGGATTATGAAGAGAGATTTCATCTAATTTAAAATTAACTAAGATAACTACCCAATAACCTAACTACAGACTAGATGAAAGAACTTGCTAATAAATTAGATGGATATTCTGGATCTGATATTAATAATCTTATTAGAGATGCATCTTTTGAATAGCTAAGGATTATGTAAAAAGCAACTCATTTTAAAAAAGTATAAATTTAAAATCAAATGAAATATATTGTTTGTTCTGCTTCTGATCCACAGGCTGAAAAAATAGCATTAAAAAACATAGAACAAACTTAATTAAAAGTGCCTGAAATTATATATGTAAGTCTTTCCATAAAATTTTAGGATGACTTCTTAGCTGTACTTCCAAAATGCAAGCCTAGTGTTTCAAAGAATGATTTGGAAAAGTATGAAGATTGGACTAAATAATTTGGATAAAAAGGATGACAATATAATGTTCATCTCTTATTTAATTTTATTAATATTTTTTATCTCCTAATTTTTGTTAATAAAACTCACGTATCGACTTTATCAAATCCTCTATTCAATCTGATTATCTACTTTATTAAGCTTCACAGGAATAATTAGCCATAATATTTATATGGGATCTTTTATTCATCATCTTAATACCCTTTTGTACACAATTCCAGTATAGTTGTTCTATACATATTGTACTTAATGCTATATCGACTCTTGTGAATAATCAATTATTACACACTATAAATTTATATGTAATCTAAGCTTTAATTAAATGTCTTTAAAATTATTAAACATATGACATTAAATTTTATAAGTCTTAATGTCTCTTATTTTCACTACAACAAAATACTATTTATTCAAATAGTTTGTTAGAACTATTTATTCAAATAGTTTGTTAGAACTCTTTATAATGAGTCAAGTTAATTAGATATATTATAATTTATAAAGAATATATTAAGACAAGTATAAAAATCTCATAAGTCAAAGAAATTCAATAAGAACATTTCCACTATGTATTTACTTTAATTATTTTGTCAACAAATATCATTATTATAGATTTTCATTAGATTTTTCTTCATTTGTGCATTCTTATGTATTCTTAATGGAGTTTGAGCTTTTAGAAGATGCTCGCTTGAAAAAAGCTTGTATTTTTATTTAAGTAATTGCTTAGCAATCTTCCACAAATCTCTTTCTTTAGGAATAAAGTTCTTATTTGGTAATTTGTTACCATAAATTAAAACTGATTCAGCCGATTAACTATTTAATAATGGCCTTTGTAAAGTGGTTATGCTTATCATATTTTCACTTTCGATTTCTTAAATTGTGTTAAAAGGAATAGACGACATTATGACTGATTCTAGTTTTTTAGTGTTTCCTTATTTTATTATACAAACATAATTACCATATATATATTCTAGATATTGCTGTCTTTGCATGATTTTATGATTCTTAATTTCATTTTACTTGATTTTAATTGTATCTAGTTAAAATTCTTCAATTTCTTCATCTTCATCTGAATCATCAACTAATTTATTATGGGAAGAGGACACATTCAAAATAATGTGTTGTTCTTGCTTAGAAAATTAATCAAATTCATTCAATTGATAACAATCTAAACCATTTATATTCTTAAAAGTAAATAGTGGTTCTTATTATTATTGAGATTCTATGTAAAAATAAACACATTACCAATTTCAATGTTATTTTTACTAAATGCCCTTAGAAACATCTTACCCAAACTAGAAGGTCGATTTGAAAGAGTTTTCCTATTTTGAATTTGTTTCCTTAAGGATATTGTCATTCTAGGGGATAAATGCTGAATTTGTTTTTTCAATAATTGCTCAAAGGCTTCGAACTATTTTAATCGAAAAATAATAGAAAATTCTCCATTTAGTCTGACTCTGAATTTGAATAATTATTCGTTTAATTGAAAGTAGACATCTTTATCTAGCTCTTTCATTAACATTAAATATTATCTTTCAAAGAAATGCTCGACATCTATCTCATTTTTAGATAATAAGTATTTTTCAGTCTTAACCCAAGCCTTTAAATTTTCATCATCCTTTTTTTCATATTCATTCAATAACTCACACATAAATACACTATCTAGATCCATAGGTTGAAATGTGAATTAACTAATGCAACTAATATTAAATATTACTTCTCTTCAAAATTAACTAGTTTTTTCAAGCTAACCTTAAATTCACTCACAGGAGTGTATTTGATAATTTGGGCTAGTTAGGTGTTCATTTTATTTTAATATTTTATTTTTACATTTCTTTCTAATTATGAATTATTCTAATTTACATTTATATTTTCAAAAAATCATCATAATATTATGATACTCTGTGCACAAGATATCAAAACAAAGGAATATATTGCTAACTCAAAACGAATTCGAGCATAACCGGTTCTGAAATCAATAAAATTTCAGGTCAACTAAAATCTAAATACGTGCATCAATTAAGGGAAAATTTAAACAGCACTAGCCTATCTATATCTAAAATAAAAATCACTTTATTTGAAACTACGTCCATAACTGTTCACTATTATTTGTTAGTCTTAAAAATTAGTGATTCATAAAAAACCAAGAAACCTTACTTGAAAAAATAATAAATCCAAAATCTACATCCAAATTCGATTTAATACTTTACAAAGAATGAAATACGATTTAAGTAGAATCATACAGATTTACATAGCATCATTAAATGTTAAACCTTATATCTTAATTACATGGAATTTTGAAAATATCTAAATTTCTCAATTCAAATGTATTAATTTGGAATAAACTACTACTACAATTATATATTAAATATTAATTCCTATATGAAGATGTCTAATTCTGTAATTTTTACTTGTTATCTATCATTCTGCAATGAAGGATAAGTTATATAATCCAAATTTACTATTTATGATACCTACTTGACGATATAAGTAATATAAATTATAAATGTCTAAGATAACCGATATAGATGAATTGAAAGTTGATTATTGTTCATAAGGTGCAATTTTTGAATGGAAACTAGAGTATAACTTAGATTTTATCATAGGAATGGCAATTATTGTGAAGTAATTGTTATTACTGAAAATTATTCTTAGACTTATAAAGGATCAAAGCAAATCATTCTAAACCTTAAATAACACCTGAATGGGAAGGTATTTTTTAGAAACTTCAAGTCTCATTACAATAAAATTTAAACAATAAAAAAAACTAAATAGGGAGATGTAATATATATATAAGTATGTTTAGATTTCTAAATGTTATAATAAATATTTGAACATTGAGGTTATCGCCAAGAGGTTTAATTTAACTCAAAATATCGAACGCTCATAGAAGGTATGTTTTTTATTGAATAAAGAAACTTATATTGAATGAATTAAAAATATGCTAATACTTGAGTTAATTCACATAAGAATCCATTATATAATTAAGGGAATTTTATCAAGAAAAGGATAAGATTATTCTAATTTTCGATCTTTGTGAAGGAGGTACTTTAAATTCCTATATGGCCTAAAATAATTTCTGCCCATCGTTTATTCATATTAGAAAAATTATGAAGAAACTTCTGTTAGCAATAAAATTTATTCATAAACACAATATTATGCATAGAGATATTAAAATGGATAATCTTATGCTATTAGAAAATAATAATCCAAATTCTATATAAATTATTGATTTTGGATTCTCTACATTTATTGATGACTAACCTTATATAATTGAAAGATGTGGGACTCCTGGATATATTGCTCCAGAGCTATATTCTGAAAATCCCTTTGATGAACAGGTTGATATTTACAGTCTTGCTTAGATATTTTTTATATTATTAACAGGAAGAAAGTTCGCATTTGATTCTCATTCATTCAAGACATTTACTTTGCTTCACGAAAAATAATCAAATATTATCAGAGAAGCAACAAAGAATGAAATAATTGTTGATTTATTTTAAAAAATGACGAATTCTCAAGACAAGAGGTACAATGCTTCATAATGCCTAAATCACTAATATTTTGAAAAGTCATCTAAAATAAAACAATAGTAAAAAATATGTATATATTAGGCTAACTTGTCTAAAGTTTCCATTGTTAAAGACTCCATTCTAATCAGTTAAATTGAGAGAGCAACAATGTTAATCAGACCATGAAGAAAGATTTGTTAATTAAAAATGAATTTTTTATATACTAAATTTCTATATTATTTGTTTCTAATAAACCCCTTCATAATTTCTTTTTCTTTTGGATACTTCTCAAAAATTATTATATACTAAGATATTTCAAATACTATTTAATATCATTAATATAAAAATCTAATTAATATTAGAAGTCAAAAACTGTAATATATTATCCAAGGAAATAATTCTTCAAGAGCAATATTTAAAATTTTTTTATTGTCAATTAATTCAACTTATTCGGTATATTTGATATTAATTTTATGATAAATCTCACATATAAGTCATCATGGTTTGATTAAGAAAGACTTCAATTTTTCATCATAAATAAAATAACTTAATTAATTGTTATGAATTGGTAATTTTTGATTTCTTATAACATACCCAATTATTCATTATGGGTATTCTTTGAGAAAGATTTTTAACTAACTAATTTATCATCATCTCTCATCGTATCATCATTCGAATAATTTAATTATTTTTAAATTCAAGTTTGTTGGATACTGATTTATATATCTTAACTGATTTTCATAGAACTAAAATTTATTCATTTGATATTAATTCTTAAGCTTTTAGGATAGTATCTCTTAATGATAATTTCTTATTAGATCTTAATAATAATTTGAATTAACTTTAATTATAATATACTTTAATTTATTTTATATAAAAACATTCAAAATTCCGATTAGGACTTTAATGTGATATATTTTGGAAATTTTTCTCAATTCTGGTAATACTATGAATAATATAAAATTAATCAGGGGTACAGTCCAAAAATAGCCAAAGAATTTATGTGAGATTACATACTAAGATGATTCACATAATAAATAGATAAAAAATAGGTAATAAAAGTCTTTTAATTGTATATCAAATTTAGGAAACAAAAAATAAATTGATGGATAGTTTTCATTATTTATAGAGCATAAATAAAGTATTGATATTATCAATATAGGATTCCAATTTCAAAGTCTCCAGTTTCTTATAAATTTTATATGTATCATTGGTTAATCTACTTGTTCGTTAATGTATTGATTAATTGCAATCTTTCTCAAAATTCAAAAATATCTCTTTAACAGCAGTTAGCTTAGACATATTATTTTTTTTAATTTTGATTATTCATTACACATATGTTCTTTCCTCCATAGAGTATAAATAATTAGAAATAAATATTTTAATAAATCAATAGGAATTAAAGTAAAATTTAAATTCGATTTGGAGTTAATTTAATATTATTATATATTTGTAATACGAATTAAAAATAATAAAAGTTAAAAAATAAAAACCAGATATAAATATCATAATTTCAATTATGCTTCTTAATTGCTAATTAAAAATTATATGTTCTTGTAACAAGATAAATTTTACTTTTGATTAAATCGTAAATATTCAGTATTAAATGATCATTATTTATTGAGAAAATATATTGATTTTTATAATTATAATCAAATAAATGAACTAAGAGAAGCTTCTTATACAACTATGTATTGTTTAGAATTAATGATATTACATTACTAATTCTGATAATACAAAAAATAACAAGATATCTTTTGAATACTATGGAAATAGGTAATGCTGCAATATTTTAGGTATGTATATTGATCAGAAATGTATATTGAAAACCTTCTATTTTTAGAATTATAAAAAGCAAATACAATTATTATCAATATTTTAAATTAATATAAAGCAACTGCCCAAAGTAATTATTCTTGTTTGGAACATAAGAGTAAATTAATTAAAATACTATAAAATAATAACTCTTATTGCATAGAAGTTGGAAGGAAGTAAATATTATCATAAAAAATAAAAATAAAAAAATAGTACTGTTTTAAGCTTTAATTTATACTGCTTAGAAGAGGGATATTTAATAAAGAAGGCCATTACTTCTGAATATTGATTCATTTTCTTTATTCTTTAAACTTTTTATAGGGATCGAAATAGACTATTCTGATCATTTCTTTACCAGTCTATATGTTCAAGCTTGATTTAAAATGATCAAACTTTGGATGCATTTCTTAAAATGCTAGATACAATTAGCCCAGAATAAAAATCCCCACACTAATTTGAATATATATGAGACAAGAAATTTAAATAAAATAGAGATTTCAAATATTTTTAATTCGTTTTTAGAATTAAAAAGTATAAATAGTCAATATACTCAGGGCGAAAAGATCAATAAAATTTTATATATTATTTAATACTCATATACCATATAATTCTAAATTTTAGTAGCAAGCTAAATAAATTTTTGATAATAATTTCAAACACTAAATAATTGAAGTTAAGTAAACAAATAAGTTAGTATAATAAAAAAATTGACTTTGCAGTTCAATTGAAAAATTTGAATTGTAATTAAAAGTTTTTTCTTAGATATTACTATTGGACTTATGATTTACAGAATGCACAATCTTGTAAATCATTGTATTTTATAAACTATATATTTTTTATTACTTAAATAAAATAAGAATTAATGAGTAGGTCAGACAACTTATTATCAGTTACATCAAATCAAAAATACTTAATTATTTTATATCAAATAATTTTTCTGAGAATTCTTGAATCCTTCTCACTATAAATTAAATATATAAATCTTCAATAGAGATATTAATAAATCAACTTAAATTTTATGAAATAAAGTGGACTATTGCCGTATTTCAATTCTGAGTTCTCAAACTAATAAACTCAGAAAGTAGAAAGGGAAAAATCGAAAACCACTTCCTAAAAATACTAACATAAGGGAGAAGTGTATTCTTTAAGTCCCTTGTAACTCACCTAAAAGTATTTATAATTTATATTTGCAGTACAATACCGGTTAACTAAAAAGAATTCTAGGGATAAGCCAAGAGTAACAATTAAACAAAATAAAATTGCTCTGACACCTCTTTTCATTATTACTTAACCTAGACTTAAATCATATAAACAACTATCAAAGTATTCAATGAGAAATATAAGGTTATGAAGATTTTAAAAGAAAATAAATTGTGTCAAGTAAGTTTTATATTTAAATATTATTAGATTGTATAATGTAAAAATAAATAAACCAAAGAATTATTTATAGCGAAAATTTGTATCAGGTGGCAAAATGTAACATTTTGTAGTATTTTAGTCTTAAATCGCCAGCGAAATTGGAGTATCCAAAACTTTACTAAAGTAGCCCCATTCAAGTTTAATGAAGTTATAAGAAATGTTTACTGACTAGGATACACACATCTTTATATATGAGTATATGAGCGGAGGTACTCTATTTGAATACATCCAAAAGAAGTAGCTTAAATTAGATGAAAAAGAGATTAGATCTATATTTAAATAGCTCCTTAAAGCCTTAAAACATTTACATTCTCTTAATATTATACATAGAGACCTAAAATTAGACAATATTATGTTTAAAAAGAAAGGAGATGTCAAATCGCTAAAACTAATTGATTATGGGTTTGCAACATTTCTGTCAGACACAAAGAATATGGAATTCAGATGTGGAACTCCTGGTTATGTTGCCCCAGAAATCTTTTAAGAATAGGTTTTATACAACTAACTATGTGACATTTATAGTTTGGGAGCTATAGCACACATCTTAGCGACTGGAAAGCGTATATATTCTTAAAATTTGACTTCAAAAGAAATATGTGAATTTAATAAACAAAACTAATATGAAATCAGTGAGAATCTCAAATGTCCTTTGTTATTAGATCTCATTACTTAAATGTTAAAAGAGTTCAGTAATAGACCATCAGCTTAAGATTGTTTAATACATCCTTATTTTATAAAACTATCTTAATTAAAGTAGTCTTAAGAACGCATAAATTAATAGTAAGTATATTGATTAATTTTAGAATATATAATCTTGTCTTTCCATAATTTAAAAATCCTTTTCAATCTTTTGAATAATGTAAATGAGTCAGTATAAAATACTATCTTATTATAATATAAAAATAAATAAATAATACAAAAATAGTAATCACATAAATTTTGAATTCCTTATATCAAAATAATTGTAATTGATTGTTTGTTAAATTTATTATGGTTATTATTTTGTGGGATCAATGACACTTGAAGCTTTTTTGTGCTATTAGTAGTTCTATACTTGACAACATTTTTATAGTAATTTTTGCACTTAAGCCACACTATTGTGAATATTGCCTAATTAGAAATGAATTAATACTTTAAGGAATGAATTTGGGTTTAGATGCTTCAGTCTTTTGTCTTTAATAAGGACTTGTTGGGTTAATATTTATGGGTGACTTTTCAAATGACTTACTTCTTTGGGCTTAGTTTATCATAATGGGATCCTTAGGCCTTAACATTTCTTTTTATTATGAAAAATTCTGTGCTGTAGTATAATTTGATAACTATTAGACTTAGACTGGTCGAACATAACTGACTGAAGTTGATGGTTTATTTTCATTTTTATTTTAAGTACTGAAGCTTGCGTTAGTCACTCTTCTATCATATGGCTCTCCATGAAAAGAATAGGATTTTGTGACATTTGTGATTATATTTTCTGTTTTTTTCTTTATCTCAGGACTCTTATTCAAATCATTATGTGGTCTATTCACTATATTGGTATAAGTTTTTCTTAATCCTTGATTATAGGATTAATTTTAAGTAGATGCAAATTTTTGTTGAATCAAATTTGGACTAATGTTTGAGACATTACTAGAAATGGTAGGTTTCATAGTTGGAGAATAGTCAGACTTCTTTTGCATAGGATAGGGATTTACTCCTTCAGGTTTATAAAAAGAATCTAGTTTCTTAGGTTTCTCTACTGGTTAAGACGCTTGATAATTTGGATTCTGTTTATTAAACTTCGAATCGTAACTATTCAAATATGTAGAAAAGCTTTGTGGAGTAGACAAATATTGCTTGGCTACATTTTTGTTAAATGTGTTTTATTCAATTTCTTATAGTATCTATTCACAATTGAGTGTTATTTTATCTCTATAATCTTTGACAGTTAATTTTTTATTTTCATTAAAAGGAATTCTGATTATTGACTTCAACGTTTTTTCGTCCTCTGTATTTGCAAACTCTTTCATTAATGAATGTTTCAATGCTTCATCAATTGTCATTCTTTTTTAAGGATTCCAATTTAGACATTATCGAATGAAATCAATAAAGTCTGGAGATGCACTTGGGAAGAATGCTGCAAAGCTTTTTCGTTTTTACATAGAAATCCCATCTAAAACTTATTAAGCCAATGGTGCATTAATTAATTCTAGATCATCTTATTTGGGCCTTCCTATTAATTCAATTATTTTCTCAATTTAATTCAATGTTGATGCTCCAGCAAATATTGCTTTGCCCAATATCATTTCTCCAAGAATGCAACCGACACTCCACATATCTACTGATTTTGAATAATGATGGGATCCTAACAAGATTTCTGGGGCTCTATACCATCTTGTAGCAACATATTCAGTCATTATTGGTAATTCTAATAAGTTTATAAGAGTTTATACCATATTAATTTTCAGATTAAGCGACACTTCTTGCCAATCCAAAATCAGCCACTTTGACTTTACAATCAGAATCAATCAATAAATTCGAAGGTTTCAAATCTCTGTGAATTAATTCTCCAGAATGAATAAACTTTAAGCATTTTAACAACTAATATATTATGTATTGCATATGCAATGGATTTAGCAAACCTGCTCTTATTACTTTATGTAAATCAGTTTCCATATATTCAAATACCATATATAAATCCTTCTAGTTTTCTGCTTAAATTACTTTTAATAATTTAACAATATTTTCATGATCTGTTAATTATTATAAGAAACACACTTCTCTGAATGTTCTTTAAGCATCTGTTTGATTTGAGAAAGCATCGAAAACCTATAAATAAGATAATAGTTATAACCTTTTTTAATGCCACTTATTGTTTGGTTTATTTGTCAGTTGCCTTCCACACTATTCCATAAGCTCCTTTACCTTTGTAATCCTGTATGTCATATTATTTAAGTATATGCTCTTCTATTTGGCTATGTTGATCATTTTGGTTAGACATTTATTGATATTTTTTATTTTTATTTTTTATTATCTTCTAAACAGTAATGATTATATAATAAAATTTAGAACAAAAACAAACTCAAAATTATCTAAAATTTCATTATAACAAATGCAATATGATTTCTCCTTGTTTAAATAAATAAGAAATAGAACTAAAAAGGATTCTGTTATAACTATTGTTTTTTATTAAATTATGCTAGCATTTTAAATAATCTATACTATAGATCTACATCAATATTAGTGTCTTGTGCTTTAATAAACTAGATGAATTGATTGAAATAATAATATTTTTAGAATGATTTTAATTTTACAAGAATGTGATAATCATTTCTTGTCTTGCTTCAGATATATTATACTTGCAATCTTGTCTCTAATTATTGCAATAATCTCAATTACTTGGTCGCTATATTATTACAAAGCTCATGGGTCATTAAGATATGAAATAGCACCAATGCTCTGTTGTTGCTTATAAGCAATTGTTCATTTAGTTCAATACACCATTTATAATTCGAATCGAATGATAATTTCTGCAAGCCTATTACAATTATTTACCTTTATCCTTGTTTCTCAAAGCTTGGCCAATTTGAGATATCGATTTAAATATGCAGATGACAGTAGTTATTAATATTTATCCATTTAGTGGAAAAAAGAAAAAACAGATACTTGAGATTGATGATTGGTAAAGGTGCCTTTTATTTAGTTGTATTCTCATTGTAGTTTTTCTTTTTCTTTGAAATTGATGATTCTTCTTGCAATAAGTATGCTAACCATAGTTTAAAGTAGTTATTTTTATTACAGTCTTGATCTATTAGAAGTACAAATACTCATTATCACTATATTCACATAAATACACGGCTAATCATTGATCTACTATATTAGAAGGAAAGAAGAATCATAAAACCAAAATTAAGATTAATATTCCTAATTTCTTGACAGCTCATCAATGCTAAAAAATACCCTGAGCATGAAATTACAATAGATTAGATTAGTTATATGGGCATAAACCATTACAATGATAACATTCATAGTGCTCATTATAATTATGTACAATACCAACAAAGAATTATTTTGTTTTTAATAAAGCAAAGAATAATCATATTCTGTTTTTTAAATAAGCATTCAAATATTTTTTACAGGAGTACAACAATTTCCTTGTTTTTATATACCTTATGCATTTTACTATGCTGAAAAACCGAGATCAATATCAAGAACACCTGTTATCGATTTCAATATTTAACAAGATGAATCTACTGCTGAATAACAGATTTATAAGACTAGAAAAGATAGCTCATTTGATGACAATTTTATTAAAATGATTCATAGTATATAATAAAATGATTGATTTCACAATTTGCAATCAGTTCTTCAATAGTTTTTCAATATCTTTAATCATATCATTTGGACTAACGTCAGGACAATAATAGTTTATTACGTTTCCGTTCCCGTCAAGCAAAAATTTTGCAAAGTTCCAATGAACATACTTTACTTCATTTTTATTATTAATCCTCAATTCACTATTATATCGTAGATATTTATAGATATCGTGGGCTCCAATCCCATTTACTTCGATTTTCCTAATAAAATATGAAATATTTAAATACTGGAATAATGGAAAGTGGGCTCCATATTTTTAAGTAACATAATTTTTTATTTCTGGTTCTGGTTTGCTTTCTTAATTCCTAAATTAATTACATGGAAAACCTAGAATTTCTAAACCTTTATCTCTATTCATATTAAAAATGATATACTTGTATTGCTTATAAATTTCAACTAATTCAACATAATTCTACGTGGTTAAACGACAAGAACAAGCAACATTAACACAAATGTATGCTTTTTTTCCTTAAAATTTTGACATTTAAACTAGATTGCCATCAATATCATTTATTTCAAAATCGAAAAACGATTTACTTGGTACTTCTATTTTATCTAATTCTTTTTTTGATGAACAAATGCCCATATAATCTTGTACTTTGTAATGTGGTGTAATATGAAATTTTATTAATAAATTATCAAACTTTATAACTTTCAAATTAAATAATAATCATTTCTAATATTTTCTGAGAACTACCAAACATCCATTTTCATCAGTCATAAATCCCTATAATAAAAATTCAAAGGAGTTCTAGATTTGCTCACTTTTAAATTATCTACAAATTTTCAATAAATTATAGAAAATAATGGAGTCACGTATAAGGCATATAAGGGAATTACTTTTCATAATAAATATATGCAAAGTCTAATAATTTAAACTTAATATATCATGAATAATTCTCAAGATTTCTAATTAACTATAATACAAACTTTATAAGCATTTGTTTTCATTTGAAAAAAGCAAATAGCATTTGTGTAATTATAAACCTAAATTAGATGCTAAGTGATTTATTGGTTATCAATCTTAGCATATTTCACCTCCTTTTTCATTAAATGATTGACTAAGAAATTCCAGAAGTTTACCGATGGGAATTTATTTTATAAATTTTTATATTGTTATTTTTACTAAAATGGGATAGACTAACACTAGTACGATAATTAGATAGGAAGCTCTGAATTTAGCTTAGAAGAATTCGAAATGGAGAGTTATCAACGATGCTTATGAAATAAATTAATGCTTGCTAATGTCATCTGTGATTGATTAAATATCGTATGATTTAAGTAGTGTAAGTTATAAAGTATCAAGTATGACTGTAAACCCTTTAACATATGATTCCGTTTCTTTTCAATTGCTAATGAAGGAGGATAGAATGCAAATGTAATCCAAGATAATGTATAAATATGAAGTATTGAGACCCTAATAAAAGTAAAGAAAATATAAAACTGTAACAACTTAAACTGAATTAACATCAAATGATGAAATTTTTTAGTATTCTTCAGATAGAAAATAATAACGCAATAACCATAGCTTTGGGTCTGAAATTTTCCAAAAATATCAGATTGAGGAACGCAATAAATCACAAACTGATGAAAAACCAAATAAAAAAGATTAACGATTAAGAAGGGATTAAATATTTCAAGAGGTAAAATAACCAAAAACTATTAATAACAAGAGGGATAATTCTTTGGAAAAGACAAACATTTTTAAATTAGATTATGAATAAACTGAAAACTTTTCAAATGATCTAGTTGACAATACAAGCATGCTATCAATTAGTTAGAATTTTGCAAATTTAAAAAATCAGCCTTCACACAATGAAGATAGATCATATATACAAAATGAGAGATATTGGTCTTCAAGCCACTCATCAACTTTTATAGATATTCCTGTAAATGCTGGTCATAAAGCTTAAACTCATAAAAATTTATCTTAGAATCAGAAATAACTATAAAATAATATAGATTAAGGAGCATAATAAAAAAAAATGAATGTTTAAGACGACAATCACAGATTAGCATAATAGCAATCATTTGGATAATTAAAAATATAAGCACTACAATAATAGCAATAACAGTAGTAATAGTAATAATAATAATATTAATAATAGTAGTTATTGTAAAAGAATATTATATCTACATAATAAGAGTAGATGTAATTTCAATAATAATACCCTTAATAATAAAAATAATAATAATATTACCAATAATAACAATAATAACAATAATAATTTATTTTTCCTAATCAAGAAAAGGTCTCCTAAAATACTTAATATAATACTAAAGCAGGATATAATCAGGGATATAATAATCCTATTATAAATAATCTATAAATTGAGTCAAGTCCTCATTAAGGGTATACTTAAATTCATTCAAATAAAAAGAAAAATTAATATTCTAATCAACTTGGCAGCTCTCCTTTAAATAATTTCTCTTAGTAGCAATAATAGAAAAATCTTAAATTATAAAGCCAATAATTCTAATAATCACCAAAATAATAAATATAATAATAACAAGGATCTCCTTAAGCTTTAATTTAGTAATCTTTATAATCTAGCTCAGGACAATAAAAAGAATCCATGCGCTAATAATTTGATAGGTTACTTAGGGAGAGTCAAAGTTAAAAAGAATATTGGAAATTAATAAAACCAAAAGGCACTAAAGCTCCTGGTGAGTCAAAAGTTTATCAGAATATAGAATAACTAAAGAAAAAATAAAAAAGCCCTGACTATTATAATAAGCTTAAACAAAACCATTTAAAAAAGAGTTAATCTCCCATTTCTCTTAAAATGTAACAACAAAATTTATACATAAACAATAACAAATAAAATTAGGATAATAATTAACATGAAGTGGTAAATACTATAAATTTATCTCCAGAAAATTAGATTTAAACACTTTAAGATGCTCGATAAAACCAATAATAACTTAGAATGTAGAATAAACAGTAAAATAATTTAAATTTGGAAGAACTTAATTATAAAATTCAGGATATTCAAAAACTTAATTTATAATTAGATGAAAAAAGTAATAAGTTGTTTGGGTAAATAAAGTAAGATGTTTCAAATTTGCAGACAGCTATTACTTAGAATATCTCTCCATCAGAAAGAGGATTAAGAAAAAAAGAAACAATAAAAAATGGAATAAATTTAGATGATTTATTAGACTATGAATAAGGCTCGATCAACTTAGATGAATTAGCTAGTTACAGAGGTAGTTAAGAGTACAAATTATTGGATAATTACCAAAATTTTTGAATATTTTTTAATCTTAAATTATAATAGTGAATTAAACTAACTCTCATTAATCCATACTATAATCAACAAATTATTTTGTCGGTTGTCTTTAAATGGTTTATCTTTAAATGATTGACCTTTTATAAAGTGATATCTTCAGTTAATCTTCTCTATCCCTATGAGTAGATTAAAATAATGAAAGTAAAGGGTTGTTTTCAAAATAAACAGTGTCTAGTTATCTGAGTTCAATATCCAGGTTTAGATCTTCAGTTTCAGACTTTGATCGCCCAATTTATATAAATAATAAACCAATACTGTAAAGAATCATGCAAGCAATGGATACTGAGCCTGGCAAAGACTCCTAATGAAATTTATTATTTGAATACTTGGCCTAATAAATAAGAAAAGATGCTTCCAAAAAGTGGCTAAAAAAAGTTTGCTGAATTATATGTTAATGGATCAACAAATAATTGTACATAGGATTATAATTAATTCATCAAAACACCAGTGAATAAGGCATTAAAAAATATTTGTATAAAAAGAACTGGTTCTAAGAAGTCAAAGAAATTGTGCTAATTATCAAATGTAAATGTCATAATTATCAATACAATAGTGCTCAGTGCTCTAATTATTGAAAATAATGTAAAAGTAGGACAACACTAAGTAATTTTTGAGTAATATTTTGCACTAACTTATTATTAAATATTACTAATATAAAGTAGAAACTCCTCCTCCAAAAAGTGCTGTTAAATCTCCAAATATAATTTTATCCCATATTGAAACATCTTGTTTTGAATAAAATGTGTAGCCTATGTTAGTAAAGATAACCATTAATAAGATCAAAGCAACTCCAAATCCAAAATATTCCAGAATATGGCAATATTACTTTAATATGATTTTTGTTCCACAATAAATTAGCAATGAACTATTATAAAACATAAGGGCATGTGAGACATGGGTGTGAGTTACAGATATTGACAATGATACAGCAAATATCTAATAATAACTGATTAAATCATACTGCCTATGTTACTGACGCCATTAATAAATTAAATTCTTAACCTTTGAAGGAAATGATGCAATTTTTGTTGTTTTTCAATTCATAAATACTTATGGGAATATAGATTAAAGCAGTAAATCCTTATCTCCAAGCTGTTCTTATGATTGGACTTTTATGCATTGTCAAATATAGTGGACCTCTCAAAGATGATAAGATTAACTCCAATAATAAAATGCCATATATTTCATATAAGAATTTTTTGTCCCTATATGTTAAATGCCTTTAAATTACTAACGCTTATATGTCTATTCCAATTCTTCCACTTCCCTAGCAATTTAAGAAGATATTATAGGTTGAGGTTCAATTACTTTATTGATTTTTGGCTCAATTGTTTATTTATTTTGAGTTTGTTAATTATTGAGATCTTCAATCATATTTAACATAGAAGATGCTTTTTGAATTGAAGCTGAATGAAATGACTTGTCATTATTTTCATTAACTTTCATTAATTTTATAATAATTATAAATGATATGATTATATATAAAATAAAATAAATTGAAATGTTCAATCCATATGATCTTCACACTTTTGTAGTATATAAATTACTACTGTTATACATTCACTTTTATTTAGAGAATAATAAATTTAAGATATAGATTTTAATAATTAATTATAGAAAATAGTTAAGAAAATGCAATAACAGTAAAACTAAAGTTAGTAGGCTTCTAAAATATATAAGAAAGCGTGTCCTAATAATAATAGTTAAATCGACCAAAAGTAATTCTCTCCTCGAACAACTGAGTCGACAAATAGAAAAATCAATCACATTTATGAAGATGAATTCCGTTAAAGGGTTGATAACATATTGCATGAGAATCATTAATAATTAAACTTAGGGAATTAGCTATTAAAATAATTAGAAGATATAAAGTAATAGCAAGTTGATAAAAATGAAGAAATCCTAAGAGCAATAAAATTTTATAAGAATTTTCATACTCATTCTCCTCAAAGACATTCATCCACAGAAAAGAGAAGTATCTCTCCAAAGTCAAAAAATCCAAATGTATAATAGTGGTAAAAAGGATTTTAGAATCCAGATGTTAAGGATGTTTTTGATAAACTGAGTCAATATAAGTTTGTTGAATTAAACTATTTTCTAGAAGAATTGCATGAGTCTGATAAATAAGCACCTTCTCTTGCTTACAAAAAAATACATAATAAAGATTTGAATTCACTTCCAGAATAGATTAAATATTTCAGTCCTAGTTATTTAAAGTCAATTTTAGATTATTCCAAATCATAAGCAAGTTCTATAAAATAACATATATAACAAGTAATCGATAGTAGTATTGATAAAATTCATATTAAAAAACCATCTTTGAAATAATCAAGTAAATATGCTGATATAAATTGGTAACAAATTGAATAGAATTTTAAGGATTAAACTACATTGATCAATGAATTATAACATGAAGTATCTCTCTTATAAAATTAACTCACAACTTTATAACAGGATTTTGGATAAATCCAATCGTAGTAATAAACAAATGTTGAATAAACTGAAGAAAAAATAAGTAAATTATCGAACGAAATTCTTTAATTATCAGAAAATACAAATAGTATCACTTATTAAAAAGAATTCACTAAGAAATCCTCTACAATTTCTAGATAATCCATCAGTAACTTATCAGAAACATAAATAAAAAGAACAACAAAATAAAAATAGACAGATTTAGTTGAAAAACATGCAATGCTTAGTTATTTTAGAGCTGAATTTGCAGCTAATTTTGATGAAATTAATCAAAAGTTTCAATAAATGTTAGATGATAGTAAGTAAGCATTTGAAGAGAGAATTAATTGTTTAAGTTAAGAATTCAAAAATTTAACTGAAGCTATTAATTACACATAAATTTTATAAAATATTTCTAGCTCAGTAGAACCAAGTAATAATTAAGAGATGATCTAAAAGAGTTGTACTGAAAGAGCTTAAGAAATTATAGATAATGAAAGCCTTACTAATGTCAAGTCTTAACAAGAATCACAAAATTAAAATCAAGAAAAAGTGTAAGTGTAAGATTAATCAATAACATAAGAAATTGATACGATGAAAATGTAAAATGATGTCTTAATTAAGTAATCTAATTAGATGTAAGAAGATATACAAAGATTAAATAGATGGATAAAAGAGTTATAAAATTTTAATTCACTATATTAGACTAAATTTGAATAAAGACTCTCTTAAGTACAAAGTGATCATGAGCTTATCTAATAAGAGCAAGAATAATGTAAAATGATTATGACAACATTTAAAAATTCAATGAGAATAGATGCGATTCAAAATTCTGATAATAGTTTTAGATCTGATCAAGAGTAAGTTTTATAAAAATAATATTCTGAAAAAAATATACATTTTTATGTTTAATAATTAGATGTAAAAGTTCAAGAATTGGCAATTGAAGTTGACAAAATTGATAAAAAACTCTAAAAAATAATGGAAAATAAGACTACAAAAAATATTAGCATTAATGACATACTAATTAATCTTCATTAATAGTAACATGTAGCTAACATCTGTATAATATCAGAGAAAAAAGATTTCTTAACTTTGGGTATTAATTCAAACGAAATTAAAATCTCTACGTATATCAGTGTCTATGATAACTCCTTTTATACTGCATTTGCATATTAATTTTTAAGGAATAAAATAATGTATGAATAGGACGATTTCTATTCTTTTATTGAAGATATTAAAATACTTAACTTTATTATTTATTGTGATTAATTACAAATTTCATAATCTTAATTTGGCTAGATCAAACAATTGTTAATTCTGTATTTAATACAAATTTATAATGAAGATTAAGACCAAAGAATATCAGCATTCAATTAATTATATAAAAATTAGAATAATCTAAATTTTCACATTTTAGCCAATATATTAATTAGAAATATGTTTTAGTCAAAAGTGTAATCAACCCTTAATATATTAAATTGGAACACATAACTAGAAGATGCTTTAAATCTTCAGTCATTATCACAACAATTAAATATGTAATAGTTTTATTTATTTTAAGAACTCTTCATTTCATTCAAGTTTGCAATACTGAAATCAAGGAAAATATCTTTGAACAAGGAAAGGATAAAATAGAAATTTTAGACCATAATAAATAATATTATATTATAAATTTGGAATGAATTTAATTTGATAATCATTCTTAAAATTATTAACACTGAATAAAATTATAGAAGATTTGTATTTCAATATATATTTTTAGAACTCTTCTTATTACAGCTGTTATAAAGAAATTTTTTCTTAATAATTATTTTTTTTTACATTATTTCATCAAATATATCAATTACTAGGAAGAGAGTCTTCTTAAAATAATGAAATATCATATCAATAATTGAGATGTAAAATAGATGGAGATGATTTACAATATTTCCAAATATTATCTATTGATTAATTATTTATTGATAATAATTTAAATTCTATGTTCAAAATATAATAATTGTTTGAGGAGAATGGGATTCCTTTTGAAACAAAATTAGACCCAAGAAATTATAGGAAAATTTTAGATAAACAATTCACTCAACTAATATAATAATAAGAGAATGAATAAGTAAAATATTGAAATTGAATTTACAAGATTAATTTAGAAGAGGTTCTACAAGAATAGATTTAGTTAAAATAATAATTAGCTGAGTTAATTAGAAAAGTGCATTCAAGTGGGAAACCCAGAAAAAAGAATGCTAATAAAATAAAATAAAGAAAATACGAAATTAAGACATGCGAAGCATAAATCGAATAGATTGATTAATAATTGAAGGAAAGGTAACATTAGAAGCAGTCTACATAAGAGGAAGTTGAATTGCTCGGTAATAAGATAATGGAGATTAAAGAAGAAGCAAGTATACAATTTATTCAAATTTTTGTTAAGATGAATGTAGAGAAGAATTATAAAGAGCAACAGCCACAGTTTAGGAGTTATCATAATCATACTAAAAATTAGTTAATTAAAGCAATCAAATAAGAAATATATATTTGAATTTATAATAGGAAATTAAAGCTAGTTAACAAAAGCAAAACTAATTATAAGCTGCAAGTGTCCATTATGAATAAGAATTTGAGAAACTATGTAAGGAATAATAAAGACTTGATCCTAAGTTATTATAAAAACAATAAAAATTAGAAGAATTGGAACAACTCAAAAATAAATTAGACTTGGAATTGTCACAGAAGAACAATGAATTACAATAATCAAGATCATAATTAAAAGAGTTTGAAGACGAGTTGAATAAGACTAAAAGCTATGATAAATTAATCAAATCTGAAGTGAAGGCATAGGAATCCTTATAAATGGAAAGAAAGTTGCTTCTTGATGAATTTTAGCGTATATGCTCCATAAGTGGAATCGATTAATTGGCTTAATAATCCGATGAAGGAATTATGAATGAATTAGATTAGAAAATTTAATAAAACTAAGATACAATCGAATCCTAAGAAAAAATGCTTGATGGATTATAGAGTGAAATAAAGTAAGATTGATTCTCTTATAATAGTGTACTTATGGAAAAGGAGGAAACCTTTACCATCAGAAGAAATGAACTCCTCAATAGATATCATGGGTTAGAAAAGTAAATGGATGATTTGGCTAAAAAATATGCATAGTTTGATAAATGATTATAATTACATTAACATCAGAAATAAGTATGGATATATGAATGCTTTGTATATATCAACTACTGTTTTTGTTGATTAGTTTTATTAATTAAATCTATTATTTTATTAAGAATTGATTTAATGATTTCTTAATCACAAGTAGAATCAATCAATCTTCTTGAAGTAACTGAAACTTTGGAAGATAATTAGTAGTTATTTGTCAAGAATTTGGATAAGAGCCAAATTTATATCCTTATTTTATTAGAGATTATGTAATAATTTAAGAATTTGTTCAAATCTAGATATTCACAAAGAAATACGTTTGTTGTGGAATTATTTACTAAATAATTGAGAATTGAGATCATAATTATATGATATTTATATCTTTACTTAAATGATTTTGAGAAAAACAGTATTTTAGACCCTCAATAGCATTTGTTTTTCTTAAGACAGATATGTTGCTATTAGAATACAAACGCTGCTTGAATAATATGATGAATTTTCATTGATTAAAAAAATGTTTGCCTTGATTATAACCACAAATGGCTTAGAAATAATGTGCATGATTATTGAATAATTTCATAAACTTTAGGATTATTTTAATTATTATCTTAACTACAACATAAAATATACCGGAACATTAAAATATATTATAATTTTAACCTATTCGATAAAGATTAACAAGTTAGAATTATTGAGTATGTGACCATTTTTTAAAGCATTTGATCAATAAAAAATGTATAATAAATCACATCAAGTAATAGAAGTAATCAAATGGTAGAGTTATCAAATTAGCTATAAGCATTTGCTATTGAATTTTCAAATATTGGCTACTTCTTCAAGTCTATTCAAATTAATCAAGAATGATTTATCATTATGAAGTAAATTAAATTAATTTGAAAAAACTAAATTTAATAATAATTTATATAGTGTTATTTATTTCTACTTAAAGTCTTCACTATTAATTTTATTGTTTAAGAAGTTAATTAGATAAAATAATTTGAAAATATTTATTTAACATTAAGTTCTATTTTGAATTAATTAAATTATATAACAGTTAAAATTAAATGAGCTACTCATAAGAGTTCTCACCGTTGTCAATGAAGGAGGAAATGTTTTTTAAAAATGAAACTGAATCCACATCTTTAGAGTAGTAGTTACAAATTGCAAATGAAAAAGTTACTTAACTTATGCAGTATTAATAATAATTGAGGTATTTTATACATCAGTATCCGAGTGAAGAACTAGAGCACTTGCACTATAAATATAGTGAGGCTTAGTAGGAGAACGAAATCCTAAGTAGCCAACTCAGATAAGGCCCTGATGAAATGAAGTTTCTTAATTGTGTTCTCGATATGGTAAGAGTCTGTCATCCCTCTGATAAGCAAATAACTCTCAAATATGCTTGGAAATGGCTAAAATATGTGGTTGATGATTACATAGAATTAAGGAAACGAAATAAAAGCTCAAATTCTTAATGCGAAGTCTTCAAAAATCCTAAAAAGGATTCTATAGTAGTAGGAGATTTGTTGAGGAAAAATTGTTAAGTAGCTGAGAGTTAATATTTAAAGCATTCTAAATGCCACAATTGATAGTTATATATATTAAATTTAAGTTTTTGGTGACAGAATTAAATTAAATGCATTTGATCTTCAGTAGTTCATTGGTGTTTTGAAGAATTTCCTTATTTCATCATCATTATATGAGGAATATCTTATCCTTAAACTAGTCTACTATTGAGTAATCTAGTTTTATACTAAATTAGTAAATCATCTTAAATTTAATTCAATTATACAACTATTTTATTTATTAATATATAATATCAATAATATTATTTAATAAAACAACATGTTTATAAACATAGTTAAATGCATTTAGAATATATTTCAATTTAATTTATTGTAGAATTAATTTTAATTATGATAATAACACATAAAAATCCATTCTATCAAAAATAATTATTTATATAATAGTTATGGTATAAATGAACAAAATTCTATATTTTTGAATTATAAAAGAAATTATTTAGAGTTTATATTAATATCATTAATGAATCTTAAAATAGCATGTCTGGGCCAAGAATTCAATTTTGAAGAAGTTTATTCACTGGAAGAATTGAAATTAAGACTTTACTAAACTGAACCATCATTTATTTTAGAGTCACTGACTTATCAAGATGAGGAAGAGGATATCATTACATTAGCCAATGAGAATGATTTTAGTTGTTTGTCAACAAGTTCAAACTTTACTGTCCAAGCATAAGGGAAATTCGATGAAGAATGGGCAATAAAGGAATTCAAAAGAAATTAGAGATTGATTAAAAGAATAGCTAAGAAAGTCAAATAATTAAAAGAGAAATAGAGGAAAAATTTAATCCAAGTATATTTTAAATATATCATTTGAGGGGAGAATATTATTCAGAGAAGTTAAGAAATATTTTGTTATAACAGAAACAGGCTCAAGATATTGACAAAGACATAAAGACTATTAGATAATAAATTGAACTTTAACAAAAAATTAACATTATGAATAGTAAACTGTAGGTTAAGTCAGATGAGGGGAAATTCAAGTCCGCTATTTGTGAATTTGTCACCAAAGAGGAAGCAAAGTTAACCTATGAAGATGAAAATATGCAGAAATTCAAGAGAAAAATAGACTTATTTGAATAGAATTTATGCTAATCATTCTTTAAATGTTATTAAACTATGAGATTGAATTAATTTGTAGAAATAAAAGAAAAACAAATAACTGGTAAAGAAAAACTACTTGAATTGTCAAAATAATTACATTAATTAAAATAAAATAAAAAGAAATAATTATTGTAGCTCAATTTAAAAGAATGTTATTTTACCTAAAAATTAAGGGCTGCAAAATGCTTGTTGGAAAAATTATGAGTATTTTTTAATTTATTATTCAATATTAATCAAACGTTATTAAGGGTTTTGTACAAAAGTTAATTGTATTGAAATCATCAAAAGTATTTTAAGATATATATATGATAATCAAATATGAATTTTATATATAATAATTTATTAAATATTATGCTTAAAAAACTAAAGTTAGAAATTAAAGATGTTTCCGAAAAATTTCGGTCTAATAGAAAGTATACAAGTCTTGAAAGAGTGAAGGAAGTCGAGAAAATTGTACTAAATGAAATAAACAATAAACCTTTAGATTAAAAAGAATTACTATTATAACTAGCTTTAGAAATTGGTCATCCTTTAAAAGTTAGATCATAGGAGTTAAAAATATAATTAGAGAATTTATTATAAATAGTGTTAATTGAGTTGATAAATTGTCTTGAAAGTCTGAATAAGGATGCGAGCAAATATTATTAATGTTTAGAGGCTATTAACGATAAATTATACACTGTAATAGCCTACAAACTCAGATAATTAGTGCAATATGAAATATTTAAATTTAGAATTCCTAGATTTAGCTATTCATAAAGATTACATTAAAAAATGATTAATTAATTGTTAGCTATTGAAATTGATCATACATTTTTATAAGAAAAGAGAGATGCTTAATACGTTGAATAAATACGTAAGCAATACTCGGATTAAAAGAAAATAAGAACACTTTCATATGGTTTGATATTTGTCTATTTGGGAATATTATTTAGGTAGAAAAAGCGGATTTAATCCTTCAATAAATATTATAGATTCGCCTTATTTGGTTTTGTAAGTGCTGCGTTATTCTATCATCTATAATGACTATTCTTTTTCATTAAAGTAGATCTAAAATAATAAATATAAATTAATTATTATTAACTAAATAATTCAGTTTGTGGATGTTCATAATTCTTCTACAACACTCTGATGAAATCTGTTGTTAAATAAATTATAAATACAAATATATACAATTAAAACTTTAATAAAGAATTTAATATTTTAACTTAATTAAAATGATCACAAACCTTTTCAACTAACCTGAAATAAGCAAAACAATAATCTCTTGTCTTAATTCTAAGGATTTAGCCAATTTTAGCAGATGTAATAAATACTTCAAAAACTAATTGAATTTTATTTTGAAAAAGCATTTAGAATAAAGATTGATGCACTTTTTAAATGTATTTGAAATTTTTATATTCCATTTAGAGTTTAAGAGAGATTTATAATTTCAGAAAAAAAACTATCCCTATGTTACCTAAAGACTTATATAAAGTACCCAAAAACATGGAAATAAAAATTAAGGATTTAGGTGCTTAAGTTATCAAGATTTAACTCAAAGATCTTCCAAAACAATTTCTTAATCTTAAATGGCAACCAGTCAATATTAATGCCATCCTGCCTGAAGATAGTAAATTAAGCACCTAAGAAAATAAAGCATTTAAATATAATGAGAATTATATTATAATAAACAGATCTTTGATTGATCAAGGATTAAATTATGAATTTTTGGAAGTAAATGAAGATTGTTCTAAAGATATATTAGAAAAGATTGCTTAATCAAATGAATTTGCTAATTATTAATTAGATGATATGTAGAGTATATTAAGAAGGTAAAAAGAAATTCTTGAGAGAGTTAACTAAAATAAATAGAAGGTTATTAAGCAGAAACAATAATAGGAACCAAATTTATAATAACTAGATGATGTTTAGAAATTTGCTATCATATTATGTCATGGAGGATATTTTTGTTTAGGAGTCTTTGACAATACAGGATGCATTTATCATAAAAGTGATCATCGTTATGTTGTAAGAGGCAAGGCAGGAGGTCGATAATTAAACAAGGACTCCCACTCTGGATCTAATATAAAATCAATTGGATCTCAGATAAGAAGGGCGTAAGAGAAAAAGCATCAAGAAAAGGTGAATTCAATTCTAAAAGAAGCATTGCCAATATTACAAACGTGCTAAATTCTATTTCTCTAGGCACCAGGAATAAATTAATAATTGCTGATTCAAAATGAAGAACCACTATTTCTTCTCAAAGATAAAATAAGATCTATTTGCCTAACAGCAAAAAAGGCAAATTATACTGAAGTGGAAAGAGTGTATAAATCCATAACGAGTGTTTACTTAATTTAAAAGGAAGAATCCTTTTTCTTTTGATTATATTTAAATTTCTCAAATTCTAATTAATTAATTATGCACTGTAATTTAAAGGGTATTAAACTTAATTAATATAAAACAATTGTATTTTAATAATATGAAATTATTTCATTCTTTTTTTTTAGATTTTATCTTTTTGATTTTTCCATACTTTTCAGCTATGAATGAATTGTAAGATTTATTGCTTCCCATGATCGTATCCCAGAAAACGAAGAAACTGCCATAATTGCCAACATTATGAGAATGATGGTAATTGTGCGATTCAGCACTGCTTGAAAAAGGCAACAATCTATATGGACTCCAAGAGAATTCATAGCCACTATGGCCATCTATAGTTTCTCCAATTCTAAACAATAGCCATAATTGTAATGTGGCTATATGCATTTTGTTACCCAATATTTTTTATCCAATAAAAACTGGGATTACATTACCAAACATGTATTCAATAGGATGTGTATAGATGGCAGCATAAGACACACTGGTGTAAAATTCATGATGTTTTTTATGAATAATTGAATAGAGTTTCGGAGAATGTAAAGTTCTATGAGTCCAATAAAAACATGTATCTTCAATTAGCATTGAAAACACAATTTACCAAATCATTTCAAATATGGTTGGGAATGAATCTATGTCATTCCTTATTAAAGGACTTAACAAAGTGTCTAAGATGCACATCAGCACTCCCAAACACATATTTATAGAAGTACTCTTCCAAACTTCCCTGCGTTTCTTTCTCCATTACTCTGGATTTTCATCCCATGGCCATGGATTCTATTATTCTTTAATAATCAATACCTATCTTGTTCTATATCTTTCAAAAAAGGGGGACTTGGCTTTATAAATAAAATACATCCCTAAGTTACCCAAGGAGAAACCCAAAAGATGAGTGGAAATCAACATTATCATTTATATATATTGAGCTACATTATATAGATAAAGCCATTACGCTAAAGGACTTGAAGCCACGATAAGTATTGATATTATATTATTTAGGGGAACACAGTAAACCCAAAGAGTGTAAAAAGCATAGCAAAAATCAAACCATAGCCTTAAAATCTTATAAATGATTTATACCTTTTCTTTAATATCTACCTTCTTCTCTTTCAATAATTCCGTCATTTGTATCCTCAGAGCTTACAGAGGAATCGTTTGAAGAATCCATTTTTTATTTTATTATGAATATTTCTGAAAATGATATGTATTCGTTAATACTAGCAGTTAACAAGAGATCCATGTTTAAAACTCAATACGATATCGAGTTTATTCACTCTAAATTATAAGACTAACCATTTTTCAGAAATATGCATAGGCAAATAGGAGACACTTAATATTATAAAATCCTTAAAGAACTCCAATATGAATGTCATCTACCTTATGAACCTTAAGTTTAAATAGGGGAATAGAGTACTAAGTTGTATTTTATACTTGCTGGCAAATTTCTAATTCTTACTCGCAATCACTAATCGAATATTTAATTGCCTTCTGAAATGTAACCTAATTTAGTATATCAAGTTAAAAGAAAGTAGATTCACAATACTCTCATCTCATTCCTTCAGGTTATTTATATCCAGGATAATATTTTGGAGAATAAGTTATGATCTTTGATTAATCGCACACTCAAACAGTGCTGCCTATAGAGAAATCACATCTCATAGTCTTAAAAAGAGAGACATATAGAAGAATTATAGGTATGTTATGCTTTACTATAAAAATTAGAATAGGAAACCAAAAAGTAAGAATCCGAAAGATTTGCAAACTTATGTTAGATTCCTCTCTTTTAGAAATGGAGTGCTAAAACAATAAGAAGTTTGGTTTCTGAAATTTAAGAGCTTAATTTTACTCCTAATTAGATTATATATCAATAAGGAGATCCTGTAGATTCTGTTTATATTATAATTGATGGATAAATCTAATTATATAGGACATACAATAAAAGTTCATTGCCTTTATCTATTATGGGAGCTAAGGAATGCTTTGGAGAAGATGAAATACTCACTCAATTTAGATCTCATTCTGCTAAATCCTTAAGTGGTGTTAAACTGTATAGAATATTAAAAAATAAATACTTGGACCATATCCCTTAGGATTACTCTAGTAAATATTTCAAAAAGGATTCTCATCATAAACTCAGTATTTATTAGAATGAAGACTAATTTCGAATTTATAGGTCAGAATCACTAAAGAATATTAATTCCCCTGCCAAAGTCATGCAAAGAATTCTGACTAGAAATAAGGAAAAGAATAAGACCTATTAATCTATTTCGTTTCAGAAAATAAATGAATTAATGAAGAAGGATTTTAGACAATCCAATACATCTACTGTACTACAAAAGTCTAATAGTATGCATGAACATACTCGAATTCATGCTACTGGAAAATTTGATAAGACAAATTATTTACTTAGTCATATCAGAATGAGATCAACAAGTTTATGGAAAAAGACAAAGTGATAGCATTATTTTTGTTTTTCCTTTTATTTTCCTTATTTTAAATTAAAATGAATAAATCTCAATTTTAAGATAAAAGCCTTTGCATTTATAAATTTCAATCCATAACTCCTAGCTTTAGAAGCCAATCTTCAAGAAATTAATACTATAAAATTTTGAATACAAACAAAAGTAAAGATGCAGTTACTGAGAGAATCAATGGGTATTTTTTTGATTCAAATTACAAACCTTATTCTCTCTAAAGAAGGCGTTTGCAACCGGAATTGTAAATTAATGACTATTTCTATACTTCTATTGACCAATCATAATTAAATTCAATTAAATATGAAAAACCAATTATTCCTCATCGCAAGAGCAGTTAAAATAGAAGACTGGATACAGAACTTTAACATAGTCCTATCTTGAGCAAAAATAAAATATTACATTAAATTAAGATGTTCTCTGTAGAACTTCCATAAAGAGAATTTAGTCTAAAAAGAAAAGAATAAACTATTTTGAAAAAGAAAAAAAGAATCTCTGGATTAAATGTGTTTATGAAGTGATTATTACTTTTAATAATTAATTATGAATATAAATTCTTTTGAAATATTTTTAGAAGAGTTTAAATTTAATATCAAGAGGCACAATTACTCGCTTACTCGATAGTAAATAGAAAAACTAGCAAAAAAGAAATGGATGGCATTGGAAGACTCTCAAAAATTTAGATTTATGGTTATGACACACACTGACTAGGTTTATCAATAAATAAATGAATTCTAAATAAATGATTATAATTTCAAAAATGAATTTTCTGAATAAGCTATATTGTTAAAACGAATTCTTTAATCNGATGGATAAATCTAATTATATAGGACATACAATAAAAGTTCATTGCCTTTATCTATTATGGGAGCTAAGGAATGCTTTGGAGAAGATGAAATACTCACTCAATTTAGATCTCATTCTGCTAAATCCTTAAGTGGTGTTAAACTGTATAGAATATTAAAAAATAAATACTTGGACCATATCCCTTAGGATTACTCTAGTAAATATTTCAAAAAGGATTCTCATCATAAACTCAGTATTTATTAGAATGAAGACTAATTTCGAATTTATAGGTCAGAATCACTAAAGAATATTAATTCCCCTGCCAAAGTCATGCAAAGAATTCTGACTAGAAATAAGGAAAAGAATAAGACCTATTAATCTATTTCGTTTCAGAAAATAAATGAATTAATGAAGAAGGATTTTAGACAATCCAATACATCTACTGTACTACAAAAGTCTAATAGTATGCATGAACATACTCGAATTCATGCTACTGGAAAATTTGATAAGACAAATTATTTACTTAGTCATATCAGAATGAGATCAACAAGTTTATGGAAAAAGACAAAGTGATAGCATTATTTTTGTTTTTCCTTTTATTTTCCTTATTTTAAATTAAAATGAATAAATCTCAATTTTAAGATAAAAGCCTTTGCATTTATAAATTTCAATCCATAACTCCTAGCTTTAGAAGCCAATCTTCAAGAAATTAATACTATAAAATTTTGAATACAAACAAAAGTAAAGATGCAGTTACTGAGAGAATCAATGGGTATTTTTTTGATTCAAATTACAAACCTTATTCTCTCTAAAGAAGGCGTTTGCAACCGGAATTGTAAATTAATGACTATTTCTATACTTCTATTGACCAATCATAATTAAATTCAATTAAATATGAAAAACCAATTATTCCTCATCGCAAGAGCAGTTAAAATAGAAGACTGGATACAGAACTTTAACATAGTCCTATCTTGAGCAAAAATAAAATATTACATTAAATTAAGATGTTCTCTGTAGAACTTCCATAAAGAGAATTTAGTCTAAAAAGAAAAGAATAAACTATTTTGAAAAAGAAAAAAAGAATCTCTGGATTAAATGTGTTTATGAAGTGATTATTACTTTTAATAATTAATTATGAATATAAATTCTTTTGAAATATTTTTAGAAGAGTTTAAATTTAATATCAAGAGGCACAATTACTCGCTTACTCGATAGTAAATAGAAAAACTAGCAAAAAAGAAATGGATGGCATTGGAAGACTCTCAAAAATTTAGATTTATGGTTATGACACACACTGACTAGGTTTATCAATAAATAAATGAATTCTAAATAAATGATTATAATTTCAAAAATGAATTTTCTGAATAAGCTATATTGTTAAAACGAATTCTTTAATCAAGAAATAGAGAGTTTATTATAAATACTATTTAAATCAAAGATTGGAATACAAACATAGAAGCAGTTAGTTTATTTGCAATTAGATCTGAAAGGACTTCAAAATTACTTTGGCATACATTAAGAGATGGCTTAATAAATGAAACAAGGGAGGGTGAAGTAATAAAAGTCATTGAAAATTGCTTAAATGATTAACTTAAATTTGAATGAATCTATACTAAGCGCACTTATACATTTTATAATTAAAAATGTTTTTTTAAGCAATTAAATACCCATTTCACTTTTTATGATAATATTCGTAATAATAATATAATTTCACACGCCCGGCAGCTTCTAATTTATTTTCGAATATAAATTATATATTTCAGATATGAACTGGTTTTATTTAATTATCTCCTCCTTATTTTCATTTATCTAGCCTATAATTGCATCGTTTTATAATTTGATTTAATCAATTTCCTCATTCTTCTATTTATTTATATTCATTAAATTTTTTATTTCTAGATTTAAGTTTTCTATCATCTATTGTTTTCTTATCAGTGTCTCCTAACTTTACTATTAAGTTTGTTTAACTGAATCCTTCAAGATTGTCAATTGTGTTTGCAATTCTTGTTAATTTTATTTGTATTCTGAGGTACATAAAAATTCCTTTCTCAATTCTGTAGTCAAGGCAGTCTTAATAATCATCATTTATTATTGTTAATGCTCAGCAAGTGAATTTAAGTTTTTCATAACCAATTGTAATTATTTCTGTACTTCTTGATTTGTTGTATTTTCACATAGTTCTTATTTCTCATTTTTTATCTATTGTTAATGTATAATTTATTTTTCTCTGCTTTATTCTTAATCAATTTTATTGAAAAATGATTCCAATAATAGAATTTTTGAAGCTTATGAATTTACTTAATTACTTAAGTCAGAATTTTATTTCTTGAATTATTCTTAGAATTAGAGGTTTTGTTGGTTTGTACTTTATATCATTTATTCTAATTGTTTGATTTATTGATTCAAAACCAAATTTGATTTCTGATCTAACTATGGTTCTTATTAAAATTATTTGTTTTAGAATTTTGAAGGGCTCCCTCCATTGTTTTATCTATTTTTATTGTTAGCATTATTTATTTAAGTCTTTTATTGTTATTAAGCACTAAATGAAGAATTGATAGATATGTTGAGAGATTGATCACTAGAAGCAAACTAACTGAAAAGGAATTATTTAACAGCTCTAGCTTTTTTTGTTTCTTATGACACAATTTTAGAGAATAAGTCTTAAGTTGAACTACTCTTTTCAATAGGTGCTTAATATAAGGCTACACTTGGATCTTGTGTCAACATAGGACTGTTTAACTCTTTAATGAATTGATCTGTTTCTTGCTATTTTAATTTTAAGGTTATATTTTAGACTATTGATTCAATTGCTTCTTTCCAGTTGGATTCTGCTTAAAAGCTCTTTATAGGAAGATTTTATTACATTCTTAATTTGAATCTCAGTTGTTTGCTTCCATGAATTATTATTTGTTATGGATTCATCAAGTATGAGAGATTTTTCTGGAGATTTCATGGGTTACTTCTAAAATCCAAGCATTGGCGATTAATTTCTATTTTTTAGAGCTCCTGTTTGAAATATGGATTATTTGGTTGGAGAGGTTGGCTTTTAAATTGTATTCTTACTCATGTAATTAAAATAATATTAATATATATCACGTTCTAGCCTACAATGACAAGTTTTCTAATATTTTTGGATCAATTTTAGAATCACTCCTACTATTTCTGATAGCACAATCTAAAATTTCCATATAAAATCCTGCGATTAATCCTTCTTCATTGACAGAAACCATATCATAAAATAATTGTACTACAAAATATAAGTCAACCTAAAATTATTTCAATAGGTCTTCTGAAAAATAAGTCTTCTTACTTTTTGTAACAATACTTTCAAAACATACTTTACAACAGTTATTAGCAAACTGTATCTATCATTAATATTGGCTTCTAAAATCTTGCACTTTCTAACCATAAAAATCTCCATTTAAATGTTGAAAGTGCTTTATTGTATAATTGATACTTTCTAAACAAGTCCTCTTTTTGTATCAGAAAACAGAAGACCTAGTGCTTCAATGAAATTTTTTTCACTTCATTTAATAACATCTTTTATGTAATCTATTGCTAGTAAAAAACATTTTCTTCATTTAAATATTAGAACAATGATGTTAATCCAATGTTCACTCTAAGCTTATGCAAATAACATTAAATTCTTCTATGTAGATCCATTAATATAGTTTTTAAGTTTATTTAATTCTTAATAAGATGGTTATCGAACTTGAATTTAAATTATATAATTTACTTTTGTATCCTTAAAAAAACTTAACTTACAAATAATTTATTACTCAAAGTCTTAGAATACAATTATAAGAATTAATTTGAAAACAAATAGTAATATGTAGAGTCGTTTGTGTTTAATAATGGCAGTACTTACTAAATAATATAATTATCATTAAATAGTTAGCTTAATTAATCCTGAGAGATGCATATGGATCTAAAGGCAAATATTTTACCAATAAATTTAACAAATTCAATTAAGGAGGCTTAAATTAAATTTAAATAAGTCTCCTACTCCCTGAGATAACTCTATTATTAAGAAAATACAAAAGCCTTAAGATCTAATAAGCGGATAGTTGTGAAGGCTATCAATTTTTGCTTGATTACAGTAATGAGAGTCATTATTTCTCTTTTGATTTCATCAGTAGGTTACAAACGTTATAAATCATTTTTAGCAAACACTAGCAACTCTAGAAATTAAACCCTTAAATGACTAAATGATGTAAAAGCCTATCCTCTACATATGTTCTCCACATTTTCTGTAAACTTATCAATTATTTCAGTTCTTAATTATTATCTAATTGAATTATTTTCAAATAATAATTGGACTTCAGTTTACAACTTAACGAAAACTTCATTAACTTAAACATTATTAATTTTCTTTTAACTCATCTTATCAGTAAAACCTTGAAACACTCCATGAATTATCTCTTTGATACATTGAGTTGACAATTGCTCTAATGATTTATCTCTCAAAGTTCCTTTGTTTTCAATTAGCAAAAAGGAAACTTCTACTTTCAACTACTTAAATATTATTTAACATAATTGATTTAACCATAAAATGGATCCTTAAATGGCTGAATCAGAATTCACTATTTCTTTTTCTTTCATTTATTTATATTCCTCCAACTCTTCAACAGTATAATCATATCTTTTATCTTCTAAATAATACATCAAATTCACTACTTCTGAGGATTTTGTGATTGCTGCTTTATCTATCAACTCCTTAGCTACAGTCAAATATCTTTCTTTGATTATCTTCTAATAATGTCTCAGCACAGCTTCTTCATCATCCATTATTTGTATCAACTTCTTAACTGATGATCTGGCTTCTTAAGTTGAAATTGACACTTTAGATTCAGAATACAATTATAAAAGCGGATTTTATTATTTGAATTCGATTAAGGAACTCCAAAGAATCTGTCTTGTGTTATCCAATTTTTAATTGGTCTCTTTGTAAATTGGTTAAATTAGTGGTTCATTTTTGTATTGATCCAAATTTGAATAACATTGTTTGTAATACTAAGCAGTATCATTATAATATTCATCGTAATTCTTTCCTTTGCTTATTTTATATTAATCCAATTCTTTTTATATAATATGGGGGAAATTGCAAACTGAATTAAGACGACTCAAATCCTTATTGACAGTATCTAGTTTTATGATTTCTTCTCTTTTAATTGATAATTAAGAATCTATTCTCCTAGACAATTAGGCTATTTTAGTCATGGATGATTCCAATGTCTCAACTTTTTAATCTATTTAGGTAATATCAGTTTTCATTTTCTTAACTGTGTCAATTGAAGATATGAATTTACTACAACTAAGTTGAGCTATTATCTATAATTTTCAAAACTAATGATTATATATCCTAATCATATTCTTTAATCTCTTATTACAATTAATTATGTCTTTGTATTAAATCTTATACACTATGATTTTTTAAGAATTCACCAACATATTTCTGGCAATCAAACTTATTTGAATCGATGTCAAGCTAATCCATATATGATTATGAAATAAATAGTGTATAAATTTAATTATTAATACTAGTTGAAATATATTGATTTTTTATTAATAATATTATTGATACTGTTCATATATTTACTTCAATTCCAGTACAATTATGAATAAATTTGCCTGTCAAAGTATGGATCGTTCTAGAATGAGAAACACACACAAAGGGTTCATCAAATTAGAGGTGCTTCTTGCACTCTTCAACCCTTTTAGTGTTTTCTTCAAAAGTTTCTACTTAAATTGGATGCTGTTTCATGTACTCCAAAACCTTTTCGACACAGGCCTAACTTCCATATTCAGTGTCTTTAATGTATTGTTTCAAAATGTTTGCACTATTTTAATTATATATAAATTCAAGAGACCACATGTTTGGATGCTATTTTATTATAGGGTTAGCTAATAATCTATCATAATTAATGAATGGGTATTCATTAATGGTTTCTTGTAGTCTAATCCCAAAATCACATCCTGAAAGAAACATTTCGCGTATGTATGGTTCTACTACGAACTTAGGTTTATTAGGATGATTTTAAAAGAGTAATACAGCTGTTTCTACTGCTCTTTTTAGTGGACTAACAACCACTGTCTCAATTCTGAGGTCTTCGAATTTAGTTGGATCACACTAAGTAAGTTTAATAATCTATGTTGGTAAGTACTTATTCTCTTCCAAATTTAGTTAATGGAGCATCGCAATATTTAGATGAGTATTTCACATCTTAATCTTCTTCCTCTAATTTAACTTCAGTTACTGAATTCTTTGCAATTCTCTAAGCTAAATTATATTCTGATTCTGCATGTCTAATAAAAACTACTTTCTTTTCCATTATTATAATTTAAATTATTATTAAAATGTATTGCTAATTCTCGACTATCCAAAGTTTCCAAAGGCTTTGCAATTTTCTATAAAATAATTATAGTCTTCATTATATAATCTGTAAATATCTATGATATCATCATCAATTACGTTCATCAATCCAATTAAAATATCACATTAATTTTCTATATGGATCAATAATCCGACGCAAGTACACAAGAACAGGCTTTAAGTCAGAAGGAAGAATCCTAATAAATATCACCTCAAACAGTCCTCTCCCAAGAGCCCATTAAAGAAATCGAATATCCTGATTTCTAAATTACAATATAGATTGAGGATGCGATTATCAAAGATGGGGGATTTGGCTAAAAATTCACCGCCTACTTAATTAAGGGCATAGATAATCAAGGGTCGTTCGAGATCTACAGAAGATATAATGACTTCTTTGAACTAAGAGAATTATTGGTGAAGAAATGGCCAGGATGCTATATTCCACCAATTCCAGAAAAAGCACTAGCAAGTGGCAATGACAATGAGACAGTCTAAATCAGAAAAAGACTTATGGAGGTCTTTTTGAACTCCATTTCATAATTACCGTACATCTATTATTCAGAGGATTTTTAATAGTAGTTCTTAAGATCCAATTCTCCAGATATTGCAAAAGTACATATCAATTTCATTATAAAAAGGTTTATTAGCAATAGAAGCCAACTACCACAAATGAAATTATTGATAGATTAAAGATAGCCTTCCCAAAGCTTGATGTAAGAGACTAATCTAATAGTGAATATATGTTAGCCATTACTACCTTTTCAGGTTAATTGAAAAAAACATTGGCCATCCTCAAAACATATATTGAATAAGCTAATTTTGTTTCACAAACCAGAAGAATACTATAAGATGAAAAAAGTATTGAAGTCTTTAAATATAGTGAATTTATTTAATGCAACTCTGCCATTTTATGAAAAGATTATCCTAAATGAATATGTTTATGGAAAAGAGTAGTAATTAGTACTCTCCAACCCTTCAAATTAAGAGGACTATAAAAGATTGTTAGAAGATATTGTAAACTTATTAATTATGATCTTGTTAGAAAGATAACAATAAAAAAACCAATAGCATTAATTATTTAGCAGACTTATTTCGATATGAATTGAAAGACGCTGAGTGTATGCAACAAACCTTAATTTACAGAGATCAAATCATAATCATCAGAGCAAAACAAGAATAAAAAATGAGAGAAGACTAAGCTGAATTAGCTAAAATGGCTGCAAAATAATAAACTTTAACCACTATCACTAATTCAGCATTCAACAAATCAAAGGATGCCTCATAAATTAAAGTCGAATAAAGAATTTCTGAAGTAAATTATAAATAGTAATTAGGGATAACAAGAAATAGACAGGCTATCTTCATTATATAACATAATTACAGCAATAATTGCAACTAAAGAAATTGAAAAATATAGAAAAGCTAGAGTTAATCATTATCATAAATTCTTGAGAACTATCTAACAATCAGAAACCAAATTGTATCAAATTGAAAATGAATTTTTGGAAAAAGTCATTCAAGATTCTTAAAATCAATTGTCTTCATCAAAATAAGATGAAAAATAATAATAGCAGGTTTAATAAGAACAAAGACTCCAATAACAAGAATAATAATAATAGCAATAATAATAATAATAATAGCAATAATAATAATAACAATAATAACAACAATAACAATAATAATAACAACAATAACAATAACAATAGCAATAATAATAATAATAACAATAATAGTAATAAGAATTACCAGATTAAGAATTACCAGATCAAGAATAACCAAAATGATTTATATCATATCAGTATTGTAATTTGAATAATCTTCTTCATAGTCAACTATATAGTTATATATATATAAGATCCTTATATTCTAATCTAAAACATAATCATAAAGCTATAGATAAATTTATTTTAAGTAAACGATGTTAATTTTATCAATTCTATTGAGATTTTTTTGATACTTGGGAAGCAAATGACTTTTAACTAGATCTTTATGAACCTTAGCTTATCCTTTTAGAAACTTGGCTATATCTTTTCATTTAAGGAGAGGTACCATTATCTTAATAACTTTGTTGCTGATTAAATTAAGGCTGATATTATTGGGGTGGTTAAGGGGGAGAATATGGCATCATTGGAGCTGCATATTAAGGAAAATTTGGATTCACAAATTATCTGTAAGGATTACTAAATTCAAGATCGACATTAGCCTAAACTTCCTCATCTAGAAATTGCTATAGTTAATACCTAGTTATTCTTTCTTTTATAATCTCATGTTGGGATACACTTATTCAAGCGCTTCATGACTTTAAATACTTGGAACTTTCATTCCTAATTAAATTGCCTTTGGAAATATCAATTTCTTTATTTCTTACTCCTTTATTCTTTATAATCCGAAGTTTAATTATCGATTAAGCTTAAATAAATAGTCTTATTCAGCTTTTTTTTATCTTGCAATTACTGTTTTTTTTTCTAATTCTTCCAGTTCATCTTCCATTTGTTATTTTCTTTTGTCCATTCTCCAATTAAAATCTTCAGTCAATTAAGCTATTAATTCATTTTATTTTGCCAATAGGTCTACTAACATTTCCTCTTCTTATCTTTATTTTAATCTTTGCATAATTGCTCCTGCTCCTAAATTTACCATCTAATATGACATATTGTTCTAATTTGAAATCATCATTGGTTAAGATTATGAGTATAGAACTGGTGGACTTTCAAACTATGATTATTAAACCTAAAATTGAGGTTGATACATATAGTCTCTAAGTTATTTTCTTGTTATAAAAATATTAATGTATAAATTAAATTGAAGAAAGTCCTTTACTTGAAGTTTAATTTCTTATATATAATACTAAGGAGTTTATTAGATCATTTACTATTTTTGTAAGCAGTTGATCTATCAACTGTTATGTTTTTGATGTGACCAACTAATTAAATATTTTTTCATCCTTTATGATATCATTTTTTAAGAACTATTAATAGAAAATTGATTTGTTAAATAACATTATTGAGTATAAGATCAAAAGTAATCAAAACTAACAAATTATTAATTTTACTAGAATATATATATTAATATTTTGTTAGAAAAATTAGAATTTGAAGTAATGAATTATTTTGTTGTTATTTGAGGGTTTGAACCTTTAATAGGAGAGATACCTATATATTTGATTTTAATATGCACACTCAATTTAAGAATTTATATTGATATTATTATTATCTAAACTTCAATTAGGTCAATTAAAATGATAGGAGATATTTTAAAAATAATAATAATGATATTGATCAGATAGCGACGTTGAAACTGACATCAATGCTGTTTCAGATGGTTGATCCATAGTACGTCTCATCATATTAAATAATTAACTAAAATACTTATATTATGATATAAATAATAATGATATTAATTTTATGGGTTGTTTCATAATAAACCATTTTATTATAACAATTATTAATACCTCAATATTTTGGCATCTTTTTATTTCATAAGTTCGTCCATGCGATGCAACTTTTATTCTAATACCTAAAATTGCAAAATAATAATGATATTATAACTTCAATGGTTTCACGCAATTCAAAAAGTTGTTAGTCTTTTTGCCATTCATTGGCTAATAAGGGTGGTGCCATTTGACTATCTGCTTATTATGGTTGTTTTTCAGCAGAATTAGCATTGTTTTCTAAATAGTATTCCAATTTGGCTTGAACAAACTTCAATACTCTCTCAATTGCTTCGGATTAGCATGAAATCACGCTATCAACTTATTCTCTAGATTAAATATTCGAATTTTTACTTTGAGAGAGTAAAGCCAATCCTTTTGAATACTTTGGTATTTAATGTATCCCAATTATACTTTTTCTACTTAACCGAATTAGCTTGACTGTAATTATGCATCTGATCAAATTCAAATCATTAATACATCAACCAATTTAGGTAGAAAGTAATGCATTATTTCAGCCATCAATATGCCATCAGCGAAATCTCTGGCTATATTCTTTTTTGGTCTGGTGAGAGGTATTTAATCAACCCATGTATATATTTCATTTAATTCTTCTTCTTTTAGTGGTTAAAGCATAATTTATTGAATATAATCAATTATATAATAAATAATTATGAATATAATAAGATTTAATTTATAGCTAATTTATTACGTAATGATAAATCATTGGAATAATGTCTAAATTTCATTAAACAATAAACTCTCTGATATCATCAACATCGATGGGATGTCTCTAATAGGTTTTAGGATTTCCCATCAATTCCAATTAGTTTTCACTAAATGGTTCATAGAAGTTAATGACTCTATCAACTCCATTATAATGAGGCAAGATGACGTCAAGGAACATGAATAGTTCAGATTCATGATTCTAGAAAGTATAAAACTATAAGATACATTAGAAAACTTGTGTAAGTTGCACTTATTTGGAGTTGTGTAGCAATTATCACCTTCTTTTAGTTATAATTTTGGATGTTGAAGTGCCTTCACAATTCTAGAATCTCCCTTGGTTTTTCTGAACTCAATTTGTTAATGATGGTCAATAGGGTCTACATCCCATGATTCTCTTTCCCCCAATCCATTCATAACATGACTCAAAACGAACATGTTGGGATGATCATGTAAAGGCATTCTAACTCCTGGTCTCAAAGCAAACATGGCTATAGTGAAACGGTGTTCTGGTTCTAGATGTATAGGTAACATAGATATGTCTCCAATAGGTTTAAATTCCTTCTTAATATATTCTTGTAATTATTTCGTTTTAACAGCTTCAAAAGTAGCTTCAGTAAGAGCTCGATTATCAAATGTGTCTAAGTAGGTTGGACCTAATCTTTAGAACTAGGTGTAGACTTTTACGACTTCTTTTAATAATTTATGCATGCCTATTTCTATTTAGATTTAAATATTTATCTAAAAAGAGAAAATTAAGATTGATTAAAAAGGAGAAAAATTAATTATATTTTTTAACAGCAAATTTTTTAACAAACATATGAGCTATTCAGAAAAGCATAAAAGAAACACTTCTCCAATGATACGAGCTACAAGTGAGGACAGAATTAAATAAAATTCATCAAAGGAGAGTAATATTCTTTGTCTGGAGTAGTAGATAGAAAAAGTATGAAATCGTTTAAGATTAGGTTTAACAGTAATTAAATAACAAATATGAAGATAGAATGAGATTTGTCGAAGAAACTATCTAAGAACATGAGGAGAAATTTGAAAATTTCATCAAACTAATTAAGTTGCTTTAACACTTTGCTACAACGCAAGAACATGAAAATAAAAACATTAGAAATCATATTAATGTGTCCATGGAATAGTTATACAATGAAGAACTTAATTAGTTAAAGGATTAATATCTAAATATAGAATAATCGCTTTCTCAAATCTAGAATTCATTGGTCAAAGAATAACCTTAAATTTAAGAATTTGAGACAATTATTAATAAAAAAATTGATGTAATTATGGAGGAGGTTCGATAAAGTGCTCTAAAAACAGATTATTAAAAGATTGAATATAGATTATAGAAATTAGAATAGAATTTTAAATTGGAATAAAGTTAAAAGAGTAATGATTCTGATAGAATTTTAAATAATAGTTTGGTATATCAAAATTAATTAAATGATCTGAAAATTGTTTTAGATAGTGTGATAGAAGATTAAGAATAAACAAAAATCTATATAAAATAAATAGAGCGTGATTTAATCTCAACTAAATAAAAAGAAAAACGAAGTTAAATAAGATCCTCTCTTACAAAGGAATCACAGCACACAGAGAGTGACATGAGACCAATTAGAGATTTTAAAGAAAATGTGAAAAACAGAGAAAATAAAAGAAATAAGAGTAAATCAAGCCAAAGTAGAAGTGAATCTAGAAATGCAAGGCTAGAGACAATAAAAAAAAAAAAGTAAGAAAACGTTAAAGAATTAATTAAAAAACATAAATAATAATCAACTAAACAATATTGAATTTATTTATATATTAATTGTTATCTATTATTTTAATATTTAACATCCTTCCAAAAATTATATGATACGATTTAAAATTACCTTTATAGATTAAAATCTCTAAGGAATAATAATTTTGTTGATATGATGATACAAAAATCAGAAGAAAATATATTCATTAATTCAGAACGAAATTAATTGAACATACTATAAATAATTAGGTAGTTGATAATAATTATAACCAACACTATGAATTTTTAATTACCTAACTATTATTGGAAGGTAGGTATTCAATAGAAAAGAAAGATTGATAGTATTAAAAAACTAAGGATTTTGCATTTTAGGGAGTATTTACATAATAGAAGTAGAATCATCAAGATATTTGAGGTTAGTCTAATAAATCAATGCTTAAATTTAAAGTGTTAAAATATGTTAGTTTAACATTAATGGATTGAAAATATTATATTCCTTTTAAACAACATATATGCGAGATTCGTAAAAAACAATTAATTTTTGGTAATTCTATATGGTTTATTTAATTTTATATTATACCAATTTGATAACAATGAATTCTTATTTAATTTTAGGTTTGATATTCTTAAAAATAAAATAGATTATTTATACAAATCAACATTTAAAATTGATGACAATAACAATTAAAGAAAGCATTTGTTTCTTCTTGTAGTTTATAGTTATAAAGTAAGATTATAAAATTATTATTAAATTAATAACATAATGATTAATAAAAATAAAATTTATTATAGAATTTTTAGACAATAAGACTCATTTTGAAGGTTTAAATACTGAGAATTTAGTCAATATTTATGGATTTAAAATATTTAAGAGTCAAACAACAATTCTCTGAAGAAATTCTCAAATCTGTATTAGAATACTCAGAGGATTTTTAAATAAGAATACAATTTTAAAAAAATATTATTATCAACAAAAATAAATCAAACTCCTATAAAATTGATCATAGGTTGATTTTAGATTTTTATGAATAATACTTGCTATTGATATATATTCGTTATTTAAAATTTCAATTAATATTTAAATTCCAATTGCTAACTTTTATAGAATTACAATAGGTTTAATAATTCATTTAATAAGAATTAAATTTTAAATTTTTAATTTTATTCTATAGAATTTTTTTCAATCTATATCACCTTAAATCATGTAGAAACAATTGCCAATTTACTATTACTTGTACATTACATTTATCATGAGCATAACTAGAGATGAAATATTTTAATCCTAAGAATAATGTAGAAGAATTCTCATGTAGTTTTCAATATCTATTAATTTTCGTAAAATATTATTAAATGGGAAATTGTTCACTCTCTAGTTCATGTGAGGTTGTAGAAACAAGTAAATTTATTCCTAAATTTGAGATCTATCGATTAACGATTTCGAACTTTAAACAATTTTAGGGTCTGGGTCCTTCGGTAAAGTATGGAAAGCGTTAAATAGGAAAAATAAATAATTTGTTGCTGTAAAAGTAGTATCAAAACTATTGTAATTTTATACCTTAACCCTTAGGATCTTATAGTAGTGTACTGTATCACAGGTTATCAATGAAAAAAATATATTATCTCAAATAGAAAATCCATTTTTAGTAAATTTGAGGGCTGCCTTCTAAGACAATTATAATCTGTACTTGTGTTTGGATTTAATGTCAGGAGGAGACCTCAGATATCACCTAAATAAGAAAAAGAGATTCACTGAAAGTTAAACAAGTATGTATTTATTCTACATAGAATTCTTTGTTGCTTGTATTTTTACCGCTTTAGATTATCTTCACTAATAAGGCATAATTCATAGAGATTTGAAACCTGAAAACTTAGTTTTTGACAAATTTGGATATATTCGATTGACTGATTTTGGTATGGCTGGTATTTGGAGACCAAACAAATTAGAACATATTTGTGGAACTGTTGGTTACATAGCTCCGGAATTATTCCTTTACAAACAGGACGGAATAGGAGTTGATTATTTTGCTTTGGGAGTTGTTGCTTATGAATGTATGCTTGGAAGAAGGCCATATGAATCAGAAGATGTAAAAGAATGGAAAGATACGCTAAACTTAAAATAGGTTTAAATTAGGAGACAGGACCTACCGGTTGACTGGTCTAAGGCAGGAGGGGACTTTATTAATAGAGTATTATTGTATTCATCAACCTAGTTAATTTAAATAAAACCTGAAGATAGATTAGGAACAAATGATCCTAAATAGATAATGAAACATCCTTGGTTTAATAATTTTGATTGGGACATGCTCATATCTAAAGAAATGATTCCTCCTTTTTCTCCCAAGAAACGTATTGGATACAGCGATTTTCAAAAGGGAAGAAAGAGCAAAGGCAAATTACTAAATTTAGAAATTTTAAATACAAAATAATCATGTAAAAATGATTAATATATTTTAGAATTCGTAGGGTATAATTATATACCAAAAAAAATAACTGAATATTGATTTTGCTTTTACTTTAAATTTTAAATCAATGTTACATTTATAATTAAAATAATCATTATTAATTACGACTTTATGGTATTGGATATGTGTAAAAATACAGTAAATTTCGAAAGACTCCAGAGAATGTATATTTAGGTTTGTCAAATTGCCTTATCCTATTATAAAATTGGTCTTCTGAATGCGTTTATTTTGCTGTTTTTCCCTACAATAATAATATATTTTGTAATTTTACTATCGAAATATAATAGCAATTGACACCATTAACAGGGAGAAGGAAAAGAAAGAATATTAACACCGCAATTGTAATTAAAATGGTTATAAATGGATTCTAATAATATCTGTAGTCTTTATAAGCATTTTCAATGTTCATGAGTACAGCTGCATAGATTATTGGAAGCAAGAACATCACCATTAAAATTAAAACATTCAAATATGTTTGATGATTCCAACAACCGCAAATAAAATATAATCCGTATATTGATATAAGAGGGATGCTAGCTTATTTAAACATTAATATCCAAAGTTCATAAATATCTAAATATTATTTAGATACTTGTTATTATAGATATAATTTTTACAATTTAATAAGCATTAGCATAAAGTTAGCGTAATAACAATCAAGGACGATTGCAGAAATATTAAAAAAGCTCTCCAATTTCTAATTCCTATACAAGTACCAACCCAAAAGCAATGATGATCAAATCCATCTACACAGTGATTACAGTGTTTACCTAATTACTTCTTTGAAAATTACAATGAGAAGCCTTTGAAGGCCTCATAATTTTGCAAGTTGTACAATATCTAGCTGTATAAATGTTTGGCAATTCAGGATTCTACTCAAGTTAATTTTAAGATTCTGCTATTTATACAATTTAATGTGGTTCATTTTTCTAAGCATATTATTCAGAAGTATTGTTTTGTTATTCAGATATTTATTCTGGCTTGATTTATTATTATTATAATTTTGGATCTGGTAAATCTCCTCTAAGCAAGACACCAGGTTCTAATAATATTAATATTGATTAAGCCAACCTGTCATGGTAACATTCAAAAGAGTTATGATTGGAAGAATAGAGCAGATAGCAATTATAATTGCAAGAGCATCATATTAATAGTCTTGTGCTGCAGGGAATATAAAAATTAAGTACAAAACAATAAGAGATATTATTAAGGTTAGAGTTCCTATGATGTTACATAAGTCCTTCTATATATTCTAAATATATTAATTCAACCTTTGCTCCGAAAATAATAGTCCCTTTGCATTTAGTAAATGCTTCAAATGATTTTCTTGTTTCCATTGTGTCTATGTCTTCAAAAAATTTTTATATATTATTCATAAAATATTAAAATTTAATTTATGAGAAAGCTTAAATTTCATGAGAAAAAGCTTCTAAAAAGAGTGGATTTGTATAATTGGAAGAAAGAGAAGGATCATAGAGAAGCTGAAATAATCAAAAGATATAATTTGTCTAATAGAGAAGATTATGATAAATATAACAGGATGTGTGGTCACATTACTTCTATGATTTCTAAAATTAAATTATTGTCATCTCAAGATCCATTTAGGGTTAAATTAACAGAGTAATTATTGGAGAAATTATATAATATGGGAATCATAACAACAAAGGATAATATATAAAATTGTGAGAAATTAGCAGTCTCAGCATTTTGCAGAAGAAGACTTCCCATAGTGTTATGCAAGCTTAAATTTGCTCAGACACCCAAAGAAGCATGTACTTATATAGAATAAGGTCACATCAGAATTGGAACTAAAATTATCACAGACCCTGCCACTCTTGTGAGTAGATCGTAAGAAGATCATATCACATGGTCTGACACATCAAAAATCAAATAAACAATATAACAATATAATAATGAAAGAGATGATTACATAGGTTGAATTTTAAATTTAGTATTTAAACATAGAATTCTTATATAAATGAAGTCTAATATAATTCATAGTTAGAATATAATAATAAACTATAATCTTATCATTTTTCTTTATTTGAGAACCTTTGTTAAATAGCGTAACTAAACACAGTTGATAGTCCAACACCAGCACTTTTTAGCAAATTATAAGTAATTACTACACCATATAATTTAAATGGATTGTTTCTTCTATCATAACCAAGTTATCTCTAATTGTTCTCCAATTCTTCAACTATCAATTCAATGTATTCCTTTACTGTATCCACATCAACCCCAATTTAATCTCGTATAATATTTACAAAAATTTTATGAACATCATTTATTGGTTAGATATTATTCTGGAAGTATTATTCTCTCATCCTTAAGATGTCTTAATAAATTGATTTGACATCATCCAACAATGTTTCAAAACTATCAAAGTATTCGTTAAGTGATGCTCCTAAGTAAAGATAATATAAAGTAAATCCAATTAGGATAATTGCCATTTCACCAAGCAATATTAGTTAAAACATATCAATATGGATAAAATCTAAGATCAAGCCTAAAGTGAGAAATATAAAAACTATATTGGCTACAAAAATTAAAGAATAAAATCCCTGAACTCTTAGATTATATGTTTGTCCGTAATCAAAACACAAGGATCTAAAAATGGACCATGCCTATAAAGTTTAAGGATTATTAAAATTTATGGTAGGGATGAGTTTTTTGGCTGTTGTATATGAAACCTTTTTAGCTGAGAGCATATAGAGACATTAATCAAGTAAAAAGAACTTTCTTCTAAAATCATATATTCCTATGCCTAAGAAGATAATAGAACCAAAAAATGCCTACATTGACGTCAAAAAATTAACTATTAATCTTATTATGTCCAGCCAATCTGGTATGTTTCCCATAAAGTGTTACAATCGGATAAAAGTGGGAGAGATGCCATAAAATATAGACATTCCAATCATATATTTATAAAATAATGAAGTAGGGTTGTTCTTCTAATAGTAGTTGACTAAGTAACCAAAGACATGAAATCCATTATAATATACTTATTCAATAATAGGATCAGTTTATTTCATCTATTGTTTCATTGCCCATTCTAAATAAAAACATATATTTGTTGTTTTAATTGCATCAGCTGTTTTTTTATTTGGATCCAAAAGAAAATCAAATTTATATAAAGAATACTCCTATTCATGTCTTCTTAAAGCTCTGTATTACTCTAAAAACAGAACTTTGGAGGATTGTTCAAACCAATCTTAAAACATCAGATCAAAATTAAACATTTCATCAGGGAGTTCTTCAGTTTTATATAATCGAATTCTAGCCAAACTTAAAGTAGCATATTTAGCAGCAATAACTACTGAACGAGTCGTAATAGCAAACCACATAAAAATAATTTCTGTCAATGTTATAACACTTTAGTCTTGGATAAAATACATTAAACCACCTAATGCAGATCCACACCATAAGAGAGTTTGCATATAAAATGAGGATGAGTGTTTACAAAACCTCATGTTTTTTAATAAGATTATCCCAGGATATTTAAATAAGACTAAGACAACAAAAGGACCTAATAATATATAAAACAACATATGATAAAATAGAAATTCGAAGAATACAAACCAATGCCATTCCGCTTTGTATCTTTGCAGTTCCTCATCATTAACCTCGTCAAATGTAATTTATTTTGACAATTGTTTTTATGGGTTGTACTCCTTTAAGGGAGCAGCATCTAATTAGTAGCTAGGCAAGGATTTTGCAGGTGTATTAGCTGTAAGCAATTATCTTATTTATTAGACCTTTCTAACAGATTTAAGTAGCTTTCCATCTTCTGATGTATTTTGAACTGGAGTATCAGCTTCGATTTATTTTGCTGATTAACTTGTTCTGCTTTGCATGTTATAAAATATTAAAAATAATGATAAAAATAAGAAGTAAATTATCAAGTCACTTTGAAAGACATTCAATTTCAATATTTTACATTCTTTATTATACAGCAAATCCTACCAAAGTAAACACAGCAACCACCAAGCTCTGTAAAAAGTTTAAGGTTATTCGAATGCCATAGATTTTAAAAGGGTTATGCTTTTCATCATAATTCAATTGCCTAATTGTATCATCTATCTCATCTATTATAAGGTTGATATATTATGTAATAGTTTCAATTGAGTTGGTCTGACTCTTTAACAAAAATACAAATTTTTTATGGATTGCATTTGTTACCTCCAAATTTAAAATAAAATATTGTTCCTTTTTCCTTAGCATATCCACATACATATTTCTAACGTCTTCAAGTAAAATCTCAAATGTCTCATAGTATTCATTTAATTTAGCTCCATGCCACAAATAATATCCAATAAATCCAGTTAGAATTATCAGCATCTCTGACAATAAAGTAGTTTAGAAGAAATCTATATGAATGAAATCCAATAATACTCCTACTCCAAACAAAAATAAAAATATCCATCCAATAAAAATCAATGAATAAAACCCTTGAATTCTGAAATCATAAGTCCTCCCATAATCGAAAGCCATCCCTCTTAACATTGACCAGGCCTATAGGGTGATAGGATTGTTAAAGTTGATTGAAGGTAATAGCTTCTTACCTGTAGAATACTTTTATTCCTTTATATTTAACATATAGCAACATTGATCCAAAAGATAAAACTTTCTTTATAAATCATATAGTCCAATCTACAAGAATACAAAAGATCCAAAGAATCCTTAGAAGGTTGTCAAAACATTAATTATTATTCTCAATATATCAATAACTCCGACATCAATCTCATAAAAGTATTATACTCTTAATAAACATGGAGTCAATGATAATATTAAAGATTAAACTACCACATATTTAGAAAAACCCCCAGGAGTGTGCTTTTTTTAAAACGAATTGACCAAATACCCAAAGACAAAAAAACAATTATATGTGTTGTCTATGGCAGGTGCAATTAAAGATTCTTCTTATTATTCTAACCATTCCCTATAAAATCCAACATCGACTTAGACCAATTATTTGACTGTCTTTATATGAGGTTAACATAAGAAATCTATCTTATAAAAATCAGGATCCAACTCTCTCCTTTTTAAAAATCTCAATTGTTCTAGAAACAAAACTTTAGGAGTTTAAAGTCTCCAATCCCACATCATTAGATCAAAGGTAAACATTTCTTCACTTAAAACTTCTTGTTTATATAATTTGATTCTTTCTTCACTTAGAGTTGCATATTTTGCAGCAATTACAACTGCCCTAATTAAAAGGGCAAATTAAGTGAATACAACTTCAGTTAAAGTTATAATATTTTTATCATCGAATAGATACCAATAACCTCCTGTCAATGAACCTAACCATAATAACAATTAAAAATAAAATTGAGCATGATGCTTTAAAAATCTCATGTTTATCATCAGAGGCATACCTGGCCATTTCCAAAAAAATATGACCATAAAAGGTCCAAATAGATTATAAAACATCTAGACAATAAATATAAGTTATTACAATATGATAAAATAGGAACTCGAAAAAAAACTTCCAGTGCCATTCTGTTTAGTATCTACCCATTTCCTCAGAGGCCACTTTAAGGAATGTTGCTGAACGCTTTACAGCATCCCTATAAACATGTTCTCTTAATGGAAGTTCTGCCTCATCTATTTCTTTTGCTGGGGTTTCCACTCTTGTCTCCGATTAAATCAAATTAAAGCTCTTTAGCTATAGAACTTTGGTATAAGCTTATCTATGTTTCTCATTCCTATCAGTTGAATTAACAATAGCTATATCCCCTTGACTGGTTTTAACTTAAGTAATACATATATTATTCATCAAAAATAAGAATTTCTTAAAAAATTATTTTAAAAACAAGAAAAATTGGATTTTCATTTAAACTTAAAATAATGCACACAATTAAATTTAAGAATAGAAGAATAGAAATTTCAGACAAAATTAAGGAGTACACATTTATATTAATAATATCAAAATGAGTTCTAAGTAAAAATTAATAATTGACTTTAATATAATTCGAGTCAAATTATAGCTCTTCTTCTCGTTGATCTTATAATAACTCCTAAAAGAGTTCATAGTAAATTTGACAAAGAAGAACAATATTTAATTATTTAAAGAATATAAATTTAATAACTTGGAATTCGTCTTCCCAGTATGGATTATTAACCAAAATAATAATTTCAAATAGGAGAGAGTTGAATAGAAGTAAAAAAATATTATTTAATATAAATTATAATGGAAAAAATAAATTGATTATGCTTTCTATATTACTTAATATATTTCACTAGATATCTGTACCATACAATAATCTATGAGCTCTTTGAATAATTGTATCCTGATAGTTTAATATGATTTAATACTTTCTTTGCTTCATATGGATACTCTTTGCTGGGGATTTCAAGAATTGTAGGCAAAATGGCATCATATTAATTGATTATATGTCTTAGATAGTTTTCAGCAACAAATTATGTCACAAGGATGACTGCTATATTAGGATGCTTCAAGAAATTTTAAAATGTATTCTCTATCAATTTTGGGTCGGTTTCGAGAAATAATGAATTTACATACTTGAATCTACAACCAGAAAATTAGTTTCTCCTTTGATATTCTTTTCTCCAATTCCTGTTAGTAGAAATCCTGTAACAGTGTCCTTAATTTATATATGATTTTAATACTTCGTCACCAATAATTGATACTAAAGATGTACCTTCAGATTTCTTAAAAGTTTTCTTTGACATAAAATTAATATTTATTTAATATGTAAAAGTTTAATTATTTATATATTATTAAATAATCTTCATAAATCTAATTAAGATTTAGAAGGTTTTTTGGATCCAACATGAATAAAAGAAGCCCTTTTCGATTGTTTCTTTTAGCTTGTATATTAATTAGCCAGTTCTATTTGATCATCAACAGGTTAAAATTCATCACTTTATAGACTCTAATCTAATTCTTTATTAATCTTTTAGGCAGCATATTTGTTTAATGGGTCAGAATGGAACAAAGTAAATTCATTAGAGCCATGTTGAGTATAAGTATTATCTTTAGGAGTTTGTTCTTACTAAATTTCGTATTATCCAATTTTTGGTTTTAAACCATAATCACTATCTTAATCAAATTTCCATATTTCTAGATAATCATTAGAAGGATCTATGCATTTTTCACATTCCCTAATGATTTTACTTTAGTTAAGATAACTATTGGAAATATTAGTACTATTTTAATTAGGTGGTTGTTTTTCATTATTTTCAACACCTGATTGTTGACTATCCAATTTATGATTCTTTTCAAGTACTTCAATATCATCTAAAGCCAATTACACAGGCTTTTGATTTAAAATAATTTCTGTTATTTCTTAATTAGCATATTATTCAGCCATTTTTTCTAATTAAGCCATTTGATCTTCATCGTCATCATTTGAGTCTTTATAAATATTGTGATCTGAAATTTGTATATTTTCTAGTATCTTTTTGACATTAGTGTTATCCTTTTTAGTAATTTTGGAATTGTTTGAATTATTATTACTGTGATTACCTCCTTTATTTGAAGATCCACCCTCATTATTACCACCATCATTATTTCCATTTTTATCGTTAATAGTAATCTCTTATTTAAAATGTCTACCCTCTTATTTCCTTTTATTAATAATATCTATGATAGTAGTCTTTTCCTCATTCAATTCCTTGACTTCTGCAGATGTAAGTTCGAAGAATGACTTCACATTAGAATCGAAACCTAATCCAACTCTGCCTACTTCTCCATCATATCGATTTTTCTTAATCTCAAACACTCTGTATCTAGGTCTGTTTTGGATAATAAACACATTATCAGCCTCTTGAGTCGCTTTTGCTGAACCAAAGATAGATGCAATAGTTAAGTCTTCATTTTCATCAACTTTTCGAGGATGAATGACCAAAGTCAGATGAATATCATTATTACTAGTTAATCTTCTAAATTTTTCAATGATTTCATCTTAAAAATCGAATTTCCTGTTTCCTCCTACTTAAGTTCCCATCATAAATTATAAATTATCCAAACAAACGTGAGTTACATTATATTCATATATTGCATATTCAATAGTATCAATAATTTAGTCTAGGTCGGTTGACCCATAAAAATTCATGTAATACTATTTGATAAATTGATTTTTTTACAATTGGAATTTCATTTTCAAATTTTTGAATTGCTATATCAACTAAATCTTTTTGTTTAATTAAATCTGTCTTGTATGCTTGTAATAATTAATGTTCAGCCAATCTGTCAGTCTTTATTTCAAAACTTCCCCATAGTGTTGTTATTCCTTCTTTACAGAAATCTAAAGATAGCTAACTCAAAAAAGTGGTCTTACCGCTACCAGTGGGTCCTGTTAAAATGGTAAACTCTAATTTAAATATATATAAATTACTCACCTCCAGTTCTCAATCCTTTAGTGGTATTGTTATAAGTTGTGAATGTCTGAGATTGGGTTCCCTTTGACAATTCAAAGTTTAGAATTCTATTCTTTGTCAATTATTTAAAATCAGTAAATTAGGTGATGTTCTTTTTTAGTAGACATTTCGATTGATCAATATAAGTCATGACTTTATCAGCATAGAATCTCAAACAATCATTTGCATCTTTAGGATAATCATGAGGATCAATTAAAGATGGTTAGACCACTCTTGTCCTCGCATTACCAAGTTTACGAGCAATCTTTTAAGAATTAATTCTCCCAGGATTATCATCATCTACCCATATTATTATATCATTCAATTTCTCAAACTAATCTAACCTGATTTGATAATTATCATAGATTACCATTCAATAAGATAGGCTGGAATATGATTAATACCATATGGCAATGAGATGGCAGGAATGTTTGTCATTTGATATGCTGCCATAGCATCAAATTCACCTTCTGTAAGTATCACTTGAGTAGAATCCTATTTAAGTAAATGCATTCCGAAAATCCCTTTGGCTGCATTCATAGGTTCAATCTTTTGAATATGCTTCAAATCTTTTCCTGCTGCTCTGATTTTGCAACTCACCAATTCATATTGAAAATTATCAAATTAATTATCTAATTGTGATCGGATATTCTATTTGGTTTCTTCACTCAAAACTTTTTCAGCCAAAACATCATCCTTTTTCTGTTTCAATGCTTTCTACATTATTTTATTCTTCTCGTGCTGATTTCTGTATCTAAACATGGGAAAGTATATGAGGGGAGCCTACACATATCCGCCTTATTAAGGATCATAGATTTCAGTAACATCAATGCCAATCAAATACAATTTCAAGACTTCATCCTTAATTCCTCTTTAATTCTGACTAGTGAATAATAGGCAAATTGTACATTTTCCCAATCATCACCTGTCAAATAGTCATACACTATCTTAGGCTCTTATAACTTTAATCTCTCGTAGTATTAGTGATATTCAAATATATTCAGTTTCTAAGCAGGCTGTTATTGAGTCTATGGATTTTACTATTGCTAAGTGTTGAGAGTCCCATTCAAAAAGTTCTTAAAATCAAACCAAGAGCCTTTAGCTGAACAGCTAGCTCTGAAACAATTATACGATCCACTATAATCATTGACATTAAATGTACTTCTCTAAGTTTATTCCCATAACAAATTAGTTAGATGGATTTTCTATATTATGTTTTGGACAGAATGGACAATATCTTAATTGTACATACTTTCCCTATATCTTGTGTTCCATTTTCTTGTCTTCCAAGTACTAAACAATTGAATTTGATGACACTTTAAAGTGTTTGGAAGTATAAGTAGGGTGAATCTAAGTTGATCTAAAAAAATACCAAATTCTCATCCTTCTCTTTATAAAATTTATTGTAATTATCATCAAAATGATATACAATCTTTTGTTGAAGAGATTAGAACATTCGATTTTTGATTACAGATTAAGCAATTCTAGCTACACGCCTCATTTGATGATCGTAAATTAAATTTAATTTAATTTGTGTTCAATATTTTATTATAAATCATTTATAATTATATTATCATAAAATTTATTTTCTAATCTTCATATCCGTATCTACCTAATTCCTAATAGAAATTAAACAAATAACATTTACACATTTATTAAGTGATTCTATTAGACATAAACTCAATTTCTTGTTGAAGAATTTAATTTAATGTCAGTTTATTTTTCATTAAAATGAGATTATGTATTAATTTATTAATTTAATTGTATTTAGAAATATAATTTATTAACTTAATGCTTTTAATAATTGCATTAAGATGCTCAAATCAAAGTATATTTTTGATCTTAAAATTACACTGAAATCTAAATCATGATAGTCATCATAAAAATGGCTGTCAATCTAAAAATAAAGGATGCAAATTATATATAGAAAATTAAATAATAATTAATGTTTCAGTGATTTTATAATCTCTACATATTTTAATCATATAAAATCAGCCTTCTCATTCATTCTCATTTTCATCGTCAGAATGAATTTTGTGTTTATTAAAATATTATCTGATGAGTTGTTTTGTTCTATTAAAAGGCTTTTCTATTTTTGCTAATTATCTTCTCTTATGATTTCTTCTCAAACGAGGATTAAATGGATTGAATTTTTAGTGATGGGATCTAATTGCATAAAAATAGTACCTGCATTAACTTGGCGTTCGAGTGCCAATTATCTAACTCATCCTTTTAAATAATGGTTGTCCTTTTCTATGCGAATCTCCTGATCCTTTTACTCGAAGTAAGAATTAGACATATTATTGATGCTCCTCCTGACTCCAATGACCCTATTTCACATTTGTACTATTGCTGATATCTTATTATTTAGAAGGATTTAGAGTCAGCTCAAGATACTCTTAGATTAAAGTCCCTGAATTCTCTGATTTCATTTAATACTAGTAATTTGAATCTTAAAATAAATAATTCAAGAAGAACTTTAATATCAATAAAGATGAATAAAAAAAAGCTATATTTTCCATAATTCAAGAGTATCTTCTGGGTTTTCTTCTCACTGAACATAATTAATATTTGGTAGATAAGATCAAGCATAATAAAATAAGATACATTTTTAGAATGAAAAAATTAAAATATGCCTTTTCGATTTTGAACGAAAAACAATCAAATTATATTACTCCATATACGAATCCTCATCTACGCAATTAATTAAGCTTGATTGATTCTTAATAAACGTATACTCTTGATGTTCTATCTTCGAAGAATTGGCAAAAGCATACTACTATTCCCAAAAATCATGAGAATACTTATATCATTAATAATATAAGTAAATATTATTTATGTAAAAACAATATTTTAATCAAAATCTAAAAGTACCTTATTTAATGATAAACCCCCTAAAATTGGGGAATTAGAGCAAGGATAATCGATCTATAATTACAATGTGGAGACTAAATCATTGAAAAATACTATTTGATTTAATCAGATTAAAATGTGAAAAGAAATTATCAATGAATCTAATTATTAGATTTCAAATAAAATTGAATAGCATTAAATATGAGAAAATGAATATTAGCAAAATATTTACCTTTTGAAATTACTTGTCATTTTAAAAACAATTAAAAAAATTCGTCCAATATAATCTTTAAGAACAAGAATGACTCATCTTATAAAGATTAATAGGAAAAGCATTCTAAAAATCTGATGTATCATATGATTTACAATACAATCATGCTAAAGTCCAAATTAAACAAAAGATAATTAAGCTAAGATCATGCCTGATATACTCAGAAAAATTGAGTTAATGTTGTTAGCCATTCAAAATTAAAAGGCTTAATTATCAACCTCGTAGATTTTTAAATTCTAGAAACTAATGTATCTAACAAAAAGAATTAAACTAAATCTTTGATAAGGTTGTTTGCATTATTAATGACAATTCTGTTCTGCAACTTTCTCAATACAGTCTTACCAATATTCTTCACTAATCTTAAAATAATGAAATGGAAATTACACTGAATAATTAATAAAAAAAATCCTAATTAAGTAATTAAGAAACAAAAGATACCAACTATTATTAAATCTAATAAATTTCTAAATATAATTATAAGGAACTGTCATTATTAATAAACAGATTCTTTTGAAAAAATATAGATAACATAGGATCATTAATAAATTCAAATGAAAATAATAATGTTCATAATTTGTTAAACTTATAAAAAATGCCATGCTAGCAAATTCTTTGTAACAGAAATTGATTTTTTAAATCATAAAAATTAGTATAAAATATCAAAGGACTCAATGAGAATAAAATTAATATCAGCGAAAGTTCAATCAGTCCTTAATAATGAACAATAAATTATATCTAATTAAATTAGCAAAAAGTAAATTTAATAATTACTGAGAGATATGAATAGAATGAAGAGAATGGTAAGAAATAAATTAAATGAGTCAAGAAAATAAGTATGAAAAGGCAATCCCTCGTATACTGCTTTATTAACTGGATAGAAAAACATTATTACATTCAATAATTTACAATTAAAAACTTTTATCTATAATAAAATGAAATCTGTATCTGCTTTCACATATAATAATATAAAAATCATTGATTTAAGTACTCTTTTAATTTGGAATCATAATGTCTTTAAGCATTATTATAAATCTATTGATATTATTATTTTTCTTCTTTAGTCCTTTGCTCGTCGTGAATAATTAATTTAATAATTTCACTCGCTCCTTAATTATCACCTTATTTTGCTTTTTCTTATCCTTGTCTTAATAGGTTTATTATGTCCTAAATTATGGAGACTATTTACTTATGAGTCTGGGAAAACATGTTCCATGTTTGTAAGAATCATAATTAAAATTTATTAAGTGAGTTCAGCTTATATTTAAGCCTAATTTTACTATTTGATTTGCTAATGAACAATCCTGTGATAATTATTATTTAATACTGCTGCTGCATATATTGATTCTGAAAATAAGGATTAATTTAATTAAGTTCCTATTCACCATGAGCAAATGTGCATGTAACTCCATTTTTACATAATCCTGTTTGTGGATTGAAGTGCTTACATAATTATGCTTTGAAATGGTTAATCTTAATAATACTCTTATAATTCGCAATCATGGGATTAATTGGTTAGACCTTAACAGGAAGAGCTCCTTAGTGGTGTTAAGGCATCACGAAATCAGAATTAGGTTAAAATCCATTAGCATTCCCTCTAAGCTCCTATCTTCCATGAGCAAATTAACATCTTGCACCTAAAGCACAATTCCCATTTGTTACTAAACTTATATCATGATTTACTGAAATGTCTGCAGAGCTAAGTTTTGTACTTTTAGTTTGGATATTGAACTTGGTTAATTTACATTATTATATTATTATTCAATATATATAAATCATTAAGTGGAAAATAAAATGAAATGAAAGAATAATTGAATATTAGACTGTTTTTTGATAAAAATCAAAAGATCTAAGATGACATTCAAAATAAAAAAAAATTCAACCTAAAGTTCGGTGTAATTCCTCATTACAAGAAGAGTCATCAGGATTTTAGAATAGTAGGAAATCATATTAGAATATACGGAGTAATAATAATATAAAATAAAAAATGAGCATTAAATTTGAAAAGTGATTTAAAAATTTTTTAAAGATTTTTTTATATATTAAATGTCCCACAGAAAGTTTGAGGCACCAAGACACGGAAATCTAGGATTTACCCCAAGAAAGAGAACAAAGCATCACAGAGGAAGAATCCGAGCTTTCCCAAAGGATAATACTAAGGCTCAACCTCATTTGACAGCCTTTGCAGGATTCAAAGCTGGTATGACCCACATCTTGAGAACTGTCGAAAGACCAGGATCAAAATTGAATGGTAAGGAAGTCGTTGAAGCCGTCACCATTGTTGAAACCCCACCTTTGGTTGTCGTTGGTATTGTTGGATATATCGAAACACCAAGAGGATTAAGAGCTTTGACCACTGTTTGGAGTACTAAGATTGCCAAGGACACATTAAGAAGATTCTATAAGAATTGGATCAACTCAAAGAAGAAGGCCTTCACCAATTACAACAAAGCTAATGCTGAGCCAAAGAATTTGGAAACCTAATTAAAGAGAATCGTTAAGTAAAAATATTAATTAAACTATTTAGATATTGCTAAGTTGTCAGAGTCATTGTTCACACTCAAATGAGCAAATTGAACTTGAGATAAAAGAAGAATCACGTCTTTGAAGTCTAAGTCAATGGAGGAAATACCGAATAAAAGGTTAACTTTGCCAAGGGATTATTAGAAAAGGAAGTCAAAGTAGATTAAGTCTTCAACTAAAACGAATAAATTGACGTTCTCGGTGTCACCAAGGGTAAGGGAGTTGCTGGTGTCATCAAGAGATTTGGTGTTAAGCATTTACAAAAGAAAACCCATAGAGGTTGGAGAAGAGTTGGTTGTATCGGAGGATGGCATCCAGCCAATGTCAGATACAGTGTTGCCAGAACTGGTCAATTGGGTTACCATCACAGAACTGAAATGAACAAAAAGATCTACAGAATTGGTGCTGCCGGAGACAAAAACACTGCATCTACCGAAGCTGATTTGACTTCAAAGGCTATCACTCCATTGGGTGGTTTCCCACACTATGGTGAAATTAGAAACGATTTCCTCATGCTCAAGGGAGGTATTGTTGGACCAAAGAAGAGAATCGTCTTGTTGAGAAAGTCTCTTGTTCCATAAACTAGCAGAAAGGCTTTGGAAGAAATCACCCTCAAATTTGTTGATACTTCCTCAAAGATTGGACATGGTACTATCTTAATTCTATTTTATTAGGACGTTTCTAAACTCAAGAGGAGAAAGCCAAGTTCTATTTTACTAGAACTCAAAGAAAATTAAAGTAATAGTAACAATAATGATGTATAATTACCCTCATTTAAGAACATTATAAACAAGACAATTTTAAACTAAATACATTTCTTAATGCTAATATACTTATGTAATAAATCAGAACCTCAATTTTGAAAATAGGAATCTTGATTATGCCTTCTTATCAGCCAAACTTCCTGCTGGTAATGTTCTGTATTTCTCTGCCAAATATTTTCTCAAATTCTTTCTCAAGTCTTTTCTCTTTTCAACATTCTTCAATTCTGACTCTTTTACTCTCTCAATCCTATCCCTAACTTCTTTCAAAGTTGACTCTTCTAATCTATATCTATCATAATAATATAGCCATTCCTAACCTTGTTGGCATAATGTGATTCAGATTTAATTGCTTTATGAAAACCTTTAATGTTGTTCTCTTTCTAATTTATTTTTAACCCATTCTCTTTGTTACTTTTCTTGGATATCTTTAAATTCCAACAACCAAACCATTAGGGAATTTGCAGTCCTAACTAATTTTCAATGTTATATACTTTTGTTGTCTCCTCATTTGCCTTTATTAAAATGGCTTTTTTTCCTGCTTATCTGCCTGCCAACATTACTACTAATCTTCCTGGTTTTAAGCTTAAAATAAGTCTAATTCTTACAATTTTCCCATTTCAAACACTAAATAAATCTTTTAATTATTTAATATAAATTTTCCACAAATTAATCATTCTCTTTCCTTTCAATATTATACAAGGACAAATAATTTTAAAATAAACTTCTATTTTAAAGTCAACAATTAACCAATACAATTTAAAAATAAGTTGCTTAACTAAAAGTTCTTTAAAATTCTAGCATTTAAGAAATTAGTACTAGGTTAAATAAATTAAATAGTAGTTTAGATTTTATTCCTTATTCTAAAAGTTATAACGATTATAATTTCTTTCATTTATTTAGATAAGTATTTTTATCATAAAATACCAGTCTAAGGATGGATTTGTATTTTTCATTAGATACAAGTTATTTATAATTAATATTATCAAAAAAGTTAATCGGAAAGAATTGCCATTTTTTCAGATCTGAAATAATCTTTCAATCACTTTTTTCTTTCTTATTGTCTTAATCAAAATTTTTTCAACCTGTTTTTATCTCTCTCTTTATTTCTCTAATTTAGATTTTCGCTAATATAATTTACTTTCATTAATTATAAAATTGTAATTATGATTATTTGCCCTCTATTAACCAGAGTCATTATTCTACAATTTTGTGGTTCTCAATCAATGAGATTAATTGCATACAATTATTCAACTAATATAAGAATCCTTATCATCTTTAGCTTCAACCCTAATTATCTACTTTATTTGTCTTATTTTTTGCTGGTATCAAATATTTGATGTATTAATTAGTTTTTAGGAATAATAAGAAATTTGGAATTAATTTTTTCACTCCCTAAAACCCTAAGCTATAATTTTTATTTAAAATTATCTAAGACTTTTTTTATTCTATATTATAAAAATATATAATTTTTATATAGATTGAATATTATCATAAATAAAGTGTAGATCATGATAATTAATTATTATAATTCTTTTCTACTCATTCTTAAATTTGTTTAATTTAAGCTAAGTTATTATTCGATTGTTTCAGCTTGTTTTGTGTTAAATGTTAAATTTTGAAAATAGATGCTCGAGGAATAGATATTTTTTGACTTGATTTATAATAAAACATATACTATGATAATAAGAACTTTTACTTACGACAATTGAATTTATTCCTCGCTTTTTCTTCTGTTATCGGTCAAGATTGGACATGTATTTAAACCAGTAAGTAATTGACAATCACTAGATTTACTAGACAGCTCTTAAAGATCTTCTAAATCTTCAAATTACTCTTCATCATCATTTGAAAGTGGACTAATGTTTTATTTTGAGTAATAAGAATGAACATCTTGGAGTTTTCTTGTTGGAGTAATTGGCAAAAGAGTTGGGGTTAGTTGGTATTTGTTTGTATGTTAAATGGGTTTCTCAGGAGATGTTTCTTCACTAATCATGAGAAAGTATATATTACATCGTTTCCTCTGTATGTATAATTTACATATTTGAATATTATTAATCATTTTCTTTCTTGCATTTTTGACAATTAAATATATCAAAAAAGTTAAAATATCCAAGTATAACCTTAAAATAATCAAAAATAATAATGAAAAATTAATTAATATAAGTTAATAACAAGTAAATCAAGAAGGAATCAAACTTATTCTGTATATGCAGATATTATTATCAATTTTTGAACTTTAAACTTAGTTCCATTATTTTTGGGAAAAAACTCTTATTAAAATTTATTTAATAAAGATTAAGTGTTTGAGCTAAATCTAATTCTAGAACACATACAAAAATGTTATAATTGAGTAATGGAATTTAACTGATTTTTCTCAATACATAACAAATTTATATACTTAAAATTGGTTTCTTTCTTATTTTTGAAAAGAGCGAAACAAATATAGGATTGATTATCTTGAATATTTGAATAATTTTTATCGAAATTTATGACTATTTTATTTTTTAAAGGATTATCGTAAATGTGACAAAATATGCTAATTTATTATCATATGGAATGATGATATCTGATTAAAACAGTATTTGTTATTTAATTCATAAAAATTAATTTCTTATAAATATATCAAGAGTTCATTAAAAGATATAACCCTAGTTTTTAGATTTTAGGTGCTTTTTCTTTAACATATTAAATTTTATTCATATCCATTTAATAATTATTAATTTCAATTTTTGATGTTATATTTTTGGTCTGTTTTCTTTTGAAATTGCGAGCAATAAGCCCTTTTGTAAATTGTCTATCATCTTACCTAATCTCCTAGATGGGATGATCGAGATTGCATTGATATACCTTTTTATCAAATTCAGATTAGAAGGATTTTAGAAAATGGAGTAATTCAGTTTCATTAATAAATTCACATCTTCGGTTTAATTGATTCTCTATTTCCACTGGATCAAAATTGCAAACCAACTTACTTTATTTTCTTTAAGGAGACCCTACTTCTTCTTCTTTGTCTCCATTTTGATTTTGTTAAAGTTGATTACTATAGTGTTAATCTTGAAATTTCAAATGTATAATTTTCTGAACTTCCTAATCCTTTTATTTTAATTTTAGTTTATTTTCACATAGATAGTCCATTTCAGAATAGCAACTATTTACAATATTATATCTGAAATCTATCTTTTCTTCATAATTTCTTTATATGTTTTAGATCTAATCTTATCTTTCATTATCTAAAGAATAGCAATAACGTTACATAATGAAACTTAATATTTAACATCTTAGTCATATTGATGACTCAATTCACCAATTAGTGATTCAATGATTTATTTTTTTTATGGAAGAGGCATGTCATCAGGAATCTTATACTATTCCATCAATTCTCTTTCCATTTTCATTCTCTCAATTTGTTTTTAATACTCGGTTTGCTTTTGCTTTTCCTTGTCAAGTTGTTCTGCTTTTCTTGGCTAGTAAAAATAAATAAAGGATTATACATCCATTGGAGAAACTTAAGATGATGATTTTCTTCTCTATTATTAAATTTGGATAGAAGGGGGTTATAGTTTCTATTGTGGTTTCTTAGGTTTCAATCTGCTTGGTCGTTCTGGTTCTAAGGAAGATTCATTTGTATATTCCTTTTCATAATTGCTATCTTCTGATTTTTGTTTCTGTATGGAAATCTTAGTTTGAGAATATTCGTTTGATAATTAAGGTCGCTTATGCTAATTAGATTACTTCTTCCTCCTTTGCACTTGGGTATTTTGGACACTGCTCGTATTACTAGGTTGAGCAGTTTATACAGATCCCATTGGAGTATTTGGAGTTATAGATTTGGCAACACTTCTGGAGGAGGACTAAGGATGAAATGAATTATCACCAATCTTAAGATGCATCCCCTCCTAAGTTGAAAATAAGATTGTCTAATGTTATCTCATAGAACCATCTAAAGATTCTTCCTCTATTATTCTTTCTCTATTGTCACACCTGCTAACTTAGATATTTATCTAATTATTTTCATTTTCATAATTATTTAAGGATGATGAACTTCCAGTCTACTCTAAATTGTTAATTGTATATTAATATCTATCCTCTTCCATCTTTTCAAATTTATTATCATTTTTGAATACTCTTTCTTATGAGTATCTTCTTTTTTTCTCTTCTTCCTCTTAATCATATTCATTTTCATTGCCTTAAACATTATGGGATTTCATTCTCTTAGAACCTCTTTTAAAGGTAACTGTCAATTAATTCTTGTGCTATTTCTAATCAGTTTCTGAATTATTGCTCACTGAGTTTCTTTACTCCATCTTATCTTTCTGAACTGAAGTTAAAGTTCTTGAAGATAAGGGAGGCATTAACGAATTAATCTCTTATTAATCTATAGTCTGTCTCTTAGACTAAAATGAATGCTCACTTTTATTTTAGAAATTTGAATCTGGTCTATTATGGGTTGGTTATTTAATTTCCTTTGGCAAAGAATATTATGGAGATTGTGTTATAACCATATCATCCATAATATCTGTTTTTACAAATTACGGACTTTCTAACTGTCTTTCATCCAATTCCCTTCGTGTCGCTCTTTATGAATTGTTCATGTTGCCGCAAAAACTAGTTTCTTAAGGTATTTTTTATTCTTCTTAATGGTTAGATGGATCTTTTTTAGATTGTTAATTCTCAATTAATGAATTTTAAGGTTAATGTTATATTTTTTTCTTTTGTTTAACTTCTTTTTATGATTTTTACTGTATATGAGTTCCTTTTTAAGATTTAAGTTAAAGTTATTATTACTTTTCATTCTTATTTCCATTATTTATTTGTTGATGATTGTCACTTTTTTTTTAATCTTATGGTGGTGGGATTTTAGATTGTGAAACTGGAGTTAAAGTTTTTCTTGAATTGCTTTCTGGCTAGCGTATTAAGTATGCCTATTAATGATAACTGCCTCTAATTGATTTCAATAGGACATCTGATTGTTTTCTAGATGTTAAAGGTTGTTGTTAAATGGGCTCTAATTAATTATTAAAAGTAGCAGAATAATTTTATACTTACCCATTTGATATTTCAGATGTGAAGTTTGTGTTTAATCTATACCTAAGGTTTTCACTTGGGATCAAACAGGATTATTGTGATTCCATTCTGATTTATGATTGAGAGTGATCTGATTCTTCTTGAGTCAACAAATTGTGATTGAATTTTTCATTCCTTGCTGTTGACAAATTATCTTATTTCAACAATTAATCTTGAGTATAATCACGACTCGTGTGAATTGTCTTGAAGTCTTTAATTTCTTTTTTATCCGAAGTAATCTGTGACAATCTGAAATTTCTTTTATTTTTTTCTGTTTTAGTTGCTTCATCTACAAATTACTAATCCAAAATTTCCTTATCGCTAAATTCGTTTGTTTGATGCTCTTTTAAATTGCTATCCTTGTGTAACAACAGAACCCCGCTTTTATTAGAAATATTAATGGATCCTCGATAACCTAATTGGCGAGTTGATGAAATTGTTTTTATCTCGTAACTTACTTCCTAGATCTTTGATTGTGATTATTAATGCTTAGCCAAGTTTACTTAAATAGTTTAATAGATTTTATTGAACACAGGTTATACTTTTATTTTTTTTTTGTATTTCTAAGTCATCAAATCAATGAATTAGGCTTGATCAACAAAAGATATCAAACCAATTTTGCCTAATTACACTTTTTCAACTATGTTGGCTAGAAACATGTCTTCTCTCTAATTCTATCGATTATCTCCAAATTATAGATTAAGTGATTTCATAATAATATTAATAATAATTGAATTGTATATTTTATTCATTTATCATCATTTCCAACTTGAAATGAAGAAGTAAATGCAATCTTAGTTGTAATATACATTTTTGAAGAAATAATTTAAAATAATTTTAAAATATATACGATGAAGCGAATTATTAATTGAAATTGTTTTGATAAACTTTATATGAGTAAAATTTAATTAATAATAATTACTCACGTGAAAGAAGAATAAAAGGAAGAGAAATCACGCTGGTCCTGCATACTTTAAACCATGAAAAGTGGAATGATTCTATTCGATAACTATGGATTTCTTAAAAGGAGATTAATTATCTGATTCTCATTTAACTTTATAAAGTTACTATTTAATGTATTTATATTTTTCAAATATTTTAATTATAATGTGATTATTAAAATAGTAATAATATGATTTTTTTTTAATACGTATAACCACTCCCAAAAATAATATTCTTTATGCAAGCTTAAAAATACTTATTTTATTACAAGACACCCTTGAATTACGAAATGATGTAGTGGAGATGTAATCTTATTCAATTTCACATTTTCTACGATGAAACCAGTTGAAAATTATAATAACATCTGTTCTGCTTTGTTTTCTTTAGAATTAGTCAGATGAGTTATACGTATAAATGCACATTGGGCATTAGTAATATAGGGCTAGCATTTTAGGTAATTTTTTACAGGAATTGATTAAGTAATATTAATAGTGTATCATAAAATATATATAAGGAATGATCAAATTATATGGGAAAGTTATTTAAATTTCCTTCTTTTATAAAGATCATTTGTAGAGAGGTTTAGTTTGGGTACTGAATTTAAGCAAAATCTCCTTCTTTGATTAGTTGAAGAAATGGTGACATCTTTCTTTGAGCTATTACCTGCTAGTAGTACATTAGATTGGCTTGATATAAGATTGTCATCTTTAGTACTGAATTGTTTTATCTTCATCGATTTTTAGTTTGAACAACCCATATTATTCAATATTATTAATATTATCAATGATTTAATAATTATATTTGTGTTATACAAATGACGAGGAATAATGTGTGATACAATTAAAGAAAAAATATACAATTTTTAAGTTAATTCGTTAAATAAAATCTGGTGTGTGTACTTGCTAAAAATTTAACAAATTAATTCAAAGAAATAAAGAACCAGTAATTTATGAATCTATTTTAATTCCATTAAGATATGAGAAAACAAATCAAAAGGATTCAATTATAGGTCTATAATATGATTTGAGATCTTATCAATTGAATCTTGATGAAGAAGTAAAGGAAAATAAAATTTTAAAAAATTTTATATATAATACTCATAATGGTCTCTTCAATATAATTTTCTTGGTATCTTTATCTTCTTTTCGAGTTGAAGGGATTTCAGAAATAACTTCAGGGAACACTTTACTTAAATTTTCCGAGGAATCCAAAGAATTTTATTACACGTTCAATCCTTTATAATTCGAACTTGGTCTTTTGAGTAACTTTACGTCGTCATCCTTACCGTCTCTGTCTGGACTATTCACATCTCTGTGGTGGTCCATAGAATTACCTTGCTTAATTTCCAGATCCTTTTCTGATAAATCTGAAGAACCTGAGGTTGATTTCTTTCTTTTCTATATGATGAGAGGAGCACTCTTATCTGTTCTTCTCCGTTTTATACCCTCTCTGGTTTCATACCTGAGTATTGCCCAATAATTGATAACCCGTTCCTTCATCTCTTTTTTGTTGATTAGAAACTTTTTGAGGCAAGGGTATTAGAATTCAATGTTTGGGAACATTTATTTAAATTTGGTTCTCACAATATCCAGTTTGTCATTAAATTGATTGATGTACCCTTCAAACAAGTGATAGAGGATTAAAACTATCAAAAGAGAGTTGATTATTGCGATTACTAAGAACATTATGTATTATAGATAATCTAAATTTTCATTTTGACTAGCATAAATAAGAACTCCTAAACATAATGAGCAGGAACACACTGCAGTGGACATTTAATCAATAAAGTTAAGCTTTTTCTATTTGTAAGGAATAAATGTAAATGAAAATGCTCCATAAAGAAATACAATTAGAAATATGATTAATCCCTTAATAACTATTTTATTTTCATAGTAGGTCAAAGAGATGATCACAAGTTCCTTTTCAAAGATTTTCACGAATTCCCAAAGATATGCTTAATTAGTGTATTCATGATAGAAGAATCCCCATCTCTTTCGTATTTCCATAGTTTCTAATTGGTGCTTATTCCTTCTGATGAGATGCATAAAGGTCAAAGGCAGCAAGATACTCCAAAGCAATAGATTTGGACCAATAAATATATAAATGTAATATTGATGCATGTCAGTATAATATTGATAGCTAACATTGCTTTAAACCCATTCGATTCCACTGACTGTTCTTGAACTCAATAATGATATGAACCCTCCAACTAAAGTAGGTTGTAAGTAGATGAACATATAAATAAATGTAGTGTATATGATTCCTATCTTAAAAGGTGCAATCCTCATTAGCACTCCTGTAAAATAACCAAAAAAGAATAAAATCATATAAAATAAAGGCATTAACAATGCCCATGCCATTCTGAAGTACAATAAATCGATTGTTGCAAAAGTAACTAAAAAACAATCTAAAGAATATGCCATAGATTGAGTAGGATTTCCCAAAACTTCCATGGATGAAACGAAGGCAGTAGGTATAGAAATTCTGAATGTAGTTAAAGCTGCAATGATTTATAAATAATTGGTTAATTATTTCATAATAATAGATGCATTATCTACATAATGTACTATATTTACTTGATTGTATGTTTATTCTTGCACCTATTGATTATAGAACTTGCTGATGGATTAAGTTTTCAATAAATGAATAGTTGCCCTTGACTGACATGATCATGGTCACAAGAGTGAATATTGAAATACCAATAATGATTAGAATATTTGATTCAAGAGTGTCCGAACAAGCACCGCAAGTGTATTTTTTGCTTACTGAATATTAAGGCCCTCTGATTCCATAGATGTCGCATTATTCACACAAAGCTCCAATATGGCCATCATAACAAGATGTATCACCAGGAACCCAACCTCCAAGACAATTAGAAGGCAAGTTATAACATTCTTCAATATTATCATTTTTTGGAAGAGGTCTCCAATATTGTTCTCTCAATTTGATTCTAACAGGAGTGACCTTTTCCATTTGAATTGAATTTATGCCTTTACATTGTACACTGTTCTCTTGAACAGAATATGTATTGTCTGAGCTACACGAGGTACATTTCTAATCTAAGTAGGCTTCTCCAATTTAGCAAGGAATGGTTCTCAAATTCAAATAGAGTGCATAGTTTTTATTATAGGAGAGCACATTATAAGGAGACTGTTGATTATATATTGGGATCTTTATGGAAGTGCATGAGACTAATATATAGATAATAATTGGTTACATTTGAGTTATAAGAAGATTTAATCCTGCAAGTACGGATCGAAATATATTTGTAAGTTATCAAAATTAAATGAATTACTAGAAACATCAAATTAGAATACAGATTGTGAAGTGAAATTCATCAAAAACTACTTAGTGTAATCTAAATTCAATTCATCCATCAATCGTCCTGAAACAGTGCAGGTCTCAGTAGTTGAAATAGATTTTATGATATTTAGATTCTTATCTAAATTGTAAATTCTAAATATCCAATTATAAGGTATTTATTCTTAGGTATCTTCATAGTAATATTTGTATTAAGATATTTATTAACCAGAAGGAAGTAATAAGTAGTTGCTCTCTATGTTTGGCAATTTGGTTGATTTAACATTCACAATGTCAATAATTTGTACATTTGAGTTATCAATTATATTATCATCATTCAAGTCTCCATCATTTTCTTAGAAAACCGAGATATCCATTAATTAACCCTCTTTCATCATCAAACCTAACTTTTCTGGTATTTATTCTATTTAGGTATTGGTGTTATGGAGAATGAAAATCTATGAATTTTCAAGATTATTTAGATTATTATTCATCATATAAACAGCACTTCCTAATTGAGCATCATTATTAATGAAATTATTGTTAAATTGATCTAAGATATTCTAACTTTCTGAATTGTAAACAAATGCCATTCCTCCTCCAATTAATGTTGCCTTGTTATCCATAAATTGAGTGTCAGTTATTTGTGCACTCAACCCAACAACAGATATGGCTGCTCCTATCTAAGCTGAATTACTTTAAAATCGACTTTGCTGCAGTATTATGTTATACTTTTGAGTGGTAGTGGAACTCTGTAGGATCCTATTACTGTAAGTAATATTGAATTCAGGTGTTTCTTGAGTAGTTAGGACTAAACATCCAAAGTAACCAATTGTATTATTTTAACAAGTCATTCCAAAGATATTGGTTGTATGGTATGCTGACAAGTCATAATTATTGATTAATATCAGTCCTTATTTGCATCTATTGCAGTAAGTATTTTTGATGGTTACTGAAATCATATTGATCAAGTTATTAGATTTAACATTGCTTAATTTAATGAATTAAGGATTGTTATCAATTGAATATGTAGATTATAAATTGGTAAAATAACATAAACCATATTCTGTTTATTTTATTGTGTTATCTACCATAAGTACTTTGGCTGATGAATAGAAAGATTTGATTTCTCTATAAGTGTTCAATTTAATTTCACTCAATATATATTTATCTGAATAGGATAACTAGTCATAATAGCTGTATAGTGTTGTATTATCCAGTTTGGTTTGTGCTATTTGTCTGTAATCATAGATATCCTAGTAAAAGGTTCTTAAATCTTCTTGTTCTTCACAAGTCTAAACTTTAGCAAGCTCTAACAACGAAGAAATCGATTAACAATTACTGTTGAATTTGTATACAAACTATTCTTCTGTCAGTACTTTCTATTCAGTAATATTTGTAATAACTATATTCTGTAATTCTACCGTTGACTACTTCGTGTAATGAGTGATCTCTATTAATGATTACGTAAATATTGTAATATCTTTAATTGTTAAATCCTGCAGAATAACTGTAAACATATTCATAAGCACCATCAACCCTTGAATCTGTATATTGATAAACTAGCTGGATTGAATTTCTAAGATACCATAATTCTATTTAATTAAGCTTATCCCAGATATAATCAATTGCTCTTCTTCATAACTGATATCCACTAATTGTTTTAAAAATTCTTCAAAATTATTATTTATTATATTTGTATTAGTAATACTCACTATTGGTAATACTAATGAAGACACTGAAAATGATATATCTATTAATGAACTCTATAGGGATGAGCATTCAATAAATTGACTGTCCTTAATAGATATTTCTTGTTCATACATGGATGTTTATACATAAATACAACCTCCAGCTACTCTTGACACACTATGATTCATAGTGACTTTGTTCAATTTAATATCATAATTGGACTTCTATAGGTTCAGATACAGCGAACCTCCATATGCCTAATCAACATATTCCAATGATGTAGATAGATTAGTGAATTCAGTATTGCTAATAACAATGGAGGCTAGATCTTGACCTAAGAAATAGAAGGCTGTTCCCATAAGAGACTTGCCATTCATAAATTTGATTTCATCAAGTTCTAGTTTTTTACATTGGATATATATATTTGAACCCTCGGAATCGATGGTGAATTTGCCCAACAACTAAGAATAAGTACTCACTTGATATTCATCGAATCTATCTAGCCAATTTGGTTCCATCATATTTGTGTAGTTAAACAAAGAGGTCAATAATTTTAAAGATTGACATTTTATGATATTGATACCATATTGTGATTAAGTGGCTCTATTATTCTAAGCAACCATGTTTTGAATGCTTATAACTCCATTTGGACTAAGTATAGTAAAACATGTAGATATTTCCATGGTGACAGATTCAACTAGTTGATGTAAATGGTTGCCTATCATTTACACATTATTGATAAGTATCGTTTGAAGCTAATCAGATTCGATAATGACACTTCCAATGTCAGTTACTGGATTTGATACTGAGATTGATGTATTGAAGATATTTATATTCTCTAGGATTATGACTTCATTAGTGTAACCATAGAAAAATTCAGATGCATTGTTGGTGCCTGTTTAAATAATTAAGCTACTAGTTTATTTCATCAGAGACTCAAATGATTAAATATAAATGAATCCGTTATCGATTCCTAATAGTCCTTTGAGAGAAGCATCTGAGATTTTGACTCCAAATAAGAAATCCTAAACATCTAAACAATAGCCATTATAACTGCCGAATGATTATTTTTCATATGAACAAGTAGTAGTGCTGGGTAATTTGTTATTAAAAGGATATTGAATGATAGTATCATTAACAATTTTAGTACGAGGACTAGTGTCTTTCACACCAATAATATTCTTGGAATAATCACATAAGAATGTGGACACTTCCAAAGATGCTATATCTTGAAAGGAAATTACAGTAATAGCTAATTAAGTGTCAATTACGATATTAGTTAATTTGGCTCTGTTGATTTGAGTAGCTCTAATGATTGCAGAAGAAACTGATAATCTTTGAATTAAAGAGAGTTCTACATAGTTATTATAGATGTAGATGTTCTTCATCACCAAATTTGAACGTAACTCTAACTAATTGTATGGTGTTAATATGAGCATCAAACAATTGATGTTGTAACAAGTATTCTCCACAAATTTTAAGTTTGATATTTCAAATGGATAATTTTTGATGACCTAATAAAATTATTATTAATCTGGAACTTGATCAGAAGTTGTAAATATAAGTGATCCGTTTGTAAAGACATTCATATAGATGTAAACGTTTTATACAGAGTAAGTATTGCAGATGAATAATTCGCTATCATTAAATCTATTCCCTACTATGTCTAATTGATTAATGGATAATGAGAGAATGTAGCTAGATTTAATTATACTTGATGATTAATAAAACTTTGACTGTCTGATAGTCAATTATGAAATCGAAAACAAGGAGACAAATAATTGATATTCTTGTTAATTAATAAACAATGATGTCCCATTGAAAATGCAATCTGAAATGACTAAATTGTTGATATTTACTGTACCAAAAGGTGTCAATGGAAAGAGTGTATTATTTATAAATTGATTCATAGAAAAATAGAGATTAGTGAACTAAAACTAGTAGCTCGTAAGCTTTTCCTAATTAATATCTATTTAATCCACATACAATAGGTTTTAGATGTAAACATCTAAAAACTCTAAGTAATTGATGCTTTGTAATTTTAAAGTAAATACTTAGGATTCCTATGATTTGGAGTATTCATATCCTAATTTGCAATACTATATCTACAAGTAGGTTGATAAAACACTATTAGTTATTATTAGTCCAAAGTCATTATTCAGATAGGAATAGATGTTGATATTTTTGATCATCACAAAAGGGAAATCCTACAAATAGAAATTGTTGGTTATATGGAATGTAATTGGCACATTATGAGCACTTAGAATGTTGACTTAGAATTTTGTCAAAGCATATACATTTTTATGGAAATCTGTTACTAATTATGTTGACTTTTTAAATGTGCATTAGTAATCAATGGAATTAGTAAATAATATATTGAGTGTCAATTCTTCTAATGGTGCTTAATTCATAACTTAGTATAATTGAAAAGTCTCCAAATCTGTAAATTCTATTGATGCAACTTCCTCAATGTCAATATAATAATAATCACTTAAGCTGTAATGATATAACTTTTAATCGTCAGTTAAGGTTTGATAGATAGAATAATACTCATCGTCGTTGCAATACACATGAACAGTGATTTCAGCAGTATGTCGACATCTTTTAGTATTGGAAGAAGCTGCTTGTTGATAGCCACACAAAATAGGCAGATTCAAGTAAGAATTATATGAAATACTTTGAAGATTGGACATAGTCATAGCCTGCACTTTGTAACACAGTCTACCATATTGGAGTAAGTTGGGATTATCAGGATTGAAGTAGTAGTTAGTGATTTCATACTGTAATCTTTCTCTGCAGGCCAAACAATTCAATGGACATTCGATGCATTCAGATTTATCCGATACTAATGATCTATCATTAAATGTATCATAACATTCTCCGCAGAAAGCATAGGTTGATTTAAAGACACAACTGTTAATTTAGTCAACACTTACGACTTGATTCTCAACTTAGCAATTGCTACTACAACCTAAACATTCGTTGCCATACAATTGATAGCCAAAATTACATGATGTGCATTAAATATTAATGGGGATGTCATTTAAGAAAGTCTCCTTTAGTGAGTTACTGATTGGTTGCATTTTAAATAGGTAATCAGTAAAGTTATAGGTCTGAGAATATTGCCAACATTTTTGACAATTATTGGGACAGGCATCACAAAAGCCAGTAAAGATGTTTGGAAAATATCCATCGCCGCATTAAATACATTAGTATAGTGTTTGAGCAGCCTTTGTGAATATTTAACCTGACCCATCTGTGTATTATGTTTGATCCAAACTCTTATAAGAAAAGCAATTTGAACAATAACTTATGTAGGATGTGCAAGAACTAGAACAAGTATTACTGAATTGGTTGAGTATTACGTTGCTGATGCATTGTCTGCATTTTAAAGTGACATCTGTGTATTTCCTATCACATTGATCAGGCGCAGGAACAGACTATACACAACTTTATTTATCAGCACTGACAGTATAACCACTGACGCATTTGAAACACAATAAATTTGATACAAGATCGTTAGCCTTACTTGGTTCAAAATCGTAATCCATGGTTGTCACATCTCCTCTAATGTTGTAATAACATAAATCGCATCTTGGTATTTAACATGTCACACAATCCATACCATTATGACTTACAAAACTCTAGGTGGAACACTGTCTACACCTTTTAATGTATTCATTTTATTTGCTTATATCTTCTATCTTAATCATTGTCCTTGTTGGATAATGATATTGCACATTTGAAGAATAAGATACATATTCACACCTCTTGCATTCGTTCCCACAATATTCGCATTGTTTCTAATCTAATGAGGCCACCATTCCTTCTTTACATTTAGTGCATACAGTCTACAATTGCACCACAAAACAATTTAAACAGCCGTCTTGACATTTTTAACATAAACCATTTTTTATCATATATCCATCATTACACTATGTGCATTATCCGTTCGAACACTTTAAACAATCCTATGGACAACTGATACACAACTGATTTTTGAACTCATAAGTCAATAAACACTCAATTCCAATTGCACTGTCCTCGGCATAAGGAGAACTAATACTATTACAATTTTCAGTTGTCCCTGGAATGCAGAATCTCTTACAACCTGAACAGATGTAAGTTTCGTATTAGAATTACACCTATATACTTATATTTAACATTTACATCTCTTGTGATCGAATCCAAGTTCACTCCGCTAGAAGTTGAAGGACCAATAAAATACAATTCGGTGTATTCCTTTGTTTTACGAATATATGTCCCCTTCATATAATCTCCGCTTTCGATTGAATACTCATACGAGCAAGTTCTATTACTCCACCAAGTATAAGGGTGCTCTACGCAATCCATGCAATATAAAGTGAAGCTATCAACAACCTTTTAATAAGGGCTACATAGGTTTCTGTTCTTACCATGGTACACATGAAGATCCAAATAATAGGAAGTATCCATACTCACATTTGATCTAATAGTTCTAACAATCAAATTATCCTAATGGGCATAATTCTTAACAAGCCCCGTTCTGAGCAGTCTTACATCCCATTTCTATCTGTTGTCTATTGAATATACACTTTAACTTACTAGATGATCTGGTTTCTCGCTGTAGGCACAAACTAAATAATGGTAATAGTAAATAGAAGTAACATTAATATTATTTAAAAATTTATTTGTTTATTCATTCTTTTTATGTTTAAAAATACTAAATCATTTCTGTAACTATTTAATTATGATCAACTCAATATCAATTCCAAATTTAATTTCAAAACCTTTTTCACTCGAATTCCTGAAATCAGAACACAAATTCGAAATACACCTTAACCGCTCTATTAATACATCCCTTTTAATTTTTGTTGCAATTGCAAAAGCAAGAAAACTAGATTATATTGATGTTCCTCAGAATGATAATTTTTGATTTTTGATGATTATCTAATATATCCAATCATGATAGCATAAAATTAACGGTTTATTTGAAAATTCCATTTGTATCCTACTCTTCATTTCATTTAGACTGCTCACTCACCTAGAATTGGACATATCACAAAGACTATAAAGTTTATTCTGATAATTTTTAGTTAAAATAATAAAAACAGAATTACTATGTCAAATTTTTCAAATCTGGGTCAATTCCTCCACAAAATCTTTTAATAACTCTTTCAAATCCTCAGTAATTTATTTCACCAATTTTATCAAAGTTTCATTAGTTTTAGATATCACAAACTATAATCTCCCTTCCTCAAGATCATTCTTTTGTATCTCTTATCTATAAATAGATATTGACAATGAATACTTATTTGAGTTTTTTTCCTCTCTTAATCTTTTCTTTTCGTCAAACCATTTGTAGATTTGTTTCTATATTTGCTCATAACTATAAGTCAAACTGTTTAACTAAAACTCAATCTGTGTAACTTAGTTCATTATAAGATTTTAATGTTTAGTATCTAAAAGTAGATAATACAATACATACAATTAGCTTAAAATAATTTCTAAGTCTCTTAGACCTATCGAATATTATCTTCAGATACAATTTATGTTTATTACAACTAACTACTAGAAGAAAATCTATCAATTGGTTCATAAAATTAATTTAAACACTATTTGAATTTGCTTAGCTCTAACTTTTTATTCTCCAAAATTTTATATTGCTGTTAAACTTAATGATATTCTTCCTGGAATTTTGCTTCAATTTCTTTTTTCCCCTTGAAATAATCAAATAACTCAATTAATTATTTTCCAGCAATAAGTTCCTTCCATTTTTATTTCCTTGTGAATTCATCAGGATCAGGTAAAAACGTGTCTTCATCATAATTGTCTCCCTTGATGATCCTGAGTTCCTTCAAGATTGAATCAAATTTCTTCTCATTGCTTAAAAATTACAGTAATATCTAATCTTCTTTATACTTTGTTAGATATTACAAGAACAATTGTAATTGCTCTTACCTCGAAGAAATAAACTCAGGGTTTTCTACTACCATGTTCATTAGACTGGCAAGCACTCCTTCCTTTTCTGGCAAGCTAGGTATTATATCTCCCAATTTAGACTTTGTAAAATATTATTACAGCATCTGAAAATCTGTATATCTTCTCCAGACTTAAAACTTAGTATATGAACCATTCAATGGGTCAGTACGTATTTCAGAACAAACCTTATATGAATAATAAGTTTAAGTGAAGGGTCCATCTTTAAATGATTAATAACTTGAAATCCATACATAGATATCTTTTGACTTATCCTGCTTCGAAAATGCTTCTTCTTCATCTTCACTAATTTCAATTACGTCAGGCAAATTTTCCTTAATATCTTTGGGTTCTATATTTGCTGCTTACATCTAAGTCTAATTGGTATCTTAAGGAATTTCATTGGGCTTAACAGGGTCCTCCAAAGACTATTGTTATTAACTTTTATTTTTATTTTAACCTATGTCAATGACACCAAACTCAGTAATTAAGTGTTATTCACTCTTCATCATTTGAGCTTGGCTTTCTAAATTGGTCCTAATTATTTATTGCTCACAACTAAAAGTTTGATGTGTATTGTTTTCTGCCTTTGGTTAATTTATCTGCTATTGAAAATTGTGAATTTCACCTAAATTAATCTAATTTTTCTCCATATCAACATTTTCTTATTATTTTTGTGTTTGTTAAGTTTTTTGATTATCCCTTGATTCTGTATGAATTTAGCTTTTTTACTTTTCTTAAGTCGATGGAACCTTTACTAAATTCTAAAGATTCTACAGAGCGATCATTGACTTCTCCAATATATCTTCATGCGAAGGAGGTTAGAATGACTTCTTCAAACTTGATTTACTGTTGACTCTAAGAGGAAATTGCAATTTAATTGTATTGATATTACAAGTTTCTATGTCCACTTTATTTTGCAAGCATTAAACATATCTCAGAGCAGTAAAGAATCCTTCCCTATTCAGTTCATCAGAACTCTAACTAGAGAATACTTTTTTTAAAATAGAATCTGCCTGAGCATCCGTGACTGAAAATTGCCCAATCAATATTTTTTTGGTTTGTTTAAAATCCAGAGTCACATTAGCTTTCATTAACTTATCATATTTCTCTTGATATGACCTTTATTCATTTTGATTTAACTCAAACATCCAATATTTATAAAAAAAATTATTATATTATTTTTCTATAACATACAATATTCAAGAAATATAGAAATTCTATAAGAAAGAATATCATTTGATTCTTTTAAGCAAACTCTTTCACTCGAACTAGTTTTGGTTATATAATTATTTATACAAGAGATTTAAATTTCTATTAAACTTCTAATTTATAATGCTTTTGAGAAGCCAATTAATTAGAGAAAATAGTCACGCCTGGCATATGTGTTTAAAATATATTAACTTTAATTACTCATTATTTATTAAGCACTCAAAAAGTATAAAAGTAAAGCCAAAATTAGAGTCTAAGTTTGAAAATAAAGAAAACTTTAGTCATTAAAGATGTTTAAAAATAGGAGTAATTTTATTTATATTAATATTTAAATATTATTTTTATTGCAGTTAACAACTATGTCTGGTTCCCTAAAATAATCAGCACTATTAGCTGCTTTTAATCACAAAGGCATTAACCCATTACCTAAATACGAAGACATTCGAATAGGTCCTCCAATAGTTCGCCCCAATCCTTAATAAAACAAAGAGAAGCCTTACTTTTAGTAACAAGAAAAAAAGCTAAGTCAATCCCAAGTTTCAAAGCAAAAAGCATCACAAGAATCTGCAATCGTTTAGCATATTCGAATAATATTCATGTTTTATGTCCAATTTGGCAATAAAACAAGTATCTAATATTTAAAATCAAGTAAATTTATTAAATCTATGGCGGATGCTGAGATATTATCATAAGGTATTTATCCTATTCTAACAGATTAGAAATAACTAACAAAGATCTCGATATCTTATATTTCTAAACTACAAAAAATACAGAAACTCTTACTCTAGACTAATTTAAAGATCTACTTGTGAAAATAGCTGTTAAATTATATAAAAGTCCAGAGTAATCAAAGTCTTTTGTGTTACTTTATAAAAATCATTTATCTAAACTCTATGAAAAAATAAATGACTAAACAGATTTTGGCTATGATTTAAAGAGAATAGATGCTTGTCGAAGTTAAATTGACGAGCAATTCTTGGAAATCGTATCTCAGGTTTAAGGATTATTGTGTAAAATACATGGGTATGTATTTTCAGATTAGAGTTAAAAGGTCTCTCAAATTTAAAGTTAATACATGCATTTTCTATAATAATTTGAAATAATACCTCTAATAATTACACAGACAAAGGCTTAGATGATATTTTTTGATTTGTTTCACAGGGATTCCATACTAAATCTAAAGAATGATGGAAAGTTTTTATTTAATTTCTCAAAGTTTGTTGAGAGCTTAATTATTATTTCATTTCATTAAGTACAAGAGAACAATCAAAATGGATTGGATTTATTTATTTAATTGCTTGAAAGAATGGAAAATTCATAGGGATTTCAATTCTTTTCAAAGCAGAATTATTAAACAAAGAATGAGTAAACTTAATTAGTAATGCCATTAACCAGAGTGAATTCTGCAAAATAGAGTAGAATTTCTACAGTTTATTAATCTTAGTAACAACAATTAAATTCAAATTTAAAGCAATCCTAATTGGTTGAAGATAGTAAATAATACAAAATCAATTCTTAAATACCTTATGAAAAAGAATTAAGAAATATATTTGAATACTATTCATAAATCGGAGAACCCATCAATTTAGTAAACTTAAAAAGTATAAAATATAAAAAACTTCTATAAAATTGTGGCATTATTGGAAGTTTAATCACTCAAGTAGATGCTGATATGTTTTATATTTAATCAACACCTAAAAAAAAATTGGATTCAACTAAAAGTCCGAAATTTAAAGTCAATAAATTATATGACAATGACAATTAAAATGGCAAAATGGATTTTATAAATTTCTATAATTCATTGTAAATGATAGCAGAAAGGTTTAATGGCAATGATATAACTGGATTAATCGAGCAATTCTTGATACCACTTGAAACATAAATACGAATAGAAAAACAAGAGTATATATTGCAGATTTTGATGATGATACTAGATGATCAGAGAATAGTATTACATAATAATTAAACTAGAATAAATTATTTGAAATTATGCAAGAACATTTTGAACCATATTATAACCATTATACAAAAGACTTAATGACACTTTCAGGATATATGAAATTTTGTTCAGATTTTGAATTAGCAAATGCAATGGTATCTAAAGGGTAGCTTATGCATGTTTTCAAGGCTATTGCATCTCTAAATAGTACTGAGACAATTGATAAACGCTAATTTGTTGAAGCAATTAGTGTTATAGCTATTTTAATTTACAATAATGTTAATGATAATGAATAAAAAGTAAATGATATTCTGAATAATAGATTATCTATTTATTAGAAAGAATAACTTAAAGTGATGGAGCAATAAAGGTATCCAAATAATTAGGAATAATGAAAAATCCATAAAATACAAATCTAATTTAATTGTTTCGCTATTAATCTAACAAAGATTTAACAAGCAAAGAAGAAATTAACTTTAATAACATAGTAAACTAAATTCAGTATGATTTTTGATTTAATATATATATTCAAATTTATAATGATAATTATATAATTTTCAATATTCATCCTCCGATTTGAATTATTTCATTACTTCCAACAACAATATAAAATAAGCATTATTATTAAATAAATTACTGTATATGCTCTTAATCTCTCATAGGTTTTTATATAACATTTATTTAAAATGATCAACAATGTAATCATTTTAAAAGTTCGTTTGATAAAATAAAGAGCACACAAAAACTTATATCTCATTTAGCTTTTTGTTCTTAGTTCTCAACAACATGCTTTTAATAATTTAATAGAAAATGTTTACAGAACACGTGTACGTTTTGAAATATGAGATTAAGAATTTCATTAATTTAGAAGTTATACATATATTCTTTAATAATAAAAAAAAGAAAATATAAATAATAACTAATACAAAAAGTGAAACAATATATTTAAATAGAGCATCATATATTAATTGATAAAGTATCACCACAAAAAGAATAAAAGATAATTTTTTTATAAACTAAGCGATTAATAATTAATTCTATATAAAAATAATTAAATATGAATAAAAGATTGAAGTAAGGATATCCATTCAACATTTATTTTAAAAATTTTTACTCTTTGTTCTACAAGTATAATAACATATGAGAGAGAAAATTGTCAGATCTTAAATTTTATGGATTTTAATGTTAAAATTATCGTAAATTGGTTGTAAATATGTTGTTTATTCTTAAATTGATTCAAAAGTTTAGATAAAACTTTTTAATTAATGGTACATATTATTATATATATATTTAAGTATAAATATTCATAACTTTGTTCATATTGATGTCAAGTAATTTTTAAAGCATTTGAGATTTATTCGAAAGTGATAGCATCCGGTGATGATAAAACGATCTTGTCATAGTTCAAAAGGAATTGCAACATGCTCCCTGGAGGTGGACAATCCTTTTCTAAATGAATATTTTATTATTCATGTTTTGTTAGTAAATATTAGTTTGTGTTATGAGGAGAACCAAGTTCATCATCTTAAACTATAATGATTTGAGTTATTTTTTTTATTTTTTTTAGTATTTTTAAGCTTCTCTTAGATTTCATTTCAGCTGTTCAAAGTTCTTTTTGTTTTTAAGGAGACACTTCTGTGTTCTATAGTTCAAATTCTATTTTTAATTTTTGAATTGAAGTGTGTTTGAGTTATGCATTTAAACTCATTTTTGAAGGGGGTACTTACAAATACTTCAGTATTTAATAGTATTATATTAATTTAATATTATAATATAAAGCTAAATAATAACATTTCTATTAGTTGAACTAATTTTGAATATTGAATAGATTTAAACATAAATAAAAAGGTGCTCCACAAATAGTTTTTGTATAAAACTTATCGTGTTAATTATAATATAATAATTGAATGATTTTAAAAACATTAATCAGTTTTTAAAACATTTATGGAATCTCTATTTCTCATGATTTCTTTAAATTCAGGAAGATACCTCCTTGCTTTTCTGAACATAATGATTTATCAATCTCATCATTCATATATGAAATGGTTTTAAACTAAATATACTATGGAAACGCAATTAAGTTTTTAGTTTTAGTTGACAAGAATGACTTTATTAGTTCTCCTCTTTCTTTTTGATTATACAAGGAAGACTTGATTACTTGTCATCATTCAATCCTTTGATAAATTTAATGTGTCATGATATTTGGAGAGATTCAAAGTTGTTCATATTTTCACATATTAATTTAATATAGAAGTGTGATAAATTGGGAATGCTTAAAATAAATAATTATAATTTAGATGGCTTAATACCACTATTTATTCAAATTTATTATAGTTGGAGATGGAAGCGTAGGAAAGTCTTGCATTTTGTTGAGATACACAGAGAAATAATTTCGAGATGAACATGACACTACAATAGGTGTTGAATTTGGATCTTAAATTTTTGTAAAGAATGAGAAGACTATAAAAATATAAATTTGGGATACAGCAGGATAAGATTCTTTCAAGTCGATAACGAGATCATATTATAAAGGGTATAGAGTTGAGAATATAGAGTAGATCAATAGGAGTATTGCTTGTTTTCGATATCACAAGCGAGGAATCATTCCACAATGTATTAAAGTGGTATAACGAAGTCAACGATTAAGCCGCTTAGAATTGCTAAATAGTGCTGGTGGGCAATAAAATTGATTTGGAATCTCAGTATATATTAAATTATATAAATCAAAAAGACGGAAAATATCAACTGTGCAAGCGAAGGCATTTGCAGATCAATACAAAATGCAATACATTGAGACATCAGCAAAAACGAATTACAATATAGATTAATTATTTGAGAATACAGCTATGGACATAGTTGAGAAAATCGAAAAGAAATAAATTGAGTTTACTACTGAAGTATGATAACATTTAGAATATTACTAGGATTGTGGTATTAAATTAGGTAATTACTCTTAATAATAAAATAAAAAAAAATAAGACGATGATTGCAAATGCTGATTATTAAAATTAACAAAGTATCATCATTTATTCACAATAATAAAATGAATAATGCAAAGCATATCACAACAATTTGAGTAAATTCGAAATTATCACATCTCTCTTTGCATACTTTAATATTCTTCCACCAACTTGTAGTGTCTGGTTTTAAATTATAAAGCATAACTTCATTCACTTTGGTCACCTATCTAAATATATTCCAATACTTCTGTATGGTAGAAACTGGCAGATCCCATGTATGATTCATTCATAAAAATCAATACTTCTTGTGTATCCCAATTCAATAAGATGTCTGCTTGGGTCCAAATGATTTTTGCCTCACTTGAAACTGAACTATTGTAGAAAGTGATCATCTAATTATCATTGACTCTAACAAATCCAGCATATCCGCATCTAAATGAGACTGCAGTTTTGTCAGTGGCTGTGTCCTTTAATCTTAAATTTGTGTCCTCGATTTCTTTATTTCCTGATGCAAACCAGAATCGGATATGCTAAGGTTAGGATTCCTGAAACAGATGATAAAACCCATCCTTGAAACTTAACTCTGATTCTGCCTTTTTGTGTAATTTTAAGAACTTTCATAGACTCATAAATTAAATTTTACTTTCTCATTCCCTTCTGTAACAAATTCCGTTTCTAAATATTCTTCTGTCTAATTCATGATCCAATTTTATTCAATGACAAAATTACCCTCTCCTTTCAGATAATCTGTCCCATCATATGCTGCATGTATTAATGTTATTAATGTTGTGATTAATATCATTATGTAATAATAATAAAAGAAACCAAGTTGGATTCAATAATTATTTTGTGGCTGTGTTAGAGAAGAACCTCCCCAATCAAATCAAAAATTGCAGAAACTCTCCACCCAGATGGAAATCCCAAGGTCTAAGCCCATCACTCTTATATCCATGCAAAATCAATAGGAAGGTTGGCTCAATAAAACCACTTCTCAAGAAATTGACTACTTCGAACAGGGACAATATGATAACGACTCAGACGAAGGTCATAAAATTTATAATAGACAACTCTCTTATTTGGAGAAACAATCACTTTTACAGAAAACAAATTTTTCAGACGTAATCAAATTTGTTTATCTTAAAGGAATTCAACTCCAATAATATAGAAATGAAATTACTTCATCGTTGTGGTGGCTTGTTAGCTAGGCAAAGTAATCTCCAGATTGAAATGCAATCACATCAATCAATGATGAAAATTTTTAAAGATGTGTATTTGATCGTTTAAGACAGAGAATTCGAATCCAAATTTAAAGCCTTACTACTCAACCCTTCAATTGTTGATTCAATTAATAAAAGGATCAAATCCAATTCAATTTTGCTAGCTCATGATCCCACTGGCTCAATTTTACTAAAGTTGGCTAGTCATACTAGAACTATATATTATTTAGAATCTGATAAGACCTATATTGATTTAATAGATAGAGGAATCTATAAAATGAATGTAAATGTTTAAAAGGTCTTAAAGATGGATTTGTAAAATAAAATTGATGTTGTAGTTGTTAATCTGTATTTTATTGATTCCAAAAACAACCTAAGAAACATAATGCATGAATATCTTTAATATGCTCATGATATTATTATCATTTTACAGCCCAATATTGAAAACTCTCTTATTTATTCTTAAGCTGAATAAGCTATTTCACTTTCAGATTAATCGAAATAAACTTGCAGCATAGAATTATAGAATATTCTTGAAAATAATAATTGTGTTGCTAAAATCCTTTATTTCGGTGGTGTTACTGAAGTATTTCATATTCAAATTATTTTAGATTACCTTAAATGATGAACTTAACTTTGTTTATTCTTGTATAGATTCATCAGTCAAAAAGTTGTACAATTATAAATTGATGTTTAAAGACCTCAGAAACCAAATGGGAATGACAAAATTAATTAAATTGCTCAATGAATTCCAGATCATCTAGGGAATAGGGTAATTTATTGAGTTTTCCACAAATCTAAATGGATATCAAGATAAATACAGATTAACTAATAATCAAACTCAAGATTTCGAGAATGAGAATATCGATGATAAAGACTAGTTAATCGAAAAATAGTCTTCGTCTTCTTCGACAGAATCCGAACCAGAGGAGGATCAAAATTAAGAGAGACTTGACTTTAGAAGTGAAACTTTAAATTAATCATCAAACTCCATTTAATAACCCCCTGTCTTAAGACATGCCAATTCTTAGCCATTTGCTATTTGATAGATTGCTAAATTATATTTTTATTGTATATAAAATTTCTTTCGATTTTATATTTCATTAAATTATTTTCGTATATAATTATTAAATTAATTGTTTTTTAACGATAAATATAATATCTATTATTGTTTCTTATTTCATGAAGAAACGAATAAATCATATTATAAAATTTGAATTTATTTTCTACATCCATTCAATATTTGAATCATACTTAAATTCCCATTAGAATTAATATTATTATATATATATATTTCATTCTTTAGGTTAACCAGCTTCTGGTGTTTACTTTCCGAATAAGGCTTTGTGAATATGAGGAATGACACCACCACCAGCTATTGTTGCTCTGATGAGAATATCGAGTTCCTCGTCACCCCTAATGGCTAATTATAAATGTCTTGGAGTTATTCTTCTGACTAAAATAATATTTAGATATTTTCAAACCTTTAAAGTCTTTTGATGCATTTCCTGCTAACTCAAGCACTTCAGCTGTTAAATATTCCAAAATTGCTGAAGTGTAAACTGCTGATGTAGTTCCTACTCTGTTTTTGGCAGATACTCTTTGCTTTAGATATCGATGAATACGACCAACAGGGAACTAAATTTTCAAAAATACGTACTTAAAGTCCAGCCTTCAAGGACCTAGATTGAGGTGCTTTCTTATTCTTAGCGGATCCAAACTTTCCTCCTTTTCCTCCTTTTCCACCTTTTCCACCCTTTGCACTCTTGGCTATTCCAGACTAAGGAATAAAATAAATAGATTACCATATATTTGTTATTTTATTATACTAGATAATAATTTTTTTATATCTAGTTTAAGAATCTCAAAACTTAAATTTGATTGGTTTTCAATTTATAAACTCGAATAATTCACCAAGCTCTTAGACTATCCTTACTCCAACTTTTAATATCGCTAATCATTCTTCTAAATTACAGATTTCCATTAGGCCTAATTTTATGAAATTTTGGAAATAATATAATAACTAAGGTTATTAAATGTATAATTAAAACTTGATAACTAATCATCACGTGAAACTTTAATTTATTAACGAATAATATGATCTTAATTGTCCAAGGCTTTCTTTTTGCCCTTCTTGTCGTATAGTTAGTAACTTAAAAGACATTGCCAAGGGCAAGCTACTAAGAATTTCATCTAAAATTTATTAGGATTTGACAAAATTATTTTAATTAGAAAAATTTGTTAAGATTTTGGGTCCTAAAATTATGTTATATCTTATGAAAATTTAAACATTGGATAAGGAGGAAAATAAATTGAAAGTCAATTTCAACATGTTTATGAATGTATTGAGAATTCTTAAAGAAAATTCGATATAAAAATTAATGAATACTAAAAATTATAGAACCCCAAAATTTGTGAGCAAATTGATTGAAATATTAGATGTATATCAACGATAAAATTAATAAAATAGAATTAATCTTATTCAGAAATAATTAGTTTCGATGGAAAAGGCGATGGTATTATAATCCATCAATAAGAACTCTTTGAAAATTAGATTCTCTTAAACTATTTTAAGCATAATCATATTGATTCATTTACTCGATAAATGAATAACTACGGTTTTAAACGAGTCAAGAATCAATAAGGGAAGTACGAATTTAAAAATCCATTCTTCTAGAAAAATAATAAGTATTCCTTTTTTTTATTATTCCTCTTAGAAATACGATTCATTTGGTGATGAAAAAGAAGCAAGAAAAAATACAAATAATATCATAATTCTTAGCACTAAAATCAGAGTTGAACTAATTCTCATAAGAATTAGACTAATTTAATTTTTTCGCCTCTTCTGTATTACATTAAATTATTCAAGTATTAATAAAGCTAATCTATTTTAACAGAATCTTAAAATAAAGTTAAATTAGAGATGATATCCATCTCACAAAAGAACCTTGAGATGGAATAGATGTTAAGCTATTTAATTTACGAAAAAAAGAATGGTTTTAAATTGGATTGAAGTGAAATTCTCAATTTTATTTTTAATTTTTGTTCAACAAAATTCATAACCAATCTTGTAAAGCAATAAAATTTTCAACCTTTTTCTTAATAAATTGTATGGGTTACAATCTCGACCTATATTATAAACAAGTGGTATCATCTTATATAATAACAAAACCAAATTGATAAATTATTGGTTGTGAATTTAAAGGTAAAGTTTTAAGAATTTTAAGGAATTAATAATCTTATATATATTCTTTCTCATTTAATTTAAATGAATAAGTCATTATGATTATCAATTTTCTTCCTCTTACACCATATCTTACTTTCTTAAATACTCTATTTAGGTTTCATTTAATTGAATCATTTACCCATTTTCATCTAACAAATAATTTCCTTCGTCATCTAATAAGAAACCATTTTCATCTAATTAATAAGTAGCTTCATTATTATCATCATCGTCATCGTCCTCCTCTTTTTATTCATTTTTTTTCTCCTAATCCTGATCCTGATTCTCTTCCTTCACTTACACTATCTTCTCTTCCTATAATTAGCTATTTTTAAAGGGACTCAACGCTTTCAACCTTTCCATAAACGCCTCCTTTTCAAACTCAGGCTCTATTTAATCCTAATAAATAAGGAAGATTAATACATTATTATTCTATTCTGATAATTCATTTATTTGCTGGTCACTCTTACTTTCAGAATCTTCTTCATAACTAAACACTTAGACTTAAGCTTATTAAATTTCAGGTTTTTTTTTGTTATATTCATCTACCCAATGAGTCTACTCAGTTTATTTAAAAGAAAACAGTATTTCTTAATGAGATTTTCTGTTTTCTTCATTTGATTTATTTTATTAATCTATGAGATAATCAAATTAATTTTTATATTCTAATTTCAATCTCTCAAATTATTTGGTTAGACTTGAAAGTTCTAATCTCAATTAAGTAATACCATTATAATTTTCATCATTATTCTAATATATTTAATTCAGTATACTTAATCCACTTTCTATTCTAGTTCTTTAAGATAATTTTCTTAATTAGAGGTTTAAGATAGATGCTAATCTATTCTTATAGTTAGTTCTTAATATTACTAAGAGAGTAATTTTTATGAATTCTGAAGATCAAATACTCCTTGTGTAATTTTATTTAGATCTCCTTATTAAAGTGTTAATTCTGTTAATCTAAATAATAAGTTATCAATTACTTGTCAGATTATGTAAATGTTTTTTGTTGGATCATATTGTAAACTTATTGTAACTTAATTTCAATATCATCCTAAAGTTTTTTATTTGCTTAAGCAATATTATTTTATTGATTATTTTAGAATGACTTTAATTAAGCAATAGTCTATTATTCTTAAACACTAATTTTTTAAGATTGCTCGGATAGATTTTTTTCTAATTTAGTAAATTGTTATCTAGTTTTATTTGATAGAACATTTACTTTGTTTTTTAATCATTTAAAACAAATTCATTATGTTGAGAATCAAACAATAATTGAAGATCCTTAATTTTTTATTGAATATCCTTTATAAGTTTATCTTCACTAAGATTAATTTGAGGAGGAGTTCTTGATTGTGTGTCTTCTTTTAATTTAACTAAATTTTACTAGTTTTCTTTTTATATAAATTTTAATTTATTATCAGTCTAATCCTGTAATTCTTTAAACTTTATTTAATAATCGCTTTAAAAATTAACCTATTAATTCATTAATTCTTCCTGAGCCTTTTTTATATATGTTTTGATCTAAAATATTGAAAATTGAAATTACAGATTCTTCAAACTATTTAAATTTTATGCTTAACTATTCTGCATTAATCGGATTTTATCCTCTTATATCAAAAATAATAGTTCGGTTTGAATCGATCTGATTTTACAATTCTTTAATCTTTAATTCTTATGCCTATGATTTTTCTTATACTATTTAATTGACATGTTTCAAAATTTATTAAAATCCAATACTAGTGTCTTCCTGTTTGTTACTCAAGAATGAAGCATCTTATGATTACATGGCAGTGCTAAAGGCCGAAAAAGGTGTATTATGTTGAGGAGCTGAATGATATAACAATTTTACCCATCAAAAGATGTTCAGTATTTTTCATATTAGCAATCCTAGTATCAGCTTATCTACCAGTTTATATTTGAGTAGGTTAATTATATGGGTAACTCTATGATACTTGCTTATCTTATAAAAAAATGGGTTTTCTATTCATTATAATGAAAGCAATTTTAATGTAATTAATAATTAATACTCTGTTATAAGTTTATATTGATCAACATTTCATAAATAAAATGACTACTTTGCTTAGAAGTTTAAATTAAAATTACCATAAGAAGTAACGTATCAGATTAATTTAGTTACTTCTTAGACCATTTAAATAATAAACCAATATACACATATCATTAAAACTTATACCCATCGAATAAACTTTATACACTTTTTCTTCTTAATAAACTCTGGCATTCTTCTTCTAACTCACTATCGGCTGATATCTGGTTTTAAAAATCACTATTACCATCAATACACTTATTATTAAGAAATATAAGTTACTCCTGGTATATATAAAGATTTCATTTCTTTATTTAGCAATTTCGTCCATTAAACTCCTTTTAACCAGGAATGATGAATTACTTCTTCAATTCCTGCAAAGCCCAATCTTTACTAAGGTTTACGAATCAGTAACTAATTATTTCATAGTATAGTACTCTATTGATAAAATCTATGGCTTAACTGCTAATATTAGGTGTTCCTTCTTTGATAGTTGCCTACTTAGCTAAGATTTGCTCTCTGATTTCTTATCTATTTTTTCCATTATAAGGCCTTTTACCAATTAACATTTCATAAAGAATTACTCCAAGGGCATAATAATCAGCAGGAAAGGAATGCTCCATTCTACACATAACTTCTGGTGCCATATACCCTGGTGTTCCAGAAGTGTCATTTGCAACACTTTCCTTATTTAATCTGGCTACTCCGAGATCGGTCAAATGCAAAAACCCATCCTTATCAAAAACTAAATTTTCTGGTTTTAGATCTCTATGGATAATACCATTCGAATGTAAATATTACAATGCTAAAAGCATACAACATGCAAAAAATTCTAATTTAATTAATTTTGATACTCGCTTGATCTTCAGTAAATCTTTTGAATTTACTAATATGGAATCTTAAATCTCCCCCTCTTAATAAATCTAATACAAGATATAAATTCTCTCTGTCTTAAAATGCAAAGTGCATATTGACAATAAATGGATGACGAAGTTGCTCCAATAGAAATTTTTCATTCATTACTGAATTAACCGATCTTTTCTAAATAATTCTAAGATATAAGAGAATATACTTTGCCTTAATCATTTCTTTTAATGCAAATTCCTTCTTCGCTTGTTTCAACTCAACTCTCCATACCTTTCCAAATCCTCCTTTTCCAATCACGTAAATAAATCGAAATGCCAACCTACTTATTGTAACCGATTGTTATTATGGTGATTTGAGATAAGTAACTTCTTTTTGAGAATAATTGTCCACAGATATTTTTCTGGAATGAGTTTTTGATAATAGCCATGTAGATTAATTTGTAGACAAATCTTTAGGGTCATAATTTTGTTTTCCACCATAATATGTTTATTACAGCAATTAATTTGATGCTTATCTTTATAATTTTCGTGATATCAGACTTTGAAGTTAAGTAATACCTTATTTTTCTATCCTTCCTTATTCAATCATTACTGAAGGCTTTAACAGTTTTAGAGAAATCATTGATGATGATCTTTTTCGAGAACATATAAAACAACTCAATTAATTGCATGTACAGGATTCTTCATAATTTTGACTCGCTTAAAGTTTTATTTTTATTTTTGACTTGCTACTTTTCATCAAAGGTATTAAATCTTTAAGAGAAGCATAAGCAGATTTCATTCTCTCTAATGAAATAAATTATATTTTATAATTTATATTTCATTTCAATTCTTATTAGATATACAAATAAATCTCCTTTCGTTTAATTAGATGGTCGACATCAGTAATTTCTGTTGTACATTTAGACTACATCAGTGTATTTGATAAGAATTATATTTTTCATTTCCGGTATTTTATTAGACTTATAATTTATGTGATAATCAACATATTTATAATTTTAAAATTTAGATTGTAGTATCATTATTTAACCAATGAAATCATTTTCTATAAATCTAATTACATTTCTTCTTATGTTATTTACTAACTAAACCCTCCATTCTTTTTCAAGAGTTCATCCAAGTAACTTGATTTACTTGTATATGTTGAACCAAAGTAAGATGGACCATTATTATTATTATTTAGAGGAGGTTCATAGGTACTATTCTTTCTTTTATGAATTTTCTCCAAGAATTTAAATCCTTTTCTGTTGATCGATCTAGGAAGAGGTTTCATATTTCTTTGTTTTTAATCTTCAATTCTACACCAAGGGCAAACGTATTTAAATTTCATATCTTCTACTAAACATTCAATACTATGGATTCCATTTTTAGCTTCACAAGATAAATGAGTCTTAAAATTATTATTATAACTTAATACCCATTTGTCACATTTTTCCTAATCGCAAGCAATCCATTTTTGACCATCCAAAAAATTTTCATTTTGATCACTGTAAACCTAGAATATAAAATTCTAATACTTAAGCACAGAAATAACAGCACTTTTTCTCAGTGTATAATTCAAGACATTCTTTACAAAAAAATAGAATTTAATCACTAAATTTAGCAGGATAAACATTTTATGATTCAATAGTACAATATTAATTCATACATTCATCTTCTTGAATTTTATCTTAATCATCCATTTATATTCAAAATAAAAATATTTATAATATCATTAGAAATTTTCATAAAGATAATTTATGATCATATCTGGGTCATCCCTATGAATTGCATATGCTTCAACTACCTATTCAAGTGTAAAGAACCCCATGGCCATAACCTAGGCAATCGTTGGATTATTCATGGGATCTTCATAAATAGTTTTTTCTATTTCTTTCAAAGCATTTTAAAATTGTGTATCTTCAAATTATTACATAAATTATTATTCCTATTCTTATTTACTTTATTCCATTATTTTTCTCAATATTTCATTTTCCAAATTTGGTTGTTGTTATTATTATTATTGCTATTATTATTATTACTATTGCTATTATTATTATTATTGCTGTTATTATTAAGTTTGTTTTTACTATTATTGAATAGGAAATTATTGATTAAATTATGCAACTTGAACACTCTCCTTAATTACCATATCCATAAGTTATTCCTCCTCTTCTTCATACTCTAGTTGTTACAAAGATTCCTTTATCGCAGTTTACTCACTAGATTAATTTCAACAAATTACTTTTTTAGTTATTGATCCTAAAATAGCCTTTTAGATTCATTAAAAATAATATCCAATTCATTGCTAATGCAATTTTCAAATTGAGCTCTTGATAATTATTGCCCATATCTATTATTATTGTTTGCACTTTACTTGTTTTTCTGTTCTTATAATTTCTCGAACATTTGCTTTTCATATTAACTAATTTCTAACAATCCTAATAAGGCTGAATGCTATTTATCCTTTAATTTTATGGAGTTATAATGAGATCTTCCATGATAAGATAATCTAATTGGCCTATGAAAATTGCAACAATTGTTACTCTTTATTATATGGATTAGCCTCTAATCCTGTTTTTAAGGGTTCTTTGCTGCACACATAAATTTCAATTGGGATATCATAAAGCTCACGAAAGGCTTAGAGTTCAATGTTGTCTCCCCAAACTCCGTCTTTTGATTTGTATTCTACATATTCCTCAACATTCCCATTAATTATATAATCTTAGAAATAGTCCTTTTCTTGTAGGATGTATTGCATTGCAAACTTGCGTAATTCTTTATGATAGATTTCATTGCCATATAGTTGATCACTTATAGCTCTAAACATACAATTGCCATCCCCTTAAACCTCCCTAATCAGCATTCCCTACTCACTCAAAATTGATTGCAGGGAAGTTTCCATTTCCTTATATTTTTTACGCATTGTTAAGAAATTTTACAATTGTAAATATAGATTGAATCGATGTTACAATCTTAGAATAGATTATGGTTGTTATTTTAATAATTTTCCTATTCCAGGTTCACTGGAGTTCGAACCAAGAGGATGAATGTCCTTAAGCTAATAATTCTAATCATAAATCCTCTTATATCCTTAATGATGTATAAGTGCTTAGTCCTTTTCTATCTGGACAATTATACCAACTAACCACCCTTTATTAGAATTATAAACTTCAACTTTTGAATTCTATAATGGGACTCCAGGGATCCACTGTTTTCGAATTATTTCATAAGAAAATTAAATCCAAAAAGTATTTTAGGACTAAGGAGATTATAGTCTTATATTTGAGTTTTAAATATCAACAATTTTCATAGTTGCCCATTTTTTTGTATTTGAATCTAAATAATCTATGAATTCTCCTATTTCCAATAAGTGACTCAATACTTATTGTTCCTAAGGGCAATCCTAATTGACCTATGTCTAAACTTTATTACCATTTATTTTACTTCATCATCCTATAATTCCAAATCTATTTCTTCTGAAGATGAATTGTCATTATTTCTGTCTCCTATTTTCATATCAGTCTATTCCATTGCACTTTAAAAATTAAAGAAAATTATTTTATAATTATTATAATAGATTATAACAATTATTCATATAAATTTTTGCCTTAACAAACTTTTCATAGAATTACAACAACATTTAAATTTATAACTTATATCTGAATGATATTGATTAATATGTAACTAAATTTCATTTTTTTGTTTGGACATTTACTTGCCTTTAGAATTACTGTTAATGTATTTACTCTTTCAACATTTCCATTCCACTTGTTAATTATAATATTTAGTTTTTTAATTATAACACTTCCTACTCATACTTAGATTACTTTTCCAAGAATTGTTATTCCTAACAAAATAATTTAGTCTTTAAATTTGATATTTAAAATTATTGTTGTTGAATGATATAATTTAAATTACAAATGTTGCTCGTGTTTGTTACTTCTTCTTATTAATCTTATTCAGAAACTTTATTTATGCATTTCCTTGAAGATTTTTCTTAGTTAATAAAACTTTCACGTTTGATTTCTTGTTAAGATCTATGAGTCATATATCTTTCATTTTTTTGAACTATGCATTGTATTTTCTCTAAATGTTCTAATATTTCTTATTTTAAGCTAAATCAATTTTCTAAATAATTTACTTCAAATTATCTTCAATTATTTCTTATTTGTAATTGCAATTGCTAAATCGAGAATTACTAGTTTAACACTCTGTTTTTTAAGGTGTTGCCCTAGTTGCAGTAAGATCTTCATATTCCTCATTACCCTTATAAAATTCTTTACGTTTTAGTATATCCTTCAATTTGAATGTTTCGCTTATGTTTTTTGCTTTATTTTTTAATTGAGTCTAGGTTTTATGATTTTCCTTATCTTTGGAAACACTTCTAATAGGCTTGGCTTGTCCAACTGACTTTCTTGTGCTTTATTGTTTCTTTTAACCAATTTCTTAATCATCAATGCTTTTCCTACTCTTGCTTTAACGTAGTTGCATTAACAGTTAAATTTATAATATTCTATATATAAAATATTTTTATCAACAACTTATTTAATAAACACTTTATTTTCAAATGACTTCAATCCATTTTACCAATTACTAAAAAATAGCAAAGAAATATAGTTTCGTGAATTTTAACATTTTATTTGTTTGTTAACTTTGATATTTTATGAAATCTAGTTGCAGATATGAAATCAATCGACATTATGAATAAAGTGCTCTCTATAAATTAAGATTAAAGAGGAAGAATAAAAATACACCTTCAAATGATTTATTTATTAAATATTATAAAAATATAATATGAATAAATACTTAGCTTATTAATTTGTTGGGAAAAGTGATGGTCTTCACAAACTACCTGATCATATTCAAAAGATAAAGAAATCTCTTGGTTTTGAAGAGAAGGAAAGAAGAGTTATAGAAGAATTGATACCTCAATTGAAATAAAGAATAAGAGCACAATCTATTCCTGAGAAACCAATTCCAAAATAGATCCATATCAATAATCTTTCCAAAAAATTGGCTCATTTGAAGTTAGAATATGATAAAATTAATGTTGAATTAAATAAGCATTAATCCTTTAGAACATAAATTACAAATCCAAAAACAAGTTTTGAATAGCATTTCTTTTAGGTTGAATAATAGATTCATATTTGGGAGGAGTAAAAATCTAAACTCTCTGAATAAATTAAACAGATTAAAAAGGAACTATTCTTCTTAGAAAATTAATCAGATACGTATACTTCAAAAAAAATAGTTACAAATTAATCTGTTTTATTGAGTGAATTAGTCACCATTGAAAAAAAGATACCTACTCCTTCCAAACTCCCTAAAATATTAAACTAAGAGAGTCCTATGTACACATAACCTAAAGCATTTCATTCAGATGTTAAAATGATAAATAATACAAATGATTCTAATTTAATTGATTTATTAGAAAGTGATGAGGATTAGGATTTACGACCAAGAACAAGGGTCACAAAAATTAAACAAAAATAATCACCTACTTTAGAATAAATAATTAGTTAATTAGATTAGTTTGTTGTAAAGAATGACAAATTATAACCTCATAAAGAAGCATTAAGACAATTTAGATTAGCTTAGTATGAGAAATATCTAATGAAGATACCCAATATCTAAATGAATAATACCTATGATTTGAAAAGATCGTTAACAAACAAGAGAATTAAAAATATAAAGTATGGATTTGCCACTGTGTTTTTTTGTTTCTGCTTAATTAAATAAACCAAAATTTCTCAATAAAGATATTAGTTAATCAGTTACTCTTATCATTAGAATAATTATTAAAAAGCAAACTAGGAGGTTTTATTTTTTGTTAATAACGTGATAGCAAAATAGATTTTATTCAAATTTAGTCGCTTGTAATAACTTTAGAAAGCAGAGAAAAAATAGCATAAAATAATGATTCCATTAATAGCAGAAGAGATTGTTAGAGAAATTTTGTAGAAATTGACAAATTAAAAGTTTTCAAATTAATTCTACGTGTTCTTAAATTCTATATCAGAGGAAGGATTTTACCCATTATAAAATTATCACAGTGATATCATCAAGTCAAGATTTTAGATATCAAAATATTTTTCATATTTGTTAAAAGAGTGTAAAAAGATTGTTTTTTTTGAATTTGTTCTAATTAAAAATATTATCTTTTATGGACTGATCTTTAAAGCTAAAGAATTATTTGGTTAATTAAAAATAGATGCAGATAATGAATTGATTAATTCTGTTACCTTAATTTTACTTGAACTATTCTTAAGAACTCTACAATCTGGAATTATAAATGTTAATTTAAAACACTTTAGTTATGCCTTAGCAGATGGACCCTACATATAAAAGTATTTGAAGGAATTGGATCTTATAAAAATGAAGGTTTTAACTACTTTATAAATAGATGACATGATGAAACCATTTATTTAAATGATTGAAAAATAATTTATAAATTACTAACAATGATTATTAATAAAATACTCAATAAGACTATAGATCATTTTTATTTATTTATTATCAGATGTTATTATTTTTAAATTAATTGATGAGATTCCTTTCTAATTTCGAATTCTTTTTATTAATAAGACCTATATTGATATAACAATTATAAATTATATTTTTGATAATCTCATTTTAACTTCTCAAACAAGGGTTTATATTAATATCTGGCATGAGTGATAGAATTTAATAGGTTTTTCTTTGTCCCTGCAGTGAGCTTGTCAAATTATTCCAAACAAAGCTTCTATCCTTTATGCAAGAATTCCTCCACTTATTTCTCTTTGACTTCTTTATCAACATCATTAAATATGTCCTTTCTTTGTTGAATGCAGAAAGCAAAATGAGACAAGAAATTACCTAATTGATTCTTGTCTTCAACATTCTCCAATTTATTATAAGTTTCTTCACTATGCTATTATAGAAACTTAGATTAATACAATTTTAGAAAATCTTAAATGGTTTCTCATCAAATAATCAAAATGAATTATCACATTAGATACATCAACTTTGAATCGTCTGGCCTACTACATTATTATATTGAAGCTGAATAAAAATGATTGTTAATGAGTTCTAAATCATTTATTTAATTTTTTTTACTTTTCAATTAATTTACTCAATAATGGAGTTTGCTAGTGTTCCCAACCAACAAAAAATTGTATTGAAATTCTGTATAATGTTGTCCATACTTTCTCATCATCAAAATAATATTGCTATGAAACTTGGGTGAAAGATCTGAAATTGTAAATATCCAAATATCTTGCATTGTCTAATATTACTTTGTAAGCTCTATCAAATATTTCCCAATTCTTTTTGACTTCAGTTGGATGATGAATATTCAATTACTTAATGGCTTTCCATAGTTTGAAATCCTAAGTGTGAACAAAAGTGTCATTATTAAGTATACTCAAAATGAATTCTAAATCTGTAGATTCATATTTCTTATAAATATTAAAATAAGTACTAATTTGTGAGGAGGATTGTTTTTTTGGACCTCAATAAATTTGGTATGATCATAATAAAGATGAGCATTTGGAATGTCATCAGGTATTGAAGGTTTTCTTAGCATTTTGGTTTCTCCTTTTGGTTTTGTAATTCCACGTCTGGTATATCTAGGATCTTTAAGTAAACTTGGAATGGTTGATCTATGGGAATATTTTGAAAAGCCTTAAATAATTTTCTTAAACATATATATATATTATTTTTATTGATAATCAAATTTCAAGAAATTATTTTTAATTATTTAACAATGATTTAGAAACAAAATCTATATAAGCGTAATCCCATTGTTCATCTCATAATGTCTCCNGATCATTTTTATTTATTTATTATCAGATGTTATTATTTTTAAATTAATTGATGAGATTCCTTTCTAATTTCGAATTCTTTTTATTAATAAGACCTATATTGATATAACAATTATAAATTATATTTTTGATAATCTCATTTTAACTTCTCAAACAAGGGTTTATATTAATATCTGGCATGAGTGATAGAATTTAATAGGTTTTTCTTTGTCCCTGCAGTGAGCTTGTCAAATTATTCCAAACAAAGCTTCTATCCTTTATGCAAGAATTCCTCCACTTATTTCTCTTTGACTTCTTTATCAACATCATTAAATATGTCCTTTCTTTGTTGAATGCAGAAAGCAAAATGAGACAAGAAATTACCTAATTGATTCTTGTCTTCAACATTCTCCAATTTATTATAAGTTTCTTCACTATGCTATTATAGAAACTTAGATTAATACAATTTTAGAAAATCTTAAATGGTTTCTCATCAAATAATCAAAATGAATTATCACATTAGATACATCAACTTTGAATCGTCTGGCCTACTACATTATTATATTGAAGCTGAATAAAAATGATTGTTAATGAGTTCTAAATCATTTATTTAATTTTTTTTACTTTTCAATTAATTTACTCAATAATGGAGTTTGCTAGTGTTCCCAACCAACAAAAAATTGTATTGAAATTCTGTATAATGTTGTCCATACTTTCTCATCATCAAAATAATATTGCTATGAAACTTGGGTGAAAGATCTGAAATTGTAAATATCCAAATATCTTGCATTGTCTAATATTACTTTGTAAGCTCTATCAAATATTTCCCAATTCTTTTTGACTTCAGTTGGATGATGAATATTCAATTACTTAATGGCTTTCCATAGTTTGAAATCCTAAGTGTGAACAAAAGTGTCATTATTAAGTATACTCAAAATGAATTCTAAATCTGTAGATTCATATTTCTTATAAATATTAAAATAAGTACTAATTTGTGAGGAGGATTGTTTTTTTGGACCTCAATAAATTTGGTATGATCATAATAAAGATGAGCATTTGGAATGTCATCAGGTATTGAAGGTTTTCTTAGCATTTTGGTTTCTCCTTTTGGTTTTGTAATTCCACGTCTGGTATATCTAGGATCTTTAAGTAAACTTGGAATGGTTGATCTATGGGAATATTTTGAAAAGCCTTAAATAATTTTCTTAAACATATATATATATTATTTTTATTGATAATCAAATTTCAAGAAATTATTTTTAATTATTTAACAATGATTTAGAAACAAAATCTATATAAGCGTAATCCCATTGTTCATCTCATAATGTCTCCAAAGAGGGGATCAGAAGATATTTCTAATCCAGCATTCAAGTATATCTTCTGCAAAACAAAATAATTTAAGGACTTTAATAGTTTTAAATCTTAGAATTAATGAAAGCACAACTCAATAATATTTAATATGAAAAACCAATCAAACTCAGAAGAGGAATATTTAGCAAACATATTATCTGCTTTCCTCAAGATTCGATAATAGGAAGAGTAAAAAGTTGCGATACAAGTCTGAGGATATAAAACTATTGCAAAATCTTAAAGTAGAGCAACGAGAACTGGAAAATCAGATCCACTTAAACGTAAAATAGGAACAACATAAATCTAATTTTAATGAAAATACCAAGAAACAACCTAAAGTTCTTAAAATCTCCAAAAATAGTGAGAAAAAAGGAGACAAATATACTGAATATGGAATCTTCGAGGATGGGGCTTATGTATGTTTAAAGTGTTAAAGCAAAATCAAAAGAACTTAGGATTTGCTCAAGCACTGGACTGTATAGCATTAGAGGCAAGCAATACGTAGGAGAAAACGAAACATGATAAATGAGGATATTTAATGCATCAAAAAATTATCCTAAGAGAATCCTAAATTAGAAGCCTTCATTTGAATTGTGAGTTCTCTATAAATAATTTTAAAATATATTATTAATTTAATTTAAATAACTAACAGATGTCAGCAGCTTAAACTCTTTACAATGCTCAGTGCTCCAATAATGATCATAAGGCACAAATAACTAACTATTGTGCCTGTATTGACTGTTTGAGACCTCTCTGTCCAGAATGTATCTAGGAACATTACCAATTTCATATGTAAGCCAAGACACCTGCTGCTATCTAAAGTATTCTTAATACAAGAACTAATTGCGAAAGGAAAATTGCAAAAGCAATTGAATAATTGAAAAAAGTAATTAGAATAGATCTATATCATCTAAGGAGTATGAGTAATACGATATTCAATATTTTTTTAATCCTGATGAAATTCTAAATTAGGAAATCTCAAGAATGAATGAGGCAAAATAGTAGATGATCGAAATCATATAACTCTTTTTTAAATAGATAGAAAACCTTCTTGAAACCAAAGTCAAGGAAAATTTATTAAAAGTAAAATTAAAAATTGAATTTTCAGGTTAAAAATATTGGGGGTATTTTCCAAAGAATTTAAACCGTGATTGAATAATTAGAAATCCTAAGAAATAGTCTTCTGACTAGCTCAGATCCTTTCTTACATTTTCATAAAGCCTGTCGATTAGATGTTAAATCTTTGCTTGATCGTTATAAATCTGATTTGAAGAAATCAATTAAATCCAAGGAATTAGGTACAACTATAAATTAAATAATAAGATCCAATAAATGTTCACATTGACGAACATAAACTCTTCAATCTTAAAAATGAATTAAGTAAAATTGTTATAATTCAAACCACCGATCATGAAGAAGCCGCAGATAATATTTCAGTCTTATCTAAAAATAAGGATTAGAGCATAAATTATAGTGTACAAGGACTCTATGCACAATAGACAAATAATCCTTAGAGTGGACCTCCTCATTTTTAATAAAAGCCAAACAAACAATAAATGAGTAATCTTGGAGATAATGATGAACCATAATATGGAGCAATTTCAAATTAAGACTTTTAGATTTCTAAATCTAACTATTTTGTAGGTCAACATAAATTCTTGCATTTTATTATCAATAAGGCTAATTTGATGAAGATCTGCAATTTAGAAACAAAGCAATGGATGACCTTTGAAATTGATTATGAAGTCCCTGAATTTCATAGATCTATTGTTGCTCCAAATGGTGATATCTATATATCTGGAGGATTGATTGATTATAAGGATAATAGAAAAGAATCTATTGTGAGAAGATATACATTGGATGGCAAGATGCAATAAATTGGATAACTATCATTTCCGAGATCGTCCCATTCAATGGTCTATTGCAACTAAGCCATTTATATACTGTGTGGTTATTAAGAGCACAGAAAGATGTCTTATAGTTTGGAGAAATACAATTTTAATACACAAAAGATGGAATTATGTGCTCCTTGCAAGACACCAGCTAATTCACCTGCTTGTTGCGTTTTCAATGATAGATATATTTATAAATTTGGGGGATATGATTAAAATGGATGGAACCTACTAATTATAGAGAGATATGATACTTTCGAAAACAAGTGGGAGCATATTGACCCTGAAATCAGCAAATAAGAATCTTCAAAATTCCAAACCATATATCAATGTTCAGCTTGTGTTTAAATTAATAAAAATAACATCTACGTCTTTGGTGGTTATGATAATGATGATAAAGGAGTCTCATTCTCATTCCTATTAAAAATAGATGATAGACACACAATTCATTAAGTCAATACCAAGCCCTTATTGTATCCTGAAGGATTTTGGAACAATTAAGTAATTCTCATATATATTCTAAATTTTAGGTTATTATTCACGACCAGAAGTTGTTTGTTTTGTAGAACATTGAGATTGATAGTAATTAAATTGATGAAATTAATAGATCCCTACTATGTTTTGATGGGTAGGGATGGAATGAATTATAATATTAAATCGCTAATTGAATTATTTAAATAAACCATATAAACACATATATCATAATAAAAACTATATTCTCACCATAACCGTAATCTATAACCTTAACAAGCAAATAAAAGAATTTACTCCAAATTTAGGTCACTTCTATCGTCTTGTTGAAATAAGTTACAAATTTTTATAATCAATTAGATATTCATGAAAAATGATTAAATGGATTTATATTTGAAAAGATTCATTCTCATGAACTTTCTTGATGCTGTTAACCTTTTGCTGATCCGTTCACGAATTTAGCCTCAAATTCTTTAGGTGGAAGGCTTTAAGCTAAATTGACCTTTTCTTTTGTTTAATTTTATCTCTGTATTGTATACTGCAAATTTGATAGTTCCATCTATTCAAGCTATTCCAGCTCTCTTATTTTCTAATCATAATCGATTTTCTCTCTGATAACTTTATCCTTCTCTAATTCTACATCATATCTAATCTTATCTCTTCTGTCCTTCAACTTATGTAATGTATTTAAGTTAGCTTGCTTTTCCTCCAGTTTCCCTTATATAACCTTACTTCGAAAAGTCTCGTGATCCATGCTTCTCTATAATTTTGTTTCTTTCAGATCATGTTTATGCCAATCCCTGAATTCCTTAACTTCGGTTTTTTTTCTCAATAGCATTTCTGACTTGATTAATTTCAAAGTCTCTCTTTGAGCTCTCGAAACACTCAATGAGAAGGGTGGAGGAGCCTCTACCTTCTACCTTATTTTCTCTTCTTTCTAAATAATTGTCAAGATGAATTTGTACTTTTAACTGTAATTCTAATCTATGCTTGTATATTTGCTCAGCTTTCTAATCTTCTGACTATATTTTTTTAAGTATTTTTTCACGTTCTTATCTAATTTGATCGATTCTATTTTTAATTTTCAAAGCCTCTTCTTCTGCATTCTTTTTCTCAACATAAGTACTAAACAAACTCTTATTTACTATTTTGGGTAACTCTCCTGACATTTGTTGATTATTATTAATATTTCTATAAAATTTGGTGATGCAAGTGAGTTTTGCATTACAAATAAAACATACAAATAAATATCATATGAGCTTTTATATCTAAAGTGGCAATTCTAAAGATGTTTCTAGGCTACATATTTCTGACTTTGTTGAATGTTTACGAAAGTTTCTATCATCAAATTATTTATCAACAGGCAATTGTTAACAAATTTTCTAATGGGATGATTTTCTACTCTGAACTGCTGTTTAACTACTCGACAAGCTGTTGAATTTCTTTCCCAAATTTAAAAATAGTGGACAATCAGTACGAATTTTATCTTCTGATCCTTTCAATGCCATCATTAATGATTTTAGTTGTCTATTCTTTATTCCTTCTTAAGCTATCTACAATGCTTCTTTTCTTTCTCTCTACCTTTGAATCTTTTTCAATTTGTAATCCCTTTCCAAATTTACTTGTTCTTAATCAAATTCTTTTATCAGGGTTTATTGTGATTATCTGATCATTCTAATCATTTGAGATGCATACTTTTTATATTCTTTATTTTATTGATTTATTTTTAAGATAATCTTAAATATACACAATCATTTACATTGTTTTTATTTGGAGACTGGGATTTGGATAAAATATTTTCTGAAATTTCTTTGGAATTAGTCTATAAATTTGGAGAAATTTTTAATTAATCCTGAACTCTTAAAGAATTCTTTTGATCTCCCTCTTCTTGTTCTTGATCCAATTCAAGAATACATTAATTATGGATAGAACTTTACGATTAGTGTTTCATACTAATATCTGGTTACGTATGAATAACATCTAAGAGTCCTGAATATTGATTATAATATTTATACTTATTATGTTTAAAGTGTCTTCCATTTTGGATACTTGCTTCAAAGGAGATTTGGAGTATTATGTTTCCATACTCGTATCTTTCTATTCAGTTATTGAAATATTCTTCGAAATTTTGGATTGGGACATCTGAGAATCACTGTGGGCCAAAGAACTAACTTGAAGGTACTTTCTAATCGTATATGCCTTATCTAACTATAATTCTTTGCTCCTTTTCACCTTTCTGTTATTGACTTTATTCTATAAGTGTTGTGCAAACAGATAATTGGAATGCTCAATTTACCCTTTCTAAGGGGATCCTGTGGTTTTTAAGGAAATAGCAGGAAAATAATGATGCTACTTTTTCTGGGGAGACAAAGATATTTGTGAATTTTAGGATTAGCTCATTTTTAATTCTTAATTGAATTAAATAATTAAATAATTGAAAGAGAATATAAAGTTATCATTAACATTTAATTATAGCGCTTAAATCTTGATAAGATTATTACTAGAAATTTCTTGATTTCTTAAGTAAATTCCGATTTAGCAAATTAGTACTCTCCTATATCTTCTTAAGAATCAGAAGCTTCTCTTATTATTTTACAGAATTTATTTCCACTTCTTATGGCTTATCAATCGATGGCAGACAACTATTCAAACTCAATGATCTTTTCTTTTTATTTTTTTTAAAAGAACTTAATTGATCCTCTATTTCCTCACTTTTTTTAAATGCAAGCTACACATGTCTGTTAGTTGGCTTTGATTAGAGTAGTTTTACTAATCTCTCTTGCTCCTTAAATCTCAATGACTTTATTATTTCTTGCTTTCCATCTTCTCTTTCTTTTGATCTTTAATATTATTGCTCCTTTTAAATCCTTTGAGCTTATTCAATCTATTCGGTTACTTCCCCTACAAGATGAAGTGACTTTTATTTCATTTTCTTCAATATAGATTCAGAACGTTATCTAAAAAACCAATCTTCTTGCTCTCTTATTTTAGTGAAAATCTAAATTTATATCTAACATTACTTATACTTGACTTTGCAATGGTTTTGGTCTGCGTCTCTTTTTATCTCTCACTTAATGAATTGTATCACAGACTATCAATTGATTTTCTTGTATCTCTTTATTAATTTCTTTGATTGTTTCATCCCAACATTTTTCGTATAGCTCTTCAGATTTGTCAGTTGATTTTCGATCTTTGCTAGATTGGTCTCTAAGTTTTGCTTTCATTTCGTAATTCTCTGAAATTAAATTAAATTTACATCTAATTTTACTGATCTATTTTAGATAATATTTATTTTATCTGGCAATCTCTTTCTTCTTTTATTTGATTAATTAATTTATATTGACAATCTCTAAAGCATTTAATTCACTTTAATCTGAGGTTTTATTAAGTTAACTCTATGCACTTATAGAGCAATTATCTTTCGACTGATTGGCTTATGCAACTTGATTGCTCATAGTAATGTTATCCTAAGATTAATTGGTCTGCATTTGATTTTATTTTTAGATTAGCTGTTAAGATTTACACCTATTGGCTCTATTCAATAAAACCTTCCTATTGATTTCCCCATTATCAATAACAATAGGATAAACAGATGGTAGATATAATTTATTTATTTTCTCTGAATATTTTTTCATTGGTTTTGCAATTTAATCACTCATATAAAAATTAATATTTCAATTTAATTAATTAGTGACACTATCAAAAAGATTAGTCACAATTAGTTGTTAAATATTATCACTAAAAATATAAATAGAATGCTCTCGTTTCTTTTAAACTGATTTTTAATTAAAATGTTAAAATGCAATCATCTATTATTTGTATATAACTATAAATAATCAGAAATGGTAAACAACAATATTTCATCTACCTTAAAAATTGTAAACGGAACTAAAATTAGCATTTACGAAGAAACCTAATATTTATATATCTGATAGATTTATAATATAATTTTGGAATCGACAACTTGATTGATCTTCTCTTGCATTAATGCAAAAGGATTACTAAACTATTAGAATAGGGTTAAAAAGACATAATTTTTCCTTTGTCGATTTTATCTATTAAAATATATTTAATGATAAAGTTAAATTTAGAAAAGTTAGAGAATTTAATCAGAAACAAAATATTTAAAAAATATAAATAATACTCTACTTAAGATAATAGAAAATTGTGACATTTCAGTATTGATTTCTGATTATTTGAAACCAAAAGAATATGCTAAACTTAGAATTAAGTTACTTCTGAATTTCGAAGATAACATATCCAGGGTATCAATTTAATTAATGGATATAGAACCAAAATGAATTAGATTTAGTCGAAATACAAATTTATATTATGAATGAGATGCCTATTAAATTCTTCTGAAATATACTATTATATCTTTAGTATAAGACATTTTATACTGATGAGGCAGACATACTGTTTAGTGGTTGATAATCAAAAGATGATTTATATATATAATAGTGTATAATTAGATCTTGTAATAAATATTTTAATGAATCGCTTAACACATAGTGGTGTTTTTAAATCATTATGGACTCGTCCATTGTATAGAGCAGGCAATTTGTATACTTGGGGTGTTCACAGTTTAGGATGTGGAATCAATCAAGATTCATAGAGTGATCAATTAAGACCAAGGAGAATTGATGCTTTCAATGGCAATGTTTAAAAAGTATATCCAAGTGAATACTTTACAGCTGTGATTACAGGTATTGATATTTAAATAAATGATAAGATAATGGTGATTTGTATACATTTGGTAACAACGATTATGGATAATTGGGATTGGGCAACACTGAATAATAATAAACACCATAACTTGTGAAATACTTTAGAGATAAGGGATTAAAGGTTGTAGATGTAGCATTGGGATCAAATCATGGAGTAGCCTTGGCTTGTAATAAATATAAATAATATGACAGCTGATGGGAATGTATATACTTGGGGAAGTGCAAATAATTCATTTTTAGATTAATTATTATGCAAACCTAATGGATTGGGTGATAATTACACTAATAATCTCCTTTAACCATAAGTTGTATAGAAATTGGCTGGATCTCCTAAAGGTAAATTTGTGAGTGCTGGCATTAACTACTCAATTGTAGTAAATGAAAACAACCAAGTCTATGTATGGGGAGCTGGCAAAAGAGGAGAACTCGGTAATGGATGCAGCTTGAACTTCAAATATCCTGAATTGAATCCAATTTTTGAATAATTAGCTAAATCTGGTTACACAATTCAAAAGATTAAGTCATGCTTTGCTGGAACATTGGCATTATTAAGTAATTGCTTATTATTTAAAATCTATTTTCAGATGAAGGAATTGTAGTAGGATGGGGAAGAAGTTATTATGGGTCTTTGGGAGTCAGATAATAAGAATATGTTGTCACAGATTTGGTAACAGTCAAATAATTAATCATTAGGAAAATCATTCACCAACACCAGTGAATTTTAAGTATTTCCAACCCAACGAAAAGGTTGTGGATTTCGATTTAGGATATAATCTTTCTCTCTTCTTAACTGATTAGAATAGAATCTATTTATCAGGCTATGATGAGACCTATGTACCAAGACCTATAGACCTTCCAAAGGATGAGAAGATTCTTAAATTCTCTGCTTCAAATAACAGCTTTGCCATTTTAACTGGTATGTGAAGGGATCTATTTATGTTAGATAAAAATTTCTACACTTCGAACGAGTACGTAATTCCTCAATAGAAGAGGAATTTGGGATTCTTGTTCAAAAGTCAACCAAGAGAATTGTTTGAGTCTACTAATATTGAACAATTTGGAGGAGGATATAGAGTCAGATATGCAGTAGTAAATAATTGATATAATGCCTACATCTAAATCAATATAAAATAAAACATTATTTTTTTTGTCATGGTATTATTACGAATAAATTTGAAAAAAAAATCAAATAAATTAAAAAGGATATAATTTAATGGGTAAATAATTTGCAAGAGAGCCTGCTGTCGCAAAAAGTTCAGCCAAAGCCAAAGCAAGTGATTTGAGAACTCATTTCAAGAATACTTATGAAGTAGCTAGGGCAATCAAAGGATAAACACTTGCTTAAGCTCTTAAATATATGCAAGACGTTCTTTAACACAAGAGATGTGTTCCTTTCACAAGATTTAATGGTGGAGTAGGAAGAACAGGATAAGCTAAAGAATTCGGCAGATCTCAAGGTATTTGGGTTGATTAATTGATTCTTAGGTAGATGGCCAGAAAAGAGTGTTAGAATTGTGTTATCTCTCTTATAAAACTTGGCAGCCAATGCTCAAGTCAAAAATTTGAGTAACGAAAAATTGATCATCAATCATGTCTAAGTCAATAGAGCTTAAAAGGGAAGACGTCGAACATACAGAGCTCACGGAAGAATCAATCGTAATTTAATTATTTATATATTTTCAAAGCTTTCCTATCATCAAATGCTCACATTGAAATTTGGGCTGCAGTAAGAGATGAAAATGTTAAAAAAGAAGCCAATAATAAGGTTGTTGCTCGTTAATCAAGAAAACAAGCTGCAAGATCTAAATTAGCTATTGGAGCATGAGCATATATTAGCATAAGTATATTAAAATAAATAAATTGAACAATTAATGAAATCTCTTGATTTATTCATATTACTCAATTCTATTGTGTCCCCAAAGTTGGGAACTCATCTTAATTGATTGGGGTCTATTTAACCAACTACTTGGGCGTTTTTTGAGTAACACTTTTTTGAACCAGTTGATATTATTATTGCGATTCTCCTTTTTAATAGTATTACTAATATTATTGATAAATCATTACGTTATTTTATCTGTTTCCATTATTGAATCTTCCCTTCCCTTTTTAATTCTTATAATCTTCATTATGTTGTATCTCCTACTATCCATGATTTTATCGACCTTTCCCTTTTGAAAAACCAGAATGTTTATTGTCTCTATCATGTCTCTCTTCCTCACCTTCATAATCATCAAATTGATGTGATTTTTTATTTGATATCATTGCACATTTCTTCAAATTTAATTACTTATGAAATTCATCTAAATAGTTAATGCTTTGCATCATAACAGAGTCAATTTATAATTTAGATTTATTGTTCATCAAATAAGTGAAAATCTCATCTGCACATTATTCGCTCTGACATGTCAATGTTAATTTAATTAAACTTTTGTCTGCCTAATAAATTTCTTCCTCAAACTACAATTATTCTCTAGTCTATCCCACATTTTTAAGTGATTCCTTAATACTACTAATGTTGGATGCTCCAGATTTTATTTGGATTTTCTTCCTCAAACTACGAAAATATGGTCTTATTAATAATTGACTGTGATCAAAGTTCCATAATTAATTATCGTACTTTTTCAGTATCTATATTTATGAATTACATCATTAGAATACAGCTGTTAAGATCAAATGGTATTGCTTTCGGTCATTTTATTCATTTTACACATACTAATTCTTTATTGAATTTTCCCTCTAAACTACCACGTATTATAACAAATAATGATCTGGTTTTGCAAGATCCGTTTCGAATTTTCTTACTAAATACTCGTTGTTTAACAAATTTTCATATTTGAATAGCTCAATCATCTATAAAATTTAGTATCAATCATTACAGCATTTTCAAGTCTTGAGAATTGATCTTCATACTAAAAATAATCAAATTATCATACCTTATCTGATAAATTTTCGAGGGAAATCATAAAAATAGATATTACTTTTATTTAATTTCACTTAAAACATATTCAAATATTCATCATTTAACAGAGTCTTATTGTTGATAAGCAACATAATAAAAGAAAATAAAAATATAAATAATTAACTAAAACATAAAGCATCACTTCTTCTTTTTTTTTGCTTTAAGTTTGGCAGCCTTAGCTTTGGCTACCTACAAATCTTCATACTTTTTCTTAACATAATCAACATATTTGCACATTCCACTGTCATCTGGGTCCATTTCCTTGAGAATATCCTTGACATCCTGAGCTGTCATCTTTTCTCCCATTTCCATCAAAATATATCTCATCTCAGCAGTTGGGACTGTGCCAGTGCTATCAACATCAAAAACGCGAAATGACTAAAATAGTTCATATAAAAGGATGTGTGTACTGCCATTAATTCATCTATGGTATCATCATCTTTGACTGCTTAAGTTAATTTTTTCATCATTTGCAAGAAATCTATTGTGCCTGTGGATTCAGGATCCAATTCTTTCATGTAATTGTCTAATTCTTCATCAGTGGGATCTTGACCTAAGTATTTCAGGATGTTAGCTAGAAAAGGTAACTTGTGATGAATTGTACCTAATTCCTTAGTTGATACAGTGCCTTTGTTATCAGTATCAAACTAATCGAAAGCTTCCTTGATATCTTTCATTCTCTTTTCAGCAGGAGAAGGATCCATAGGAGTAATGAATGTTTGAAGAATATATTAAAATTATTATAACAAATATATATATATAAACAAATAAGTATAATTTCATATAAAAAATAGTCTTCTTATTATAAATTCTAGAATATTTCGAACACATCACTATTATTAAATTTAAAATCTGTATGAAAGGCATCTGCTGTTTACTTATTTTTTCTTTGGTAGCCACTTAAAGCTTTGCTCTGTATGAAGCAGATTCAAAGGTCGTCAAATTGACAAAGGACAATTTCAAGACATTAGTACTCGAATCCAATGAACCATGGTTGGTTGAATTCTATGCACCTTGGTGTGGACATTGCAAAGCTTTGGCTCCAGAATACAATAAGGCAGCAAAAGCTTTGGATGGAATAGTACATATCGGAGCCTTGGATATGACTACAGACGGGGAAGCTGGATAACCATATGGTGTTAATGGATATCCAACAATCAAATATTTCGGAGTAAACAAAGGTGACCCAATAGCTTACGAAGGCGAAAGAAAGAGGAATGCGATAGTTGATTACCTTTTGGATAAAGCAAGAGAATTTGCATTAAATAGATTGGGTGTGGAGATCAAACCAGAACCTTCAAATGATGATACAAAAGTGGTTGTTTTGACAGATGCCAACTTCGATGAATAAGTGCTCTCTAGTTAGGAAGCCTGGTTCGTTGAATTCTATGCTCCTTGGTGTGGTCATTGTAAATAACTATAACCTGAATGGAATAAGCTATCTCATCAAGCAGATATCCCAATAGCCAAAGTTGATGCAACTGCCTAAACTGAATTGGCAAAGAGATTCAACATTGAATCTTATCCAACCATTTATTTCTTCCCAGCTGGAAACAAACAAAACACACATAAAAAGTATGAAGGAGAAAGAAATGCTGCTGCCCTTTTGAAATATATCAAAGAATAGAAACCAGTTGATGGATAATCACAAAAGGCTGGCTCTGATGTAGTTAACATCAAATCAGATGAAAGTTTAAATGAAGTTTGCAAATGTATCAATATTCTCAATTATAAAAGAACTTTGTGTCTTAGGATTCTTACCAACTGATAAAGTCGAATAGGAAGATGCTGTTCAAGTCTTAAAGAAGGTATTATCATTCCTCTATACTTTTAGACTGCCTTATCCCTCACAGGAAGAGCCAATGTTGGTTGGTTCGTTGGTGAACAATTCGATGATTTCGAAGCTGAACTTAATGTAATTGGTGAAGGGTAAAATTCCTCTTTAAATTGTTTAGATATCCCTAAGTTGTTGTCTTAGATTTGAGTGCTAAAAAACATTATAGATTTAGAAGACAATTGACTGTTGATAATTTGAATGAATTTGTTAAGGGAGTCATCAAGAAAACTGAAACTGGACAATCATTCTCTAATTTACCTAAATTGAATGCTCAAAAAACAGATCTGTGATGTATATTATTAAGTCAAGATATATTGTCATTCTTAAACCATTTCAATTTCATTAATATTTTATTATGTTACTTATTAATTTTCTTAATCATTCCCCAATAATAATAAGTATTAATAAACTTTTGTGACTTGACCAACATTATGCTCTAAAAATTAAACATGTGAATCACAAAAAGGTGATTGAAAGTATTTGATTAATTAATCAATCTTTTTTCAGCCTGTAATTTTGATTTCCATCCTATCCCCAATACAAATTTCTTCTATTATTTTAATTACAACTGAATTCATCAAAATAACTCATTTAAGCTTTTCTCAATTATTCTAAATAAGATTTACTAATTCATTTTGACCTAGTAATGTTAAATAATGATTATGTACAATTAGTACTGCAATAAAATGTTGATAACAAAATTTTCAAATTTTTTGTACTTTTACAAATGTAGCATTTTGAGCGTTGAGATGAACCTGAAATCGAAAGTATCAATAAAATTTGTGCTCTCTTAGTACTCTTGAAGATTTGATGCTTGAGGCAATTCAGATTTCTCAAATAATGTTCAAGTGTTAATGATTCTATTGATAAAAATATTAGCCTGATTGCAAATCACACTTGATGAATATAATTTTATGATAATTTTTTCTATTTCTCTAATGAAAAATAAAAATAATGCAAAAAATTGATATAATCAGAGCTAAGAATAGAAAATCAGATGTCACCAATGTTAGTGGTTTTCAGTCTTCAACACAAAAGACTATGCTAAATGAATACTCATTCCCAAAAATTAATATTATTGTACATTCGTTTGAACCTAAATTGCAGAATTTAGTTAAAGCAGATGGAGATTAAACAGATATCAACCCTGAAACAGACAGAGTTTCGAAAAGATAAAATCCAAGAATGGATATGTTCAAAAATGAAATTGTTAAAGGTTAGAAAATTCACAAGATTACATTTCGAGATCAAATTGTTGGAGAACCTCTATATTAAATCAAGTACTTCAATAAAGAACCCTAAGAAGATCTTGATGAATGTTGTCCTTGCAACATTTTTTGATTTAAGAGATTGCTCTTTTTACTTGTTTAGGTCTTGAATAATTAATTTACTTTTATCGAATTTTTTGATATCTTATTAAATATTAAAATCATTAATATATATATATATATTCAAGATTGTAAAAATTTGTGACACATCAACAATCCTAAGAAATCACCTTTTTCCTTTACAAAATTCTTATTATTAGTATCATTATAGTACTCTCCAAAACTTCTACGTCCTTCACTTGATTAAATTCCACTTATAAATAATAAAATTTATTAAGATGTGTATTCTGGATGAGATTACATACCAAATACTCTCAAATCTTCAGAAATGAATATTTCATTTTCAGCTGTTTTAGATGATCCATAATTGATGAATTTCTCAGGTAATTTAGTAACTATGTCACCATGAGCTTTATTAATTATTAGGCTATCGATCTAAGTTAACTCTTTGAAACATTCAATTTAAAAAAAGTCATTCTTAATTGCAATTTTCTCATTTCCATAATAATAAAATCCTTTGTGCTTGATTCTATTTTTGCATGGTACAACACTTCCTCCAAATGCTTAAGCAAGCAATTAAAATCCAAAGCAAATTCCCATAATTTTTATCTGAGTATGATTTTCATACACGTTCAAAATAAAGTTTTACAAACTACGAATCCAAGCCTTTTCATCATAAGCAGAACTTGTGCTGCCTGGTATTATTATAACATTTGCTTACTTAAGAGTATCCTCATCTGGATAACTTCCTTAAGTAACATTATACCATAGCCATCTCTCTTATTTCCTTCTATATATCCCATTAAACAAACCAACAGTATCAATGTACATCTTAGGAGCATGATATCTTCCTTAATCAAAGTCTTTCACACAGAGAAAAATGATAGTTCGATTATATTTTAGGTGCAATCCCTCGAGGATAACTTATTCGATCGTGTGTTTTTTATTCAATTCTCTTCGGCTATTGAAACTAAAGAAATTCAAATCTTAGTCCGTTAATTCAATTATGTAATATGTATGATCTTCGATCTCCCATATAGGGGCAGTTGTAAAGTACCGAGTCCAAAGGTAAAAATAGGGATTCCTATATATTTCGAGTTCCTAAGAAATTAATGAAACAATTATACTCTAATATAGTTGTAACTGTCCTTGGCTTAAAAGTAAGCTTCCCAATTGATTATTTTCTCAAAGTTATGAGTATTTAAACTAGTTTTTGTTATATCTACTGATCCAAATTTGTTAATTATAAGCTTTGCAGCAGCTATTGCACAAGAATTTCCATCTGATTCCAATACTGCACAGTTTAAATTTTATTGAGAATTTATCAGCAATTGCTGGCCTATATGGAAGATGAGGCTGACTTTTATTTACATTTTAAAGTATTATTAATGATTTTTGGTAATGTCAAATGAGTTTAGAATTCAATATTTCATGCTAATTGCTTACGAAATACATTTTGACAATTATCAATTATATAAATATTATTTACGTATTTCGTTACGAATTAAAATAACAATTATTTATATCATGTTATTAAATAATTATATTTACAATTTATATCATTTCTAATAAGGTACAAAGTTCTTCATTGCATTTGCAGATGATTTAATCTAAATTTATGCTCTAATCAAGATAAATTAATTGAATTTGCTATTATTAAGTCTTAATTAAACTAAGATATTTTTGTTTCACTAAAAATAGTTATACTTATAATGTTTAGAATTATTAGTAACTAATAATTAAAAGATATCTTTATACATTTTTAGAAATATTAGATTCACTGTGAAGAATATTTTATTGGGTTGCATAATTGTATTGACTCTTTCATGAAATTAATTCTAATTTTTTCAAATATAGTATATAAATTTATACTTAGAGCTCATCTCTTCAATTCAAATTTTGATAAAAATTTATAGATTAAAGTCACTTATATCCTGATAATGATTTTAATTCTTAAAAACAGTAGTGTAAAATTGATAGATTAAAGAAATGAAGCTTATAATTGAAGAATTCAAATTAAGATTTCTGATGCTATTCTCTTTATATAGTTTATCAATCATATCCATCAAACAAGTAAAAAATTGTTTTGTAACATATTCTTTAAGTTTATGTTATAAGTTTCCTTTTATTTTTCAAAATATCATCTATCGAATTAATTGATATAATTTTCTAAGGGTAAATAAATATTGAACCTATTAGATAGAATTTATATTAAAAAATGTTATACAAAAACAAGAAATATTGATATAATATATTAATATCATTTATGATAGCATCAGTAATGGACTCAAATAATTAATTAAATTATATATATATAAACCCAAAATGATTAAATTTCAATGTTTATGTTTTTTTTTGTTCTTTTTCTTATGAGTTTGCTCTTTATTCTAATCTGATTGTTATTAGTGATCTTCTTATTGTTCCTAATGTTATTATTATTTTTAGATTCTATATTACTTTTGCTCTTATAACAGTATATTTTGTTCTATTGATGAAATGTTTGATTATGTGATAGTGTGATTATATTACTATTATTATTCAATTTTCTTGATTTTACTGCCTTGCTTTCCTGCTATTTTAAATCCGAATAATGTTGGTTCAAAATCTACTTAGATTTAGGTATCTGGCAATAATTAAAACTTTGGATGAAGATCGGGATAGGTCTAGATATAAATTATGAAATTATTAACCATTAATAAATATTGAGGGAATGATTTTCCAAAATATGCTCCATCGATATCAGCACATTTCTTTTTTGGCATGTAAACTTCTTCACATCTTGGACAAAATACCTAATTAGATTATGATGAAGAACTTTGATTCTAGCAGTTTTGAGATCTTCACATAATCCAATAGGGATCACATTCTGCTTTTCACAATATATACGAGGACAATGACCAAATTTTCCTTATAAAAATCGTTCGCGCATGATTGCAGATCCTTTGGATGTAAATATGAATCGAGCATGAAGTAAACCATAAATGTCAGATGCCTCCTAATAAACTTCTAAAAATCTTTTGTGATGTAAAATAAGAAAACCTTTCATCTTCTAAGTCTTAATCTTCAGGAGAAGTAGGCTATAAAATCATGCTGATGGCTTCACTAGAATTATTAGTTGCCATTCATACTTAAAGAAATTGAATTTTCCTTTGATTCCAATTAAATTGAAAGGATCGCGAATAAATTCCTCATCCACTTCACTTAAAAATTGATGATCCTCATGTGCACAAAACCATTCTATCCAACCTCCTGGATGTTCTGAATATTATGATTCCTCTTCCTATAAACTTTGATGATTTACCAGACATCTTCCAAATATTTAGTTAAAATAAAAGATTTTTATAAATGTTAATAAATGGATAAAATATTTATTAAATCATCTGAATCTCAACAATAAATGAATAGTGAAATATTTTTAATTTGCTAATTTGCTTAATTAACATATATGAATATGATTCCATCAAATTTATTTCATCTGTCTGAATTTTTCTGAAAGTGCTAAAGTCTTTTGATACTTTCTCCTACTCTAAAAGTACTGGTTAGCCTCTAATTGATAGCAGAATTAAAATTACAATCTTCGTAGTCTCCATTGGTTTCAGATTCCAATAGTTTGTCAGATATTTCATCATATTTTTCACAAATTTGCTAGAATAAAGTATTCACTTTTGAGTCTTGAAATCTTTCACTCAATGCCCTACTTCTATTTTACAATTATATATAGTTGTCCTTTTCATCCTCAAGTAATCTATTTCTATTAAGCAATCTTTCTATTTTTGTCTTGATATCCTTATCATTTGCCTCAATCAAATCTAGTTTTATATATTATCTAGTCTTACCAGCGACAATCTCATTTTGTTAAGCATAAAAAAGTATTTAATCCTTCAAATTCTTTAATTCTTAGGTTTGAGATAGTTATGCCCTTAAAGTCTATTGTTTTTCATCTGAATTAATCCATTACTGATATTCCGAGGGTTAAATAAGAGGCAAGATCTAAGACAACGGCATATTTTTAATCCTATTCACATTTTCATCTATATGGAAAGAATTAATAAATTCAGAATAATTTTTAATAATTGGACTACGCTTATTTTAATAGGGTGTACTTGCTTAAAATTTTTAATTGAAGTTCCAATTAATCTTAGATTGCATGAACTAAACTCAGGTGATTTGAATTATTATTCCACTAATAAAATTTTGTGTAATCATATGGAGCATTATTGAGTGTACAAGTAGGAGGTATACCAACATTATAATTCTAATCACTAGAATAGAGCATTACTATACATTCTTATTTAAAAATTCTTTAGCATTACAATCGCTGATTGTGTATACTCATTGGGTGCTTTGACAATTTAATATTAGAATTCTTTAGCCAACGTTTGAAATAAGTCTTTTGATTGCTAATTAACCTATTGTTATTATTATCCGTAAATATTTGCTATGTATGGGGCACCCATATATCCTTTTGGTTAGCTCTAATTGTTCATTTAATTATTTATGTTCAAAATTATAAAGAATTAGAGTTTTCTATAAAATATTTGAAATCAATATATAATTCCTAAACTAACAACATTGCTATTATAATTAATTCATTTAATTTGAAGAAATATAAAACTAATACTAATGATATATTTGTTGTTTCTTTTTGAAGTATTCTTCATTAAAAGGGTTAATTGTTAGTACTATTCTAAATATTGATAATGATTCATTATCAAACAAATAGTTAAATACATATCATGCAATAGTGCAATAATTAAATAATACAGTAAGAAAATATTTTTAGAATTAAGGTATCTAGAATTAAAAAGGAAAAATAAGGAATGATAATTTGTAATAAATTAATTTTTAAATGAAGGATTAATACAATTAGTTTAGTTCAGCTCTAACCAACCAATTTAAAGATATTTTATCACAATAATTCAATAGTTAATTTAATATAAAAGAATATATGATTTCGAAAATATTTAATTATGATGCCATCTCATGTTTTTCTTTCATAATAGAATTGACTTTTAAAAAATTAGGTCAAAAGATAACAAATTGAATAATTTAATTTATAGAAATTATTACAAATTAAATTACTTAGGTGGGTATAGGTATCTTATATAACAGAATATGATTAACTCATTGAGTTCAAATATAAATATAGTTATCTTATAATGAGAGTAGAACTAATTGTTAAATTCATCGTCATTTTTAAGTGTCTTTCAAAAAAGAAACAAAAAAAGAACCTGGAAGCTAGTGTGATTCAAACATTTATTATTTAATTAAGCCACATAGGAACTTACATTACTTTTTGAATAAAAAAGTTATAATAGTTAGCCTTATCGTAATTTCTCCTTTAATTAGATAATAAAGTTACAAAGGCAATTACTAATTAGTTCCCTGATATATTGCACAATCAATAAAACAGTCATAATTAGAAGAGTATGAATTTGTACAATTGGTAACTGCAATAGCATAGTAGGTCACAATCAGCAAATTCATCTGGGCATTTTACTTTCACTCATAAATCAACTGGGTCATCTTATGCAACTAAAAATATCAAAAGAACAAAAAAAATGAATGACTTCATAATATTAAGTAATCTATTTGCAAATTTAGATAATATTAATAATACCTTGATGACGTTATGAAAGAATCGAAATAGACTAATTTTGGAACAATCATTTCAATTTAAAGATATTGATATAAATCACAATATTCATACTAATATCTTGTTGCATTAAATCTCTTTTCAAAATTCAGTTATGCATTGGCATTCGGAATGTCTTTGAAGGAAAGTAGCAGCACATTAGTATGCTTTGAGTCCTTATGATGTCATGCATTCTGATTTGAATGATTTCACACAAATTTAAATATCACAATAAGTGAATGATACGTCTTAGCAATTTTCATGCCCACATTCAGCTCTAAAAATAGATGAATTTCATACAATGCTATAAGTTTGGCATTCTTGGAAGCCAAGGCACAATTTAACATACACTCGGCATCATCTCCTCCACATTAGTTCTTACATTTCATGGCAGCAGAAGCACAACCAAACACTTCTTTTTGACAGGCTGCATATTCATTTGGACATCTTTCTTTTAAGCATTACTCTGGATCTGCTGCAAAAGTGATGGCCAATAGTGTTATCAATAAGATACTCTTCATTATATAATATGAATTTAATGATATTAAATTGAAATCTTTGAATCTGCTTATATAACTATCTTTATGACGTAGATACTTTTATTATATTTATTTAATTGCAATAATTATTTATAATAAATAATGAATAATTTAGCTGGAGGCATCTAGAAGTATAAGATATCCTAAATGAATTCTGAGCTCCCGTTCATTTAGAATAGAAAACAAATAAGAGCCATATCTCTACAACAAATCTTTGATAAAGTCAAATCAAATTGTCTATAAATTGAATTTAATCCCCAAAACCTATCTAATCTTAAATCTGCTCATAAGATTTCATCAAATCAGTATTCATTCAAATGTATTAGTTTGAACTGTGACAATCCCCCGTAAACTGAAAGATTGGATACGAAATTAAGATCTCAATCAATGACAAATCGATTATAGAGATCAAAAGGAAGTGAAACAATACTTTCTTAAGTAGATTCAAAGAAAACAGGCAATACTAAGCACACATATGCCTCAAATAACTCAGACTCTATTAAAAAGTAAGGAATTCATCTTAAAAAAATTGATAACAACAAATAACTCCATAACGATAGAATCACATCCTTTTTTTAACTCAAAATGAATAAATAATGTGATAGTGATCAAAAATTTAATAATTTAATGCATTCAACAAATAATTTGTTAAGTCAAATAAGTGAAAGAACCAATCTTAAAAAAATACACCTAAATAAATAAAATGATATCGATATTATTAAACCTGCTGAGCCATTACTTAGTTTCAGATAATTTGCCAAATTGTAGGGATTTAAATTACCTTCATTTTTACAAATGTGATACTCTTTACTTCATATAATTTATAAATTAAAACTTAATTTTCATTCACATGGGATCCTCTTGCATTCGAACTTCAAACAATGATACTTAATCTCTGCTTTCAAATTAATGCGATTTCAATAATGGATTTCAGCAAGATGTTTATTTGGTTCATCCAAAAAAGGTTTTAGATACTATTAGCTCCGTTTCTTCCTATTCTAGTATGAATTCTCTGCAATCCAACTCGAGTCCTGTCTACCCGAGCTATTCAGGAGTTTCCCTAGACTAAATTAAATAAAAGAACGTTGAAAATACGACAGAATATAATAAAAAAAGAATTCAATCCAAACAGTTTCTATTACCGAATCAAAGTTATCTCTAAAATTCAAAATCTAACCAATCTGATTTGTCCATCGAATTACAGGAAAATCAAACTATATCTCTTGCAATACCCAACAAAGGATAGATATATTTTAAACTCAACTTCTCCAGTTAAAGAAGAGTATATTCCAAAAAAGATTTGCTTAAAAGAGCAAAAAAATAAAGAAAGTCAGAAGTAGTGAACACAATAATTAATTGATTAAACTATTTTTACAATTCATTTAATTTATATAAATCTTATAATATAAGTTCTAATGAAAATAAAAACACAATAGATTCCAAAACTATATTCAACTCTAAATGTAAAATCATTATTGCTTCTAAAATGTCTAACTAAATCAACTCTTCTCAGACATTTGATAATGATAGATTAATATAAAAAAATTGTTTCATTGCTTATATTTTATCACAGATATTTCCATTGCATTTTTGTATGATTAATATTTACACTGCATTTTTTGATTGACTAATTAATTTATTCTATTGCAATAAATAATAATTTGATCGAAGACAAAAAGATGAGCCTTATTTATTATTTTTTGATTATCTCCTCAAAACTAAAAAAATAATTTAATTATTAATGTGTAAAAAAAATATAATAAATTAATATATTTTACCAAAGATAGCAGTAGATATTTGCTTATTAATTATTTTTGGGTGATTATATGATTTCCTTATTTTAGATTCCAAATTTTAGTCCAGAACTAGTTTTCAATGTTATTCACAAACATTAATTAAAATTTATATTATTTATTTCAACTAAAATGAATAACTCAGAATTATTATAATTGGTAGATATTGATTAAGAGGCTGGATGGCGTATTTTGTAATCAAAAAATATCAAGTTGAGTGATATTATCTACTCAGATTTTAATAAACAACAATTGGCGATTTGTTTAAAAGATTATACAATTTTTGAGCAATGCCTTAATCATGTTTTAGAATACGAAAATAATGAACTATTTCAATTCATCTACTAATATTTCGATAAAGAATTCACTTACAATTGTCTTTAGATGGAACCTTGCTTTTCATGCTACAAACATACAGATGTAATTGAATAGATAAAGAAACCAATTTCAAATGGGGCAAAGTCTAAAATCATCACCTATCAATTTTCGAAGATCTATGAAATATCTGAGATTCAATTAGACATGAGAGAAGAGATTTAGGGACGCATAAGAATCCATTTACCTGGAGATGAAATCATTCCTTTTTCATAGGAGCTCAAACCTCCAATAATAGCGCAATCAATAACATTGGAGTATCCACTACAAGAAATAGAGAGACACTCAAATATTTGCATTTGCAGCACTTTTAGGAGGGAAGTGGAAGAATGCCCAAGATGTTAAGGGAAGTCATTTTAAATATCATTTTCTTGTAAACCCGTAATAGATATTGAATCAATTACAAATGAATCTGAAGTATAATAAATAAATAACATAATATCTGATTTAGAATAGGTGAAGTAGTAGAATTACGAAAAGTTGATGGAATATTATAATGCTATATCCTAGTATAAGTTTAAGGTTTAGATGATTCAAATGATGAAGGATGCGTATAAGGAATTTAATTAAGCAGCAATCCTTTCAAAAAGGTATAGCAGAAGAGTGAGACAATTTTATAATGGGATGGAAGATGAGAGGGAATTGTGTTAATTTTCAAAATGTGTTGAATGCAGCAGAAGAGTGTTGTGTTCAGCTGAGAATGTGAGTGAATCATTGCTAAGAAAACTGTACTTTTCAAATAATGTTACGCATAAAGAAAGAGAAACAGCTATTAAATTGCTCAAACCCACAATAAAATATAATGTAAATGATTTAGATTAGATTGCAAATAATCAGGATATTTACAAGGAGTTCTGTTTGTAGGCCCAATTGTATTTGAAGGGAGAGAATAAGATGGAATTTATTACTCAATTTTTAAATAGATGCAAGGAATTGAAATTAGATGAAATCATTATAGCAATATTGAAGACTTTAAATCAGGTACAAATCACTTAGATTCAACAATTATTATGTGATATAAAAGTAGAGAGTATTTGCTTAAAGGATAATATTATTAGTTAGTTATTTTTAATAAAGAATGTAGAAGTTTAGGATTAGTTAAGAGAGTTGGTTATTAGTGTTTGCAAAGTGGATGAGATCTTAGGATTGAACCTATTTTTAAATGGATTAGAATACACTAATGACACATCTTTCTATTAGCTTTTTGATGAGATTAAGATTAAGACTGCAGGAGATGCAGTAGTTGAATATTTGGTGGGATTCATTAAAGAAAATTATAGAAAATTAGAATCATAGAAAATACTGAAATGTTTTGAGATGATTTAAAAATGTTGGAATATTCTTAGCAACGATTAATTGAAATGGTATATTGAATTAGATAAGTTGTTTAATCATATTGGTTAAAATAATGCAAGGATTAATTAAGTAATTTCATCTTATTATTCATAGATATATAATCATTTGTATTAGAATATGCAGATTAATGATAATTTTGAAATTCTTAAATACTTTATTCTCTAATTATTGAATGAGAATCAATAGAATCAGTAAATCCAAAGACTATCATAAATGATTCATAATCTTTTATTTAAGAAGTTGGAATTCAGAATTAGAATCTGGCCATATAAGACCAACCAATAATTTTACTAAAAGGAGGTAGAGTACTCATCGCTCAATTTTGAAACGTATATTATTCCATTGTATTATTTAATAGATTAGAACAATTGAAAGAAATGGCTTAAAAAGATTTAGGTTTGGAACCCCAATTTGATTTGATCATTTAAGAAAGAATTGTAAATGACACTAGTCTTGATTTGGAATTGGTATACAAATAGTTCTACATTCCTGAAAAGGCAAAGCAATTTAAGAATGGATAGAAGATACTGTCAATGAATAACATATAGTAGGATCCTCAAAATCATAAGGAAAAGTAAAAGATTAAGGAGCTTATCTAATAGAAAATACAAATGGAAATCAATTATTCAATATAAGGAGTAGGAAATCATGATGATCTACCCTATGTACCAAGTTTAGTGGATGACAAAAAATCATATTTAGAGAAATAAATATCAAGTGTAATTGAACCTTAGCATTTAAAAATCTTATTTATCTTAATTAACAATCTAATACAAGAAGGAAAGAGATTTATGAGTACTGTGTAAAAGATAGTAGGTATAATGAGATTCCTGTGTAATTCATCAAACCAAATCAAACAATAAATAATTAGTTGTTAAGGGATAGTAGTTTTGATAAAGATCTACTTGCAAGAACCTAATGAAAATGAAAAACTATTAGATTTTATTGATGATCTATTAACATAAACCACGTAAACAAGAAGAAGATTCAGTGAAAATATTGATCCATTTGAATTGAAATTCCATGATAAGGAAAGTGTTACACTTCTTTATCAAGTTATCAATCATTTAGAATCAAATCCAACATAGAGAATATCAAAGACATTAATTCAAATAATTCCATTAATAATAAGAGATTTGCATGAACCAATTTCAGCATTGATTGAACACTTTAAGAGGAACATTAAATTTGAATGGAACAATCAATAATTGGCTTTCTTTGGATCAATATTACATGCTACTCCAACCCATTATCAAAAATTAAGAGAAGCAACCCTAGAAAGTGGTATCTATTAGATGGCCATAGAATCCTATTTACAAAACTAATCTCTTGAAGTTTGGAGTGAAACTAATGCTAATTGTTTGAAAATAGTATTTTCGGTTGCTATTGGATCTAGAGAGTGTCAATTACTATTAAATGAAATTGGATTTATACAATAGATCTTTTAGCACTCTAATAATCATAACCAAGTAGTGAAAGAATTATCAAAAGTTTGTAATGATTGTATCAATTTCATTAAAAATGATGATGGACAATATATTATTTAAGAATTAAAAACTACAATCGACAAGCTAACAATGGAAAAAGAATAGAAATTTGAATAAAGCTATAAAAATAAAAAACAATAAATAATGAAGAAATTTCAAAAATCAACTTACAATCAAAAAATATAGTCTCTATAAATAGAGAAAGGATTATAATGTGTAGCTTGCAAAGAAGGTTATTCACTGAGTTCAAATCAATTGGGAATTTATGTATTTTCTCTCCCATATCAAATTCCAGAAGAAAAAGCCTTCTTGTCTATGTAAAAATAAGAAACCTATGGTTTACAAAGTGTGACTTATTTCACTGTGATTCACTCATCCTGTCAAAAAGCAAGTGTTGACTGTGCCATAAAGTCTTAAAAAGATGAATAACCAAAATCACATGATGAAATATTTTGGGAATGTGCCATAAAGAATAATGGGTGCAAATGCAATAACTTTTTACCATTGAAAAATGGAAATAATTATGAATAGACTTTGGAAATCTATTTCAAAAGATGTGAAAAGATATTAAAAAATAAGATCACTTCGAAATGTTGGTTACTTTTGAATGATCTCAAAGGATTAATCTTCAGAATGGCTCAATAAGATGACTTATCAGTTGATGCTGGTGCAAGTACTTACGAACATAATCTGAAACTGATACCAGTTATGATGACAGCCATCATATATTGTAATGTGTCCTAATACTCACACCTTATGTCCACTCAACAAAATACATTTGAGTATATTTCTATTGCCATCATTGTGGCTTTGTTCCATCCCTATCAAGATTGGTAGCATTATTTAGGTACATATTCAAAAGATGCCAATCCACATTTGTTGAATGCTATTAAAATAGTAGACACAATCATGATTAATATTTTATCCAAAGTTCCAAATGATTCTAATTATCAAAAGGCCCTAGATAAATTCCTTAATCAAGATCAAATGGATGTAATTATCATTAATTTTATATTAGATCGTATTACAATTTGAAAAATTGCCTATAGAATACAATAAAAAGTGAGGTTTTTGATATTAATAAATTTGTTAAATTATTATTAATATAATATACTAATTATCAATCAATAAAAATCATAATTTCTATTTTTTACCCTTTATTTATTTTGATTTGCAACAGATAGGATTTATTATCAAAATGCTTAGGATGCAAACCTAATTAATAGATATAAAGGATTCTTATTTATTAATAATAATAAATTAATTTATGAATCAACAGTAACAATATTATTAAGAACAATATTAGGTTTAACAACCTAGAATAAAAAAGGCTAAAAGTTTCGATGAGGATGATGATTTAGAAGTATCAAATACTTTAAATTAGATAATTAAACAAGGGTATGGTATCCACGAGGCTTTGAGAATTGATATTCTGGAATTTTATAAAAGTTGTAGAACTTAATAAGAATATAAGAATCCAGCTGATTTTGTTAAGCACAGACTGGATGGCAAGTACGGACCTTATTGGTTTGTATTTATGTGGGAACATAAAAATGGATTGAATGCTTAATACAGTTATTATAATAATGATGACAAAGTTTTTGAATTCAAAGTAATAACCGTTGAAATTATAAGTTAAATGGTTGGCATGTCTTGATTTATTCATTCAACCAAACCCAGCAACCTGCCTAATTTAAACCATAGCCAAGTGGCCAGACTATGCCTTAATACAATACGTAAAATGCCTCATTTACATTTTCAGATAGTTTCCACCTCCGCTTTAAGATCGAAGATTTGATGATTTTTAAGTAGATCCAAGATATCCTTATTCCTAAATGCAACAAGGACCACCTCCATTTAGACAAGGAGGATGGTATTACTGATTAAATAATATTATTGTTAAGAAATATATGTTTTTTTTAACAAAAAGGATATAGCATTAAACTTATCTCTCAATAAATTGATGATAATCGAAATTACTCTCTGAATTTTATGTTAATCATAATTTTGATATATATCTTTATGTTTATCATAACTTTCATAATCTAATTAGAAATTTAAGATCATAAATTTTAATAATATTGATACTCTAAGATACAAATAAAATCTTATTAAAACAATAAACCATTTATTTTAATTCTGTCTATGTCCACAAATAGACCAAGATAGGAATAATTATCCATTACTTAAATAAATTATAAATTTTGTTAAATAATTAATTTTTTTTTCAAAATGGAGGATAGCTTTTTTGATCATATCGAAATTGTGAATCCAATAGTAAATACACAAAATTCAAATGCATAATGCGTTCGGAGATGTTTAGATTAACAATTTCAATCTTGCATCTAGAAAGTGCAAAAAAATATTTCATCTCTCAAAAGATAAGAATCATTTCATACATCTAATTTTTTCCTCTAAAACATCATCCATCAACCTAAATTAAATCCAAAACAATTAGATAAATCAAGTAATATATATCTAAGATTAGAGTCATTTATCAATGCATTGAAAATTCTGAAAAAAAATAATGATTCCTATCAGTCTAATTTAAGATAAAAAACACTCACTTCTTACCAAACTTCAGATTTGGTGTAATTACTTAAATGTAGAAGTGGTAATAAGAATTCTGCAAATTGCCAAACCTAAATCTATAAAAAGTAACAGATTTAAGCGAAATAATTATAATAAATAAAACAATAATTAAATGAGTTTAATATTCGAAAAAGTAATTCAGCATACATTCAAGCTATATTTAAATGAAGTTATACTATTATATAAATCAATTAATTAATTATTGTTTATTGTTTATAAGATCTTCCAAATCATATCACAAAACAATTTAATTTATAATATACTATGTATTTATATGAATAAAATTCTTGAATCTTGATCTACATTAGATATAATTTTCTATATTGTCTTTTACAATTTAGACGGCATGATGTTTAAGTAAAGTTATTGAAAAAGACATTGAATGCAAGATCATATGATGATTTATACCAATTACATGAGAATATTTAGTAATGGCTGTATTTATATTGAGTATATTGAAATAACCCAGAATAAAGGCTCTAATCTCATTCAATATTACTATTAGAATCTTTATAAAAATTTTAATTTATTTATAGTTTTAAGAACCAAATAGATTCTAATTTAAATTAATAAAATAATACTCTATTATATACAAAAAGAATTGCATAGAAAAGCTTGAAATAGAATTTAATGTTATTTTTATAAATGAATAATTTTATATTTAAACAAAGAAATTCAACAGTATATCAAAAGCTAACATTAGATTTGGTTATGAATAAAACTTCAATGATATTAGTTAATCATTAAATATAATGGACATAAATAGCAATAATGATATGATTTTTACATAGCATAATTGTTAATCCATAGTTTTATATCACTCCATAGGATAGCTATTGTATTTTTTAATAGAATTTTATTTTAATTTAATTATAATTCTAGTATTATTTTATTTTAATATATTATGTATTATGCAGTTGATTATCCTAAATTTAGTGTCATATTCTTGATAAGATTTCGAGAGTTTTTGGTTTCTTATAATCGCATTTGTCTTTTTGAATTTCAAAGGAAATTTATTCACCCCCTTCATAATAACAATAAGGCATATAAAATTCAGGAATAAGTTCATCCTCTCTAAGAACCTATGTCCACACCTGCTTTACCATCTGATCTTACTTCAATTTCTTGTACATTTATTAACCATTCACAAGCAGACCAAAAGTAGAAATTTGGAACAGTATATGCGAATAATATTATTGGACATTTGATTTAGTCGAAGGATACATTCACATTGGGAGGATCAAATTCTTTGGGAAGTTAAAAGTTCTATAAGTCTTACAACTCTTTAGGTTAAAGTAAAGCAGATGGTCCTCTATTTAGATTAGAGAATACAAGAACAATGGGATTTGAATAATGGCCTAAAGTTATCACTTAGAACTTTAACTAGTAACAAAGTATAAATATCCTTCATCTTTGAAGCTACCTATTCCAAAGAAGGTTGAAAAAACCTATGCTTGGCTTAAAATCAAAAAAATTGTATAATCAAAAATGCAAATGAAATATTTTATCAGCCCGAAATAATTAATAGCAGATAAATAATTGATATGATTGTAGAAAAGGATATGTAAAGGCCTGGTTACTAAATAAAAATAAATTCAGTATCATTAGAAATATGCATATAAGTGAGGTTATAGATATAGGATGTCTCAGACAAAGTAGAATTATTAATGAAGGGTTTGAAAAATAAGATGGGAGCTGTTCATGAAGAATATTAATTTATAAGACACAATGGAATGATAGATACTACGGATGTGAAGAAAAAGTAAAAAGGAATCTGCATAATTAGAAAATGACATTAAATAAGAATTCATAATTTTTGGATACATAAATATATCTAATAATTTTATAATTCCATATATTACAAATTGATTATCGAAATGGAATTTTCCTTGGTCTTTCGAATCTTATTATTGATCTGAAGATGCATTAGAAAGCCTAAAATATTTGTTATTTAAAATAAATGAATAATAATTCTTCAAATATTAGGAAAACTATTTCGAATTATACATATGAGTAAAATGATTTAATTGGTTCTGGCTACTCATCTAAAGTTTACAAGGGAATGAACACCAAAAATAATCAAGTTGTAGCAATCAAAGTGATAAGTTTTCAATAATTAATCACTCCAATATCTAAGAGCTTACTTAAAAATGAAATTCATGTATTGAGTTTAATTGATCATCCTAATTTAATGAAAATTTACGAAACATTTGAAACAAAAAATAATAGATATTTGATTTGCGAATATTGTAACGAAGGTGATTTGGCTTAAATTTTAGAATCTAAAAAATTCACAGAAACATAATCCTTGGAGGTGTTCCAATAAATTGCATAGGGAATTAAAGCATTACATGATAAAAGTAACAACTTTATGGTAAATTTATTAGAAATAATACATAGAGATATCAAGCCAGCCAATATATTGAAATCTAATGGTTACTACAAATTAGCTGATTTTGGTTTTGCAGTGATAGAGAACTAATATGAGAGCATCATCAAGAAGTTTAATGTAGGCACTCCAATGTATATGGCTCCTGAAACTGTGCAAAATAACGTATATTCAGAAAAATCAGATATATGGGCTTTAGGAATTGTGTTATTTTAGATGATATATCATCAGTTACCTTAACTTTCTAAATAGGAACATGACTTAAACAAGAAGCACTAATTTTTGATCAACAAAATAAAAAATGACACAGAAACGTCTCAAAAGACTAAAGAACTAATGCTCAATATGCTTAATTTTGATCCAGAAAAACGAATCTCTATAAATGAAGTCATTGCTAATGTGCCAATGCAATCTAAGAAAATATCAACACTTCAACATCACAATATTCCATGTAGATCAATTAAAACTAGTTCTATTTCTCAAGACTTATAATAATCAAGATAATAATTAAATGATTAAACATCAAATAATAAATAATTTTCAATTTAATAAGAACACACAATCGAAAATTAACTTAAGCATCCATAATTGTTTAAATCAACAGAATTGAATAATTGTTAGAATGCGGATACAAAAAAAGTTATAAAAATAAATTAAGTGGCTTAGCATTTAGATGCAAATGACAAACTGTCTGATTTCACAATTTAGAACTCTTAAAACTAAAATTAATTTAAAGGATAAACAATCAAAGTTTCTTACACGGAAAAAATAGATACAATACCAAAACAGTTTCTATAATCCCCAATCAAATTTTATAATTAATATAATGAGTCCAGACTTAAAACATAAAAATCGCTTGAATTATTAGAAATCTCAAATCAAGATAAAGAAAAGATATCTTCAATTAAGATACCTGTAATCAAACAACATGAATTTAATAATTTAAAAAGGGATTAAACAAAATAAGGCAATTCTATAGATGAAAGCGAATGTATTTAACATAGCAATTAAAATAGCACCAACGACACCATAAAACATAATTAATTTTCAAATTGTCAATAAATCTTATCAGAAAAACATTAAATACTGGATATTCAATTACATTTAACAAAACCATCATTTTCTATTCAAAACAACAATTCTATTTAGTAAAAGAAATCACCTGTTAGGATTACTCAATCATAATAAACCATCATCACTTCGCCTTTCAAATCTTCTGCTGTTAGCTTATCAAGAAATTAGTAAGATACTAAAAAAAATTATTATTTCTAATCAAATACATCCTCCTAATTGAATTAATATTCATTTTAGCCAAAGTAGATGTCAAATGTGATTAATGAAAAATTCACAAGCGATTTTACTTCCAATTATTAAGATGATAAAGCGGAATTTCTATCTGCATCAATAAGGCCTACTTATAAATTTTTAGAGTACATAAATAATGTAATTAAATAATTTGATTGCATCAATACAGAAGATAAATAAAAATGCTACTTTTTAATTAGAAAACTAATAGGAATTAAAGCTACTTATATTTAGAACTAATTTCCGACTATTAAACAAGAAATTATTAAAGGCTGGATAGATGGCTTTTTAATTTATTATTCTAAAATTGAATCTGTATTCTATATTTCTCCAGATAAATAATTTGAATAATTTTTCAATAAAGATTTATCTGAATTTACACTCAGCTTCTCTTAATTATTATTACATTATTTGCGAAGAATCAATATAGTTAAATTACAAAAAGAGTTCGAAATAATATAAGAAGTTTTATTAGAAAATCAAAAATAACATAATGATCCTATTCTATTTGCCAGAAGATGGGAAAACGACTAACTTTGATCTTTATTTATATGTTATTATATCATTTATAACAAATTTATATAATCATCATTCTTAATATTGATAGTTTCAAAAGCATTAATTCAAGCATAATTTAGATATTAATTGTATTACTGATAGAATAGGAATGAATCTTGATTATCAGATTGAAGTTGATGTAATAGATTAATATTATGAGTTTCATAAACTAAATTAAATGCTTAATGTTATAGGATACAATAAAAATATTAAACTTCTTTATCCAAACAATCTTTAATCTTATGATTTCTTTTGAATACTTTTCCCTAGTTAGATAAGAAGATGAAGAGTTTAAATTAGGTCAACTTATGTGTAAGGCTTTAGACATCTGTTAAGTAGATTTATTACTTTAGGAAAGCAAATTTTTATAAATGTATTAAAATTAGATCGATTAAAAAAGGGGAAGTAATTTGAAGTTAAATAATAGAAAATTTTGATTGGTTATTAAGTGGTTAATTAATGTGAGGGTACCAACTAAATTTGTTTGTTTTATCAAGTATTTTAATAATTTGACGAAAACATAGAAAATATAAAATTTAACCAATTCTTCGAAGAAATTAGACTAAATTATTCTCCAGGTCATACTTTTAATGGCTGTATTTTTAAAGTACAACAAAGTTACTTAAGATAAGCGGAAAATCCATACTGATATGCTCGAACTTATGAATCTCATTGATTGTACAAAGTTTAAGTGAATTTCATCTTCACTGAGAATAACAATAATTGTGAAAATGTTATAGGAATAGCTCGCAAGAATCAAGTTAAGAATTCAACTGTGTATAGAATGATAGTATCTAAATGTAAATTACTAGATTAATGATAAGTTTAAGTATGTTATCGTTTTATTATAATAATTTTTATTTAATTATTGAATACATGGGGAATTGTTATGATTCAAGGAAGAATACAGTAGTTTTAGCATTTGATTAAGCCGAATATACACAGTTGAATTCATAATTTCAATATTACTGTGAATTAAGTAGTGAGTAATAACAATAATATTATTAGAACTCGGGATATCAAATAACTTAATTAACGATCATTCGAAGATATTTTTTCAGAAAATCCTACATTCGGGATTAAGTTATTTAAGTTCCTTGAGTTGTATTCTGGAAGTGATGGATTTGTGAAGAAAGAACCATTGTTTGAATTCTGTAATATTAATATTGCTTACATAATAGTGGAGTTATTAGTGAAAGATGTTTAGACTTCAGTTCCAGCATTCAAGAATCTAGAAAGATTTGAATTGATGTCTTTAATTACATTGCAGAATTATAGATATGTAAAATCAAAAGAAGAGTTGGCCTAATTGCAACTAACTTATCTTGACACTCTAAGTGTCATCAAAGTATTTTCATATGAGTCCATCATTTTAGGATATTATCAAAATGTATCAACACACCCAAAAGAATGCACCCACCAATGAGAAATACATAAAATCATTAGTAGATTAACTATACAGTATTTATATAATTCTAGATTTAGAAAATGAATCAGGCTCATTGTCTTGGGTACAGTTGATGGACTTCATTTCAAAATAGATGCCAGGAGCTAAATATCTTATTAAAAAGTATTTTTAAGCTAAATTTATGGGAAAACAATTTAATGTAATTGAATAATACATTTGCACTAGAGTATTATCCCAATTGTCAATACTCCATCATATTTTGTGACTGATGAGTTATTTTTCCAATTATTATTGAGTACATAATCTGTGCTTACTGATTGCAATTAGTTAACTTTGTTGTATTCAAGTGTAGCTCATTAAGGTGGCTTTAATTAAATGGTTTAATGCCTTAAAGGTACTAATTATGCTATTAGATATTAGAATGTAAATTACCTACTATAATGTTTTTTTAACATGAAGAAAATTATGATAAGAAGACAAAATAATAGATATTTGGAGCTCTTACAAATCTAAGATGGTATGACACTAAATAGTACTTTGGAACCAAGAAGGATTGCATTTTTAGTCTCTATCCTTATTTTAAGATTTATAGATCTAAAAAAAGAGGAGAATAAAATTATTGTTTCCTTGATTCCAATAAGGGACTTGGTTTTGGTGGTAAAAATGGAGAGGGATTCAGAATTTGGATTGACAAAGATTTATAAAACTCATATTGCACTCAAAGTGATGATTCTTATGAAAATGGCCCTTTGATACTTTCTTATGTTAAGAAACTATAAATCAACGTCATTGAGATATGGGCAATTCAACACCCTGCAGATGAAAATGATGAGAATTTTGATTTAAAAATAGATTTGAAAGATCCACTCTTGTAAAAATCAGATGAGGTCTAATTTCAAAATTCTAATGCTGATTTCTATTGGGTTTAACAATAGAAGACAGAATAGAGAAATTCAGGATTTTATTGGGAAAATAGTAATGTAAGTTGATATATTATATATATATTTATAATAAATTGCCGCATAAATTATTTGAATTTAAAAAGTTTTATGAACGAGCTAAGTGAATATCCCTCTATTTAAGTATAATGAACCAATATTTTAGTTTGATATAACTCTTTATAATTCACTCAAAACTAAGGATAGCAGACTGCTCCTCCGACAAATGAAATCAGCTATTGAAGAATTTAATCATAATAAGCAATTTGATAGTGAGACTTTTACCATCCTATATTATGGTGTGTAATAAGTATTTTTCAGTCTTATGAGATTAGTTGCAAAAAGACGACATCTTGGAGTTTTTAGAGAAGGAGATTCTAAAGAGACTTGATGTGTTGGAATTTGAGATTTTGCAGATGAAATTTTTATAGGCATCTTTAGATGATTAAAATAAGAATAGGAAGGACTATTTGTATTAATTGTAAAAAGAAGTATTACTCACATTTGGATTATATGATAAACACGGTTAAATGGGAATAGAAACAATATTATAATTTTATAAAACAAAAATAAAGGAGAATGATGTTAAACAATATTTATAAAATCAAGTTAAGAAAATCATTCGAAAAGAGAACCTTCATAATTACATTAAAAATAGATTGATCTAAATTGTATTCAATTCAGAAGATTGTGATCAACAAATTTCAGATTTACTCGTCTCTTGTGATAATACTGCCTTTGTTACTTAATTCATTACAATTCTAGCCTAAAATAGTTTAGAAATATTATAAAATGAAAGCAATTCATTGAAGTAAGTATCTAAAGTACTCGAAAGAGTAAGTGCTCAAAAGCCTAATTTATTTAATTAAAACTTACCAGTTTTTATATAATTCTATGATAGTGAAGTAACTTATGAATTTATCATTAGAGTTATTGTCTAAGAAATGCTATTAATACGATAATCACGAATATTTTAACTGAACATCTTAATCCATCCAAAGTAGAATAAGATGTAGAATTGAAAGAGAGCTAATTAAATCAAAGACTCTTCCTTATACAAAAATTGACATCTAGAATTATAGACAAAAATGCTTATGCCAGAGTCCACACTTTAAAGATGTTAAGAGTTGTATGCTCATAGAATCTAATACCTCCGAATGTTTAACTTATGATGTTTCCATTAGTGATAGCAAGAGTGTAAGATGTTTCTTCAATGGTCAGAAAGGCTGCTTTGGCATTCATTAAATAAATTACAAAGTACAATTCCAAAATATATAGAATTTCACTAGATTTATGAAAAACCTGTTTGTTGATGGGTTACAAATGTAAAATTTCATGAAAATTGCTGACATCAAAGAGTAAAACGAATATTTAGGAAATGAAATTCATAAGACCTTAATAGCTATAGACTAGATATTAGAGGATAAGGCCAATGCGTAAAGTGAAGCAGAATTTAAGGAATTGGAAGACGAAGAAAACTTAGTTGTCTCTAATTTAAGAGAAAAGAAAAAATTACAATCAGTTTTCATTTAATATCAAGAGTTTATGGAGCTCTTATAAAAGTTATTGCCCAACATTGAATTATTATTAAATAGCAAATGCATCACTGACATTTATAAGGCTATTTCCCTCATTAGTTTTTTATTTAAACAAAAAATAGAAAACACAGATGTCGGAATAATGAAGATGTTAATTCATTCTAACAATCCATAAATAGTGAATAAATTAGCTAAAAAGTTTTTTATACTGTTTATAGAAAACGATAATGAATAAGTTCCCATTAATAATTTAATTCATTTATTGAAAATTTCATCACCCAAAGAGCAGATCTATCTTGAAGAACTTATTAGATATATGATCAAATAGAAAATGATACCTGAATCAACTATTGAAATGATATGGACCCATTTTATGAGAACTTATTCTACAAATTAACATGATCAATTAAATTAATATTCTAAACTTGTTAGAATTACCTTTGGTTAGCAATCCAGTCTTTTAACTAGGATGAAATTAGATTAAATTAGCAAAATTATTGATGGATAAAAAAAAGAAATTAATTGGGTTACTGTAATTGAGTTAGCAAAACTAATCTATTACTTAGAAGATAAAATAATTGTTAAAAAATACTTTTAATAATTCTCATTAATTTTATATTTTTATTTTGGAACACCAAATAATTTATGGTTTGTGGCCTGTTAAGAGATTTTAAATTTAATTCAATTTCTACCTGTCCCAGAAAGTATTTATGATTACATGATCAAAAAATTCAGCTACAAAACTTTTGCTCTAGGAATGACACCTTATAAAAAGTAAATCTTATTATTAATTTTATAGTGCTTAAGACTTTCTAGAAGAAGAATCCACTTTAGTTTTTAATAATTAATGCTTACAACTTAGTTAACTTTTATTTATTGTTGGCCAGTCTGCCCTTGCCATAATTCTTCATATTGATGAGATCGAGAATCAATTAACACATCTTAGAAATGTAGAGGAAGCCAAAGAAAATGAATTAGATAAAATATAAGGAGGCTGTGAAGAAGAGTACGAATACAATTGTGTTTATCTTTAGAATTTATGCAAATACAGTATATTTTCTAAATATTTAAAGATGTTATATAAAAAGGATTTTACTAAAATTATGCTCCATTAGTCCTCGACATATTAGCAGAAATAGAAGAGGAAAATGTATAATTGACAATACTACATAAATCTGCTGGTCTTTGTCTGTGCAAATTTATGTGTTTATCTGAATAATTTTGTGAAGAACACATCGAAAAAGTCTTTAAATTAATCTAAAATCCCAATTCAGATGGAGTCTTTAAGAATAATTTAATAGTAGCAATTGGAGATCTATTACACAGATGGCCTAATACAGTCACATCTTATTGTAGATAACTCTTTGATGGATTAAGCAATTAAGACTTTATTGTCAAATAAACATCCTTAAATATGTTATCTCATTTGATATTAAATGATATGATTAAAATCAAAAGAGAAATTACTGACATAGCCATTTTATTAACTGATCCTGATGAAAATATTTAATAATCTGCAAAACGATTCTTTTTCCAATTATAAAAGAAGGATTCAAGAAGAATCTTAAATAGTTTACCTGATATCATATTTAGTATGTCAAATTAGGAGAGCCATGAAAAATACAAAACATTTCTTATTAATACTTTGAAATACTTAGATAAATAGAATGAATAATTAGTTGAAAAACTGTTGAGAAGATTAAAAGAGAATATAAACGACTTTGAAGTTTATAATATAGTTTTTACTTTGTCGAAACTTTAAATGAAAGAATCATTAGCAAGGAAATTTTATGAATGTTATCCATATTACCAAGAAAGATTAGAAAATCCTTAGATTAAAGAGTACTTCTAAGTTATAATCTAAAAAGTATATTTCAATTTTATGATTAGTTAATGAAATGCGGATTAAATTAAGAAAATAAATAAATTTTATAGGAATTTGAAGAACTGCTGAATAGAGGTGAGACCAAACGTAGAGTGCTAGGTTCAAAGAATAAATCATAAAAATCTACTCGATCTCACACAAATTCCCAAAGATCAATTGGATATTCTAATATACTAGATTAATTGTTTACTTAGTCTACTGAATTTTGATTTTGAATTAATTTTATTATTATTTTTTCATTTTTTGCTTTCATATATTTTAATTAATTCTGTTATATCAAGTATTCATAATACGATTACAGTATACATGGCTTAAAAATTATTTAATATTATATTTTGATTTAGAAGAATGAATCAATAATTCACAATTCAATCCCAGCTCATTATATAAGATAGTCTTATACTATGAATAATTTGTTCTTAGCGAATAAAATATTATTTTAATATTAGTTTTTCTTTTGTAATTAATAACAAATACAAAACTTCGAAATAAAACCGATTTTAGAATTAAATGAAGTTTTAGAAAAACCTTTTCAAATAATTGAATTTAATTCTCTCCACTTTTTGGGAATTTTATGAAATAACCTCATTTCCATTTTAATTAAATCTTTGTTTTTATTATATTGTTCTAAAAATTTCCTTCCATTTTTACAAGCCAACAACATTGATAATTTATTATATGAATTTCTGTTTATCCTATAAAATAAGGAAATTCAAATCTTGAAAATGATTATTTGTAGATTATAAACAAATAATCATTTTTACAATATCATACAAATTCAATGTTCTCAGTTTAATAACATTTAATATCCTAATTAAAATGATGGCAGTAGAAAGAAATAATTAATATTTATAAATAAAAAAATAAATTATAAAAATGATAACTCCTCAAGAATAACTTGATATAAGTAAGCTATTTACCATATAAAGTTATAAAAAAGATTACAAAATCCTTATTAGGAAAATCTTAAACAACCATTAGAACTTTAGGAAAAACATTCAGAGGGTTTGAGTCATTTGATAAAAATAATAAAATTGATAAAGATGAATTTCTAATTGGTTTAAAGCAAAATGGAGTAGTCTTAACAAAATTTTAAACTGATGTAATTCTTATTTACATTTTAGTTTTTATTAAATTATCTTGATAGAAACAGAGATGGATCAATAGATATTGCTGAATTTTTTTATTTAATAAGAGTAAAAGATAAATTGATAAATAGGGATCTCCAAATGAAAATAGGCTTTAAGTGATAGTCTAGGCATTCAAAAAATTTGATAAAGATAATTTGGGTTATATTGTGGCTGATGATTTCAAGGGAATTTTCAATGCAAAAAATCATCCTAAAGTTACAAGAGGAGAACTGACTGAAGATTAAGCTTATATTGAGTTATTATAATATTTTAAGGAAGGAAATAAATCCGGTCGCATCACTTTAGATGTATTAATAAAATATCAAATATAGGAATGGAAAGAATACTATGCTGCAGTCAGTGCTGATATTGAATTAGATGATAATTTTATAGCATTAATCAAAGAAACATGGAGACTAAAATGATTTATTTATAAATAAGTATCACAAATACATTACAAATCTCAAAGTTCAGATTCATTATTCTAATGTACCTCATCTTTTTCTTTTTATTATTCTTATTACACTTGTTGTTCTTATTATTGTTCTTATTATTATTCTTATTATTATTATTCTTATTATTATTATTATTATTGTTGTTGTTCTTATTGCTATTCTTATTGCTATTGTAATTACTATTCTTATTATTCTAATTTTTCTTATTCGCATTATTATTGTTATTGTTATTGTTATTATTATTCATGTTGCTACTATTATTATTATTATTCATATTACTATTATTATTGTTATTGTTATTGTTATTATATTAATAATAACTATTATTATTCATATTCTTACTTTTATTATTATTATTATTATTATTCATATTGTTGTTGTTGTTGTTATAATAATTCTTATTATTCCTATTACTATTCTTATTCTTATTCTAATTGCCCTTATTATTTATCATTATTATCATTCTCTTTTTCTTATTACATTTCAACATTAGCATCTAGGTTCTTAATTTCTAATTAAATGTGATTTTCAGATTCTGAACTTGACTTATTGTCTAATTTTTCAAGTCTACGTAACCTTTCATGAGATCTGGATCTTGAACGCGACGACCTAATTAAAAGTAGAAAATACTTTTTCTAAGTTTTCTTTGATTTTACACTGACCTTATAAATCAATGGTTTGATTTAAGCTGGATTAATCTCACCTTATGCAATTTTGGCATCATTTTTGATTGGATAAACAATTAAATATATCCAGCCATTCTGATAATGAGATGTTACTTCATTTATTTATAGTTTTTCAATATTTGAAATTCCCTCTTCCAACCAAATATTATCTTCTGGCTATCTCAAAATTTATTGGTTTTAAGAATTTTAAATTAAAAGCACAGGTTTATCATCTGATGAAAATAATTGAACTTCTAATTCTATTTTATTATGATTTTTAATGTTGATTCCTTTCATATCTTTGAGAGCAATATCCAAATTAAAATTCTTGTCTTTAAATAATGGTTATTCTAAATCATTAGTCAACACCAATTAATATTGGAAATCATTCTAATTATATTATAAAGACTTCAATAAGATATTGTTTTATGTCATTTCTTAGTTTGGTATTGACTCTAAAGATAAATATTTATTTTTTACATCTGCTCAAAAAGTCATCCGCTTAACCGTTATCAAATTTCTATTCAACTATTTTTTGTAGATTTGTTATTTCATCTAATATGGATGTAATAGTATTTTCCAAATTCGCATTCTTATTCTTGAAATCCAATAGCATCTGATTTTACTATACAAACATATTTAAAATTTTAAGTTAAAACTCATTGACCACTTGTGAAAATCCTATTTTATAATCAATAATTTACCTTATTCCAAATGTGCATTATTGTTATTTTAGGCTTATTATCCTGTAGGTTGTTATAACGGCTATTATTATGGAGTTTATTATTATTATTATTGTTGCTATTATGGTTAGTGTTGTTATTAAGGTTAGTGTTGTTATTATATTGGTGGTTGTTGGGGAGGCATTAATTAGTTTTGATTCATTTATGGTTGCATAGGAGGCTGCTATTTAAATTAAAAATCAAATGGAGGAGGCATCTAACCTAGAGGGCCTTATGGCATTGGTCCCATTCCAGGTAATTACATTCCGCCTGGTCCCATTGCACTCATACCTCCCATAGCTCCCATTCCACCCATTCCACCCATTGGAGGAGGTCCCATTGGCCCAGAACCCATTGGTCCTGGTGGCATTTATCCAGGGCCCATTGGAGGCATCGCAAAACCTGGAGGTAAACCCATTGGCATTGGTGGCATATTTTGCATACCTTATGGCATACCATTGATATTCAATCCACTTTAATTGGGTGGTAGTTGATTCATTTAAAGAGCCTAGTCATGCACGAACTATTCAGGAAATTGATATTTTTGATTTGAAGGTGGTCCCATCATAGGTTAAGGAAAAGGGGGTCCCCAGCAAGGATAATAAGGAGGATTTGGCACTTAGAGCATCCTACCATATGGATCAGGTCCTGCCATTTACTAGAACATTTAGTAAAATCTCTACTGTTCATCATTAGGATTCATTTATTAGTTAAATTAAATATTATGTCAAAGAAGATAAATTTTATGCCTCATCAAATAAAATATCTCCTTTATAATTTTCCCTTTTAGGCAATTACTGGTTAAATGTAATTCGAGAGAGTAAATGAAGAATTGGGCAAAATTTTATTTTTCATTTTTAATTTTTTTTCAATACAGATATTTAAAAAGAAAATAACAATTAGAGGATTTTAATGATTAGAAAATTATTGATTAAAATTAAATATGTGATTAGAAATTATGAAAATAGCAAATGATTTTTAATTAATAAACTTATCCAATGATCTAGTTTAAGTATAGATATATTTATTCTGTGAAACCCTATTATATAATTACAGAATGAAATAACTTTAAATGTACATTATAGCATAAGCTAATTCCTTATTACATAAATTCCATAATTGAATTATATCGTAAATCTTCATACCCATTTATAGAAATAAAGAGTATCATTTTTTTGTGTATTAGGAATTTTATTAAAAATTTATTAATAAATTTCATATTAAAAATAAATGGTAAAAAATTATTAATAGTTTAATATAAGAGAGAATTTTTGGAAAATTAATTATAGAATTGGAAAAGGAGGATTAAAAGTAGGTTGATAAGGCAGAATAGTTTATCGTTATTTTAAGATAAAAATGTTGTTGCGGAGATTGAAAACTACTCTGGTAGAGAAAAAATGGTTTGATATTAATTAGTAAGTGAATGAAAAAGGAAATATTTTAAAGAAGGAATTTTTTTATAATTAATTAATAAAAATATATTCCTTTATTTAATTATGAGATAGAGGAAGAATTAGTATACATGATATATTTTGAATAAATTCCATTTAATTTAATGAACAATTAATGAAGTTAAGAATATTCAATGATTATTAAAAATAATGAAAATAAAAGAGAAGTGAAATAATTTGAATTCTTAAGAAAAATATTAAATAATTATGATTTTTTAAAGAAAACAATGAAGATTTATTAGTTAAATAGTTGAGTAGGTAGTTGAAAAGATTAAAGGAGAGATTATCGATTCTGATTTTTGATTTATATTAAAAAATATAATAATATATTGAAATGGGTTAATGTTAGATGCAAAATGAAAGGTATTTGTTGTTTATATGATTGATTTCAGGATTTCAATATATTGTCATACTTGGAATAATGAGACTAGCGATCTCTTTGATTATGAGAGTATTGACAATTAAAAGCAATAATTTACAATCCAACATTAAGATTCATATATCATTAGTAAAAAGGAGACACTAGAATTAATGCATGAAATACCATAGGAGAATAGGTAACAAAAATCATTTATACATAGTGAAGTTTTACTATATATAACAGCTTAAAATTCGGTTGTTGCTGGAATATAGTAACAATAAGGAAATTCGACTGCCTTGACAAATACTAAATTTCCATTCAAACTAAAAAAAAATTGGTTGACAGTAAGATCTGTAAACAAATATCCGTTAAATGTAAATGACATTTTTAGGCTTGGAAAAATGACTTTTAGAATTTCAAGTCTTAGTTTTAATTCTCAAAATGAAAATGAACTTTCTAGTAGGAGTAAGGCAGATTCTAATGAATAATGCCGAATATGTTTAGGAAATACCTAAAGTTCGAATCCCTTATTGAATCCATGCAAATGTAGTGGATCTCTAAAGTATATTCATTTAGAATGCATGAAAAGATGGTATACTTGAATAAGACTTAGGCTCAAAGAACTTACATCAGCATCAAGATCTTCTGAGAAAAGTGAAACATATCTTTGGAATTTATTAAAATGTGAAATCTGTTAAGAGCCATATAAGGTAATATTTTAGAGTGATGGAGTAACATATCATATGCTCGACCTTTTGAAACCTAAATTTCCATATGTGATGTTAGAGTTTTATTCAAAAAAGAAGGAAACCCAGGTTAAGCAGATTAATTTAGGAGATCGATTCACTTCGAAATCTGATGGAGTGATTGTTATTAGCTTAGGAGAAAAGATGAGCTTAGGAAGAGCCAAAGAAAATTGGGTTAAATTGTGTGAAGCTAGTGTAAGCAGGTTCCATGCAACTTTATAAGTAGAGAAGGTGCAATAATAAAGTTCTCTATTTTTGTATGATAACAATTCAAAATTTGGTACTCTAGTCTAAATAAAAGAAGATTTGTAAATTTATTAAGAACTCGAAATATAAGTTGGCAAATCTCTATTTAAATTGTAAACAACCAATATGGCTTGTTGAGTAAATTATATATCTATAATATATATTAAATCATATGATAAAAGCGTAATTTGATTTTAGAGAGTATATTACCCTCATAGAAAGCTTACCAGACATTGATGTAAGATTTTATAAATATAAAGCATAAATGCTCATTACTCAATGTGGCATTTTTATCATATTAAGCAGGAGCTTCTAACAATAATTCTAAAATTATAAGAAAATCATATTGTCTTATTTGTTCTAACCATGCAGTATATAAAAACAAAAAGATAACATTAGAAGCATTATCATAGGAATATCAAAAATATATTAATGGAAACGAAAATATTGATAACCTAGATGAATAATTGTTTATAGAATATAATTCGGGGCTTCAAAACATCAAAAGTTCAAATGTAGACGAATAATATAGAACATCAAATAACCAAACAACACCAATAACTCGAAATAAAAATTTAGATTAGGAGGATTACAATATATAGCAATAGAAGGGAGAGGATAAAAAAAAAACTAAATAAAAAATTATTATTACAGAGATAGAAAATCTTAACCCGCTACAATAAAATGAGAGGCCAAAAGATATTGAAAAGTAAGATTATATTTTGAATAATAATCTGATTGATACTAATGCTTTCAAGAATTTAAATTTAGTTAATGTTCCTTACATTCCTAAAATGGAAGAAATTTAATAATTGTCAATAGAATAATCTAAGCAAATTTAGCAACAATAATATAATGAGTATAGAAAATAAGAATAATCTAAATCATTTTTTTTTTAATAGAAAAGTTAGAGGAGCTAAATTATGCAAAAAGCAAAATGTACTATTTGTTTAGAAACTATATAATCAAACTAATATATTCTTACTGCTTGCTTGCATATATTTCATAAAGAGTGTTTAAATAATTTAATCGAAGCTTAAGTTGATTTACCAATAAGATGCCCTAATTTAGAATGCAGATCAGAAATATTAAGAGATGATTTAGAATAAATTACAACAAAGTAAACTATGGATAGATTGGATAAATTTGCTTTCAATTAATATTTGATTTCACATCCAAATATTTTTCAATGTCCAACTCAACACTGTTAAGGAATTTATGAGATAGAAGGGCCAATATAAGTATGCATGATATGCTAATAAATATTTTGTACAAGATGCAAGAGGCAATTTCATGATGGAGTTTGTGGAGAATAAAGCTTTGTTGGTTTAGCTCGAGAATAAAATTACAAGTAATGCTCCAGGTGTAACAGATGGATAGAGAAAATGTATGGGTGCAATCATATATCTTGTCCTTGTGGACATGAATTTTGTTATGCCTGTGGTAAATAATGGACAAAAGGAATGGAATGTAGATGCATAGAGACTCAATAAAATGAATTGCTTGGAACTCAATAACAAATAAATAGGCAGCCGGTATAATAATATTAGCCTGTGTAATAATAATAGCCTGTCTAATAATAATAGCAGGCTTAATAATAGTAACAGAGATAAAATCACTAAACTAATCAATTTTATTAAAGTAGATATACTTAGCAAGTTCGAAATTTATATGAAACATTATAAATATATTTCAAGAGTGATCAAGGCTATTTTTAAAATACCTAAGATTATGAATTTCTCAAAAATTATGGTTTAACATTTTTAAGAAGAATTTACAGAAGATGATTCATTCAATATACATTTTATTGAAATCAAAAAGAAATTTATAAATATGATATCGAATATTGGCCTAAAATATTCATGCTAATATTTAAATAACATCAAACTACTTCTTATTATTATTGATTTTCAAATTTTTCTGGTTAATTTTCATTAACTTCTAAGGCCTGTTGGTTCTATGTCAATTACTCTTAATTTTCTGATAATTATTTTACTGCTTATTCTTAGGCTTCCAAATTCTCAATTGCTGGAACATCTGTTTAAGTCTCTTAAATTTCTTTTTATTCAACTGTTTACTATTAAAGTTACTCGTCTTATTATTTCTATTCACTATTATCTTAAGACTTGGGTACATTTTGTTATTATTGTTAAAATTATTCATCAGTTTATTGTTCATTTTTATTTTAAGTTTCTTCAGGTAATTTCCCTTTCTTCACTATCTTTTTATCGTCAGATTTCTTTTCTGCTACTTTCTGCTCAGGTTATTTAGTGGTATGTTTTGAAGTATTTTTTGTATCTGTTTTTTTAGTGTCTTTTTTATCCTCCTTTTTTTCTGCCTATATTGGTTAGGAGGTTGGCTAAGCAGTTTTAGGTTTAGGTGGTTATTTTTCAACCTTTTTTTCATCTTTTTATTAGGGTGCCTATTTAATTGGTTGTTCTTTAGTTTCTTTGGTTTCTTTAATTTGTTATAATTATTTTTATTATGGTTGGACTATCGGTTTAGGTTTTGGTTAGGGTGGCTATTATTAGGATTGCTACTATTATTTTGTTTTATTTTGATTTCCCTCTTTAGGAGATTTTGGTTAATCTATTAAAAGATGATTTAAGTTTAAATACTTTTTTCAATGTCAATAGGTGCTGTTGTTTTTTCAACAATTGTGCTCTGACTTAAAGGTTTTGGAGCTGTTGTAGGTTTAGGATCCTTTCCTTTTACAGGAATAGGGTTTTTAGTGACTGCAGCAGTAGATGGTCGGTCGATCTTTTTTACCTCTTATCCTAAGGTGGGAATATACTAATTTCAAAATACCATTATTTTAATGATTATCCTTTTTAGGATCTTATTTGACAATCTCTATTAAATATTACTTATTCTTACTCTTTTCTTCTTCGACTTTTATTGGTTTTAGGTTTCCTATCAAAGTTTTCAATTCGCTCATTTGGTCAAATAGATTTTTGATTTGTAACTCATTTGACTGATCTTTTTCTTTTAAAACTTCAATTCTCTCTAAAACAGGTTTAAGTAATTCTTCAAAAATAGTTTGCACTTCTGGAGCCACTTGTTGCATGAAAATTCAAAAATAAATTATTATAATATTTTCTTTCTAGAATACCTCTAAAATATAAAAAATGACTAAAATTTTATTGTTACACTTTGCTTTGCATATAAGGCCTTAAACCCATATCAACCCAAAGAGTCATGCATGCTTAATGGAAACGTTTATCATGCTAATAAATCACAAGCTTTAGTTTTCATTTTGATTTAGATTATTATTCTAATAAGATCTTATACATCCCCTCACTTCTACATTTTTATTTTGAATATATAAATGTTGCATATTAATAAATTTAATATTCATTTTTAAGAAGAGTTCCTTCAAAATTATAATCAATATGCATCCTTCTTATATGAAAATTGTTAATCAATCTTAAAATCACTATTCTTGATTGGTTCCCATTATTTACCACTTTGAAACAGGTTGGGATTTTAAGGTATTTATTATTAGTTCTTATTGGGTGATTATCCGAATTAGTTTTATGTATTTGAATCCTGTACTGGTGATTGTTGCTTTTAATTATTAAAATGTAAGATGTTATTTTAACATTAGGTCTAGGGGTTATATGGATTCGTCTATCTTCCGTATACATCATCATTTAGTTGGCAAAACTGATTTTATTAAGTTCCAATTTAAGAGCTGTAATTATTAATATTCTATTTCTATTAGAAATTTTGGCTATTTAAATTCAAATTATCATCTTATTTTTATTTCATACTATCTATTTTGCCATCAACTTTATTATTATTATTATTATTTGATTGTTGTCCTTAATTCTACATAGTAATATTATTTTATGGCATAGTTTAAGGTTATTAACATTTTGCCGAACATTTCTAATCATGTATAATTCTACATATATTTGGTACAAAAGTTTTACAAAATTCACATTGATATGTATTTTAGTCTCCAGAATTATTATTCATATTTATTTTAGTATTTTTTTTTTATTATTTATTAAATTAATAAAGAATATGTTTTGGATATAAATGCTAAAAATATCTAAATTTTATTGTTTAGCATTTTGATTAAGTAACTTATACTGAGTAATTTTCTTAATACAATTCTTAATTTATAAAAGAATTATATTTTTGAATCCTGTATTACTAAGGAACACTCAAGTTTATAAAAATTTAAAAGAATATGAAAGATGATTAACCAATAATCGTTTTTTTTTTAAATTAATTAGAGGTAAAACATTTAAATATTTTTCAATGACATACTTCTTGACAGTTTCCAAGTTTTCCTAATTTCAGATTCGTAACTTAATCAAATGAATCGAGAGTTTAGTATGCTCTACATATAGGGCATTACAGCAAACCATAAGAGGATTTCGAGATTTCCATCATTTTTTCTATATCATACTAACAGTAGGTATGACCACATTTTAAAGGATATAGCTATTCTGATGACTCTAAACATATTGGGCATTGTTCCTCTTCGAATATTTTTTCAGCAGGTTTATCCAAAATATAATAACCCATAATTTCCTCATTGGTATGTATGATTCCATTTCTTCTAACTAACTATGGCATTTCTAAATTTTCAAAATCAAATTCATCATCAAAATCTAATGGAACTTGTTATTCTTCTACAATAGTGATTTCAGCCATTTATGTTAGGAGTTATGAGAATTTTTATTTTATGATTAATCTAATCTATTTTATAAATAATTTTTAATAATTCTGCTTAAAATGGGATTCAACAGATTCTATATAGAAATAAATTTCAAATTAAATTCTCTATGTCACTGCCATCCTTCTCGAATTCCACTTTAGAACTCATATCAAAGGTAAGGACCCTATATTTATATAATTGTTGGTTACTAACCGTCTTTTTATCTACTTTTATTAAATTTATTCTTAAAATACTTGACAAAAATGAATATTATTTGTTTTCAATAAAAAAACTGATTCTTATCAATATTACTTAAGCAAATTGGCTATTTGTATTAATTTATCTGTTTTTCTAATACTCATGTTCAGTTAATACCTTTTTGAAGTTAAAAAGTAGAAATAAGAATATATTAGAATGAAACGATGCAATTAACCAAGGTTCAATAAGCAATTTGTAGTGCTTATTACTATAAAAAATCTAAAATTAATAGATTCGCTAAATTCATTATATTTTAAGGAACTTAATAAAATTAATTTCAAAAATAAAATTAAAAAAGAAGTTAGAATATACTCTAATTATTATGTAGATAACTATCTTTCTAATACAATGAATATTATCTTGTAATTTAATCATTTCCTCAATCCTCAATAGAAAAAAAAATACATTGTTAATTTTACTCAAATTTATTGTATAAAATATTGAATTTAATGAAACTAATCATTCAATATAAAAATTCTATTCACATTAAGACTATTAGGCTATAATATACTATGAATTATATATTGATATCCAAAACAGTTTTTTAAAATCTTAAGATATAATAAGTGTTCCATTTATGCTTTATTTAATGGAGATCAGAAACGAAGAACATTATCTACACAGATGATTTAACAAAGATGAGAAATGCTGATGTTCAAAAAAGTAAATCCATATGATAATGCAAAGAAATATTTGATAAATTCAAAATAATAGATGATTACAAACATAAAAGTATGTATAGATGGATTTATCACAGTTTAAATTCTAAAATGTTCTTTTAGAAAAATTGTTTGCCCCTAGTTTTTTATAAATATTATACTTGAAATGTAATTTGAAAGATTTTAAATAACATTATAGTTATGCAAATCTTTAGAGTGAATGAAAATTTAATATATAATTCTGGCTAATTAGTTTGCTTTATATTTTAGAATATATTAAGATTTAAAGTTTCTAAATCGATAAATAGCCCCAAGGAATCTAGAAATGTCGTTGATACAAAAATATTGATGAAAAATTTTCATAAAATATTGAAATTTGTAATTTAGTGAAAAATATAATACAACTTATAATTATTTAATAATGTAAAGCAAATACGGGTAGAATGATGATGAGATCTTGTTTTAAAATGATGATGATGATAACGGTGAATTAATAAATTTTGATTAATTCGATGAGGATGAATAAGATGTCATAACACCTGTTGACAAGGGTAAATAGTAAATACAATAAACATTTGGAGATTAACTTTAAGTAATGAAGGACAAAGAAGATGAAGAATAGGTGATTGAGGATATAGTGCAATTCAAACAGAATGAAGAGCAAGACAATGTAGCAAATTTTGGTAGTATGCATCGTGATGAAGACTTTTAGAGTTGGAAGGATGAGAATAAATAAAATGATTAAAATGAATAAGTTCAATAAACAAATTAGATTGATGCGATGACTGAGAGATAAGAATAGCAAGCTTAAATTATATATTAACCTGGCATGATCATTGATATGAAGGAGTTCTTACAAAAGCCTATCGATCAATGTAAATAGATATTTTGAATATTTTATTAGAACATTTGATCTAGTTGACATTGGTTAAGGATAAAAGTGGCACAAATAAATTTCATCCTAAATTCCTCTTGTATTTGAGTGATTAATAAAAAGTATTTCTGTGTTCGGCAAAACGATAGGCTTTCAGTTAATAAATTCATTATGTTTTATCCATACTCTAAGACAAATTTGATAGGAAACACAAGTCATGTTTAGGTAAAATAAAGGGTTAGGGCGGAATATTTAAATTATTTGATACTGGTGACAATCCTAAAGATGCAAAGTTCTTGGATAAAGTGAGGAAGGAACTGTGTTTAATCAATTTTCAGAATTCAAAATAGACTGGATAATTAAGATAGAGTGTGATTATCCCGAAAATCAAAGATGGATAGGCCTATGAATTTAAACCATTGAATGATGCAGATGGATTATTGAAAGCATACTATTCATTGTAATATAAGGATCAAATTATGCATTTTATGAATAAGAATCCAATATATAATAAGGAGAAGAAAAAATATTAATTGTAATTTAATGACAGAGTAACTATGCCTTCAGTAAAGAATTGTATAATTTATGATATCAGTTGCACAGATAAAAATAAGTTTGTATTACAATTTGGAAAATGTGCAAAAAAGACTTATTCAGTTGATATTTGTCACCCATTATCTATTATATAAGGATTTGCAATATGTATCTCATAATTTGAGGGAAAACATTGAAATTCCATAATGAATAAATTAATTACTTAAATATATTACGTAATTTTTCAAATCATTTATAAATATGAGAAATGTATTTGTGATCTTAGCACTTATGTTTTGTGTTGCCAATACAATGGATATGGGAGAAGAACTGATGAAAAGAGAAATATTAACAAAAATAGTTGAATATGCTGGCATAGAAATGCCTCATGAGTACTAATTTAAGAGTTATGCGTAGGCTACATTTACTCTGTTTGCCATGCAAATTAATGATGAAGCAAGTTCAAAAGTTTTCATCAACAATTCTCTTATCGATAATTCGTAAAGAATGGACTTTACTTTGTCCAAAATTCAAAGATCCAGCCTTTTGTGAAGGAATTAATTAGACATTTATTGATTAATTCTCTGTGCATTTTTTCAAGTATTTTGCTTATTAACAATATATAGCAATTACTTGTCCCCTTCAAATGCATGCTAGAATTTAGGTGCTTGCAAATTGTAGCAAGAAAGATAAACAGTTCAAGATTATATTAATGAAGTTATGCAAGACAAGCTCTCAAAAGAAGAACAAAGGAAATGGTAAGAGTTGGCTGAAGAAAATGTAATAAATCAAGAAGATTTTACAGTTGCATAATTCGCAGATCTACATATTGATGTTGAATATTCGGTTGGAGCTAATGCATTTTGCGGAGCCCCATTTTGTTGCAGAGATGAGAATGGAAAACCAAAGGATCCAAGTAAAGGAGCTTAATACTGGGGAACATATGCAGATTGTGATTTACCATTTAGAACAGTTTAAGATCTCATCAAATTTACAGGCGAGAAAATAAAGCCAGATTTCATCATATGGACAGGAGATAGTACGTCACATGACATCTGGCATTAATAAAAATGGAACCAAACATTACCTACAAAAATGATTACTGAAGAAATCAAGAAGCAAATACCAAATTCCTAATTGTATGCAATATATGGAAATCATGAAGGTTACCCAGCTGATCAATATGATATGATAGGAGAAGCGACACAATGGTTAAGAGATGAAGTTGCTGATATGTGGAAAGAATACCTATCACAAGAATCATACTATTAATTAAGAAGAAATGGCTACTATTCTTAAGTAGAGGAATCAAGAAATCTCAAATTCATAGCCTTGAATTCTTAAACTTGCGATTTACTCAACTTTCATTTAATGGATGGCATCACAGATCCAAGAGGAATGCTCAAATGGCTCATATCTGAACTCAAAGATTCAGAAGCCAAACATTAATTTGCTGTAATCTTCGCTCATATTCCCCCTGGAGATACTTTTTGTAATTCCCAATGGGCTGATAGATTCAGCGTCGTGATTGAGAGATTCGAACATGTAGTTACTGGAATTTTTTATGGTATTATTAGTTACTATAATTTAAGGACATACTCATTAAGATCACGTTTAACATATTAGATCTAAAATTGATGGTAGATACGTTAAGACTTTGTTTATTGCTCCTTCTGGAACTACATTTTCATACTAAAATCCATCATTTAGAGTCTTTTAATTTAATGGCAAGAATGACCAAGTTAAAGATTATGTCTAATACAGATTAGATCTAGCAAAAGCAAATAAAGATGGACAAAATGCTATCTTGAATTGGGAAGTAGCATATCATTTCTTAGAATATTATGGATTAGAAAGTGCTTCCTTAGTTCATGTGTCTACTCTCCCCTATAGACTAGCTCATGATGATGATTTATTGAAGAAGTATATCTACAGTTATTCTACAGGAAGTGATATCTTATATAAGAAACATCTTAAGTAATTCATTATAGATATCATAGAAATCTTAAAAATTTATTCCTTAAAAAGAGCACTAAGAGTTTTTTCATTTGTGGAGCAGAAACTTCAACATTAGATGATTGGTACGATTGCATTGGATTCTTTGAGAAATTTAAGGAATCCTCATTCCTTACTTTTAAATTATTAGAATAGTTTATTGGTAAGTGGCTTAAAGAATGAACAAATCAATTATATTTACAATAAACAAAAGTCAAATTTAACAGCTTTTCATAACTTTATATTACTCTCTTAATTATCTAATTTTGTTCTCTTATTACTCTATTACTTCATTATCGAAATGCAGAGGAGTGTATCTAAATTTATATTCAGTTGATAATCTTTCTGTTTAATATGCTTTGTTTAATAATTCCTAAGGAATTTTATTTTAAATTCTTAAATTCGATAGTTCTAATTTAGGCACAAAAATTTGCTGGCAAGGTTCTGTTTTAATAGTTTTACTTTCTCTCAACTTGGAGTCTTGCTATAGTTTCATTTTGACAAACATAGGCTATTTTTTGATGATTATATCTTAAGTTTAGTAATACCCAAGTGGAGGTATCGTATTCATACTAAGATTCTTACCTAGTTTAGGAGAATAATTGATTTGTGTCTAAGTTTTATGTTAGACAATGCCAGCATTCAGTTATAATTTTTGATTAAGTGAAATTAATTGCTTCTACTCCACATATTCTGTTCTAATATTTAAGTTGAATTTCTTTTCAACTTTCGAAATATTTGTAAGTTTAGCCCAATATGTATTGTGATTGATAGTATAGACATCTTTGAGGAAGTTCACCTTGGTCTTGCTTTTTTGGCTTCTATTACTACTAATTGTATCCCTAATCCTAGTATCAATTAAGTTTTTAGATCTTAAACTTCTATAGGTATTAGGCAGTTTACCCATGCTGTTTCGTTCTTTGATAAAGGGAATGAAATCCTATTCAACAGGAGAAATTTTCTATTCCTTCTCTTGCAATTATCTCAATTTATGCATATTTTATAATTTACTTATTTTAAATGAAACAACATAATAAATCATAAAATAACATCCCATTAAGAAATGAGACTCATTTATTTTCATAATTGCCTCTCTCATAGAAAGGGTTTGTTGATATAATTTTATTATAAAAAAATAATAACAACTTCACAATAAAAGACACTTTGATGATCTTAATTCAATTATTGCAATTACAAGACGATAGATCCACCCTTATGGATTTAAGATCTTCCCCAGAGTATTGCTTAAGATGATCTGCTTCACGATTGTACTGTAGAATGGATTCCTTAAAATATAGCAGATCTTGATTATTTATATAGTTATACTATGGCTTCTTTGGTTCTCATTTTGAGTTCCTCTTTTTAACTTTTTCGATATATTTTAATTTGGAATTCTATTACAAACCTTAGTAAATCAATTAAGAATGAAACAATATATGGAGTGTAGCTATCTCCTCCATACTTAAGAATCAATATACAATAGATTAATGGACGGAAGAGATGCAAGACTTCTCCAATTTTAATCTAATTGTGGCAATTACAAAATTACTCTTATTTAATTTAGTTTGGAATCATAATCTTTCTACTTCATATCGTTTGGAATAGGTAGCATTGTTAAAAGAGAAGTTTATTTGTCTTGAATCACATCATAATACCCAAGGTTGAATTTAGGAATAGGGTCTTTGATTGACTTGAGTTCATCTTTGACAGATTTTTCATTGATAGCTTTGGGATTATATTCTAAGGCACTCAAATTATCCTGGAATTGCAAGGCAGCTTCATCTTCTTGCTAATCTGTTTCGGAATAGTTGTTATTTTCTGAAATCATTAGACCACACTTATCCACCAATTACCATTTTCTAAGTTTTACAATCAATTTCAATAATTCCAACCCTAAGAAATATTTATAAATTCGTTCTTTATTAGATACAAATCAATACTTTCTGATGATTTACCTAAGTACTCTACAAGGAATTCCAGAGCTTAAATAAAACTGAGAGCCTTAGGAATATGTTATTTTTATATCAATTACATTAATTTATAGATATTAATATCATACTAACCCAAAACACTTTAAAGAATTTTAAAAGCAGATTTCTGACAATTTCTCCTAATCTATTTTCAATAATTCGGACATCACTTCAAGTACTTAGATTATTTTACAAGGTTCATTTCTACTCTTAATTAATTGTCCCTCTTTCCATTTTTCATGTTTCTGAGCCTAGAATTAAGTTTTAACAAGTTTGCTAGAAGCGTGGGTATTTCTAATTTCACAATATGGTGAATCAGTCTCTAACAGTAATTTATCCAAAGGGATTTGTTTTGCAACATCAATATTTTCCTAAGACTTTAGAGAACAACCATTGACTCCAACATAGAGATCCAAGTGTAAAATCTTTTACAACTCATCCAAAGGTCCAGTAAATGAATGCACAACTCCGCCAACTATTCGATGTCTATTCTTCTAAACAATGTTGTAAAAATCATCTCCTGTATTCCTATTGTGGAGGTACATAGGTAATTTATATTTTTCAGCCAATTCAAAATGAGGTTCAAAAGCGATCATTTATTCTTCCTTTGTTGACCATTCCAATCTATCATAATCTAATCCACATTCACCAATGGCCACTAACTTTTTTTCTTTAAGTGCCAATTCTAATTGATCCCTCAATTCTTCCATATACCCTTATTAGTTTTAATTAAGTTCAGCTGCACGACAGGGATGTATACCTGCTGTAGTATAATAGTGTGGACTCACTTGACATAATTCTCTTGCCTTTTTCAAATCACCCAAACATCCACTTGCGATTAATAGATGTTCACAACCAATATCAGAGGCTCTTTTCATTACATCTTTATAATCAGGTTAATGGTATTTCTTATGATGATACATTCCATAAAATTAATCATCCGTAAGGTTTGCAGCAATATCAAAGAATCTGAACTTAGACTTTATTTACATTATAAAATTTATTTATGAATTAAAGAGAATGAGTGATGAAAAAGAAATATCCTAAACTCACAAAATAATTAGATGTTAATACTTCATTTGAAGTAGTAGTCATTGCTTTTAGAATAATAGATGGGAAAATTTTGAGATATAGTATCACTACTAATGGTGAATAATATCAAGAATAAATAATTAAAGTTAGTATACCATAAGAGATCAATCAATTTAAAGGAGAAATTTAAATTTTTTATCAGAAGAAATTGATAACCTAACAATTGTAATTCAAAAACGAAAAAATTTTACTTAATTTTACAAAAAGAAAGCAAAATTTATAAAATTAACTCAACAATTGAGTATAAAATCCTTTCATATTGATAAAAAAATTGTATTTTCTTATCCTGTTTAAAATAATTAGCTATTATTATTAATAATAAGAAATGAAAGAATATTGATTCTTAGTGCAAAAGTTAAAAAAAATTATAATAGAAAAGACTAAATCTTGGAACTTAGAATTAGAGATTGAAATAGACATCATTGCATTTAAAAGAAATTAAAAATATTGTTAATTAGTATCAATTCGATAAATATGGTAATAAATTTATTTTTCCAAAGACAAAACTTTGATCAAGAGTAAGAAGTTAGAAATTAACACAATATTTATGATTAAATAAATGAAAAACTTTCATAATTTGAAAAAATAAATTGCATTTTATTAATTAAAGAAATAGACAGATAATAAATGAAATTTAACTTGATGCTTAATAAATGAGGGCTAATTTTAATAATTTAAAATAGTTTGTTTATCTATGATAAAGAGTGCTTGATTTAAGGATATTAGAAAACTAAACTCATGATAAATGATTATGAAATGAAATTCAGAGACTACAAATGGTAGTACCTTATTAAACAATAGTAATAAAGTGCAAAATTATTTTTTAGATTTACATAACATCATCAGCTTAAATTATAACAAAGCAACGAGTAGAAAATCAATACGTTTTAATGATAATAATATATAATATTATAATAAATGTACAACGATAAAACAATTTATATCGTTGAATAATTGATTCAAGATGCGAATTCAGACTTAACTATTTTATTGTCACTAGAAACATTCATGAAATATGTTCGAGCATCGGATGCAATTGCCATTGAATTCTTAATAAAAAATGCTAATTAATTATTGAGGATTCTATTTATAAATTACGATCAAATTCACAGATCTCAATATATTCTATACTCAGATCTTATTTCAAAAGTGTGGGAAATTATAGATCTTAATGTTGAATAGATTTTATAATAAATAGAGGTAAGTCAGCTTTAATAATATTTAGAATAATTCGACATAAGTATATGAGATACTAAACTATTAAAATGTCCCAGATGCATAATGGGCTTAGGCACATAAGTTCTTATAGTTTATTAAATAACAATCTTGGTCTTTAATTCCCAAAGCCTTGTATGAGAGAGAATTTTTACTCATCAAATTTTTACCTCATTTACATAATAAGAGTGTGGCATTAATAATTTTGTTATTTTTTGAAAATCAATATCATGATCAATAACTCATGTTTCTCTAATAGGGTTTCAATTAATTTCATGAATTCGATCCCTGCACTGCTATAAATTTTACATTTTTGATACATGAAATTATCACTAGAATAGCTACTAAGGAATTAATAAATTTCCTATTGTCAAGTAAAGTAATAGCAAAATCACTTGAGATTTTAGATGATTGCAGATTGAGTTTTATGTATAAATATTTTGTTGACTAATATTAATAGAGTGAGAAAGAACGCAGCTCATATATTATCACTAATATCAAATTTTTATTCTTTGGATCTGCAAAATCTATATTTAGATGAGCCCAGTAATGAGAGTGTAATAGAGACCTTTAGGTAGACTGATTTTTATAAGACATTTGACATTTAAATTCTTAAGAACATTTTGAATAATGTTTTATTGAATAATTGCAGATTAGGATTGTTAGCAGTGAAACTAGTTGAAGTATGTGATTGCACTATCTTTAGATTGTAGATAATTTAGTGAGAATTTCAGATATAGAGTTATGGAATAAGATAGATAAATCAAATGTGATGGAAATTATCTTAAATTTAGTGAAAAAATTTAAAAATTCAGATATTTTTATCTCATATGTGAATAATATGATCATTTTCATTTTAGATAGAGCGATCAGTGATTTTCATCCTTTTTGGTGCGTATAGATTTTTACTAAGTATAAATTGTATGCGCAGTAGATAATGTTTTTTAATAGACAGATAATAATCTTCGAATAACAATTGTAGGTTAAACTGATTAGGGATAGTGATTTCTTACCATATTATAATGAATTAATGTAGATTGAGAACATTCTTAAAAGATCCCAGTTTTGGAAGGCATCAAAGGAACAAATAGAATTATATGAGGAAAGACATAAATATAGACTGGGAGAGGATTCCGAGACTCCTTCAATTGATTATCCTATTATTGTTTCTGCTATTGATGACGAATGCATTGATGAAATAATTGAGCCTAAGGATAATATTTTCATTGATTGCTTAAATCGACAATCTCCAATTGATAGTTTAAACAATAATGAGGACTCAGATGAAGACGATAAATTAATTGGAGCCTTCTCTGGTATGGATACTTTAAATAAATTGAAAAATGTATTTCATAAAATGGATTTGAAAGACCAAGAAGAAAACTAATAAATACAAGAGAACTAACAATAGTAATAAGGAAAGAGAATACGTAATTTGTCTAATTCATTAAATAATTAAATTTAATAAGGACAACGGGATATTATAAGTAGATCTTTGAATAGTGACAATGATTCTCTGTAAAAATTATCATTGAGTTCATCAACTAATCTTAAATAAATGACCAAAAGTTTTGATTCATTTACAATTGAAGTTTTGGGTAATACAAAAGTAGTAAAAAATAATCAAATCTTAAAGGTGGATGAGATCGATAATACAAATAATATTTAGAATGAATGAAATATTTATAAAATTATATTTAAAATGTAATAACCTAATGAATAATTTGATATACAAAACCATTATGTAGTATTTGTTTTCTAAAAATTTACTCATAGGATGTCCATCAACAGGAACATATGAAAAAATTGAAAGAGAAATTAGTTGAATTGAAAGAGGAAATAATGTAGATGCCCAAAGGTATTTATTTGTTTAAGAAGCAGATCCTGAGCTATTCAAAAATCACCAGTTACCATTAGCGAGGGTTAAGAAGATTATGAAATCAGATGAGGATGTCAGAGTATTGTTTTCTATTTATAATGTTAGATGATAGCCTAAGAAACCCCAGTTCTATTTGCAAAAGCATGCGAAATTTTTATAATTGAATTAACACACAGAGCATGGCAATTCACTGAAGATGGCAAAAGAAGAACACTCTAAAAGACTGACATTGCAACATGCATTTATAACACAGAGATCTTTGACTTTTTGATGGATATCATTCCTAAAGATGAGATTAAGTCTAATCAAGTTCCTATCAAAAAACCTTAGGGACAAGATGGATATTTCTCTAATGTTAGCCAGCATGTAATTCACTTATACATTTTAGCTTATACAATAAGTATAAATGAGCTAGTAGAGACAAGGACAACAGTTTCCATTAACTAATTTCAGCCAATATTTAGGTAGCGGTTAAAGATGACATATTATTTGAGTGTTTACCATTATATTATATTAAATGTTTAAACCAAAGAAGGGATAACAATAACAACAATAATAGCCATTCTACCTGAGTTGGTTCACGAATTAAGGGTATTATGATGGATGTACATTAGTTTAGGGAAAATCTAAAGAGAGGAGGAACTGCTCCTTAATAGTCTCGAAAAGAACGATTATAATTAAAAAGTCCTTACTAGCAACCATTGACAACTGTAATTCATATGGCTCCTAATCCCTACAATAGGATTATGTAAGACAACTCTATGAATTGTAGGCAAGCACCCAAAACCAATAGCAACATTCAGCAAATCTCTAAGATATATGCCCAAAAGTCTCAATTATCTAAAAGGAAAAGTCAAGAGTATGAGCGACAACGTTATGATTTGAAATCGTAGTCTTAATAATCTCGAGCCTTTACTTAATAGGGCATAAGACCACTTAGATTGAATGACGGCCGACCTCAGACCCAATAAAATCTAATTGAACACAAATTATGTTGTGATAATTTAGGGAGTGATGAGGAATAATAAGAACAATTGACTCCAAGAGATGATAAAGAGGATATTGATTTAGATAATATTGGAGCAAACCAATTCATTAATGATTGTTTCTCAAATGAATCAAATGAAGCAGATAGTGAAGATCATCAGAATTTTCAATTGCCAATCTAGAATGATGAATAAATGTATCCGAGTATTATCTAAGTCATAGCTAAAATAAGTCTTTGATAAAGGAAGAACCAATAACAAGTCTGAGAAATAACCAAAATCAAATAAATAGGCCTTAGACTTCTGAAGGTGGAAGAAGAAAGAGATTTATGAATTCCTTAAATTAGGCAGACCAAAATTACGAGAAGAAAAAAGAGACTGAATGTGAATTATTGGAATATGAAGCAAATATCATCTTAGAGGAAGAATAAGACAATTAAGAAATCGTTGATACAAATCTCAAAGCTTCTCCAAAGGTTAGTCATAACTGTAAACATAGGAATTGATCTCCATTCGGTCAGGATATAGAAGAAAATAAAATGATTTAAATGAACTAATGGAAACTAATAATGAAATACGGCCTCCATCAAGACACAAAACTCCTCCAAAAGCTACTGGACTAGAATTGCCATTGGAAAATTGTGCGAATAATGTCCAAAGAGATAGTGTCGACATTCCCATCAAAAATATGTATGCATAAATAAATGATGAAAGTAATTCGCTTTATTGATTATTTAAGAAATTAAAGAAGAAAATGATGGCGAATTTGATTTAGACTTTTTTAAAATGAACAATAAGATGAACTTCAAAAAATTTCAATAAAATGATTTCTAAGGATATCATACTGATGATGCTAATAAGTTGAATTAGTAAAGACATCCTAAATCAGCAAATCTAAAACAGAATTAGATGCGTTCCCCACTAAATTCTCAAATTACTTCAGCTCATTTAAGAAATGAAGCTTAAATAGTTATAAAATATAATAATAGTTCTGCCATTTAAAGAAACAATGAACCTATTAAAGTTCCATTTCAAACTTCATTAGGATAGGATTTTTTAAGGTTGTTTGCCAACCATCATATGGAATAATGAGAGTGGTAATTATAAAACATAATTAAATTTTGTTATTCATATAAAAAAGAAGGATTCTCAATTTTTTTCTTTTTCACTTCTACATTTAATAGATTATCCATGAGATATGAAAGAAATGAATTGTAGTATTAGCCTTTTTTAAATTGCCTTGAAACGTTTATGCTCTCTATATATAGAATCAATCGATCCTATTTTTATTGTAAAATTCTGCTGGTTTTGTATGTTTTTGGTTCCTCTTAACTTTATTAATTCTTTGCTATTGAATAATAAAATTACTACGCTCATCGATTGATTAAAAGAGTTTATGATTATAAATAATTTAATAAGTTTTTATTCTCAACGTCCTTGTTCCTTCCCATATATATATGAGTATGTCCTTTATGGTATACCTATTCCTAAAATGCCTGGATTGATATTCTGAGAATTTAAGAATTGAATTAAAGCTAACATCATAACCCAATATTACGAGCATTTTAGAAGTTATTAAGATTTTGTTCATTCAAATCGCTAGACACAGGAGATAGTTATCGACTATTTTTTTTAGGCTTCTCCTTTTTCTTATCCTCTGGATTACATCCATGACATCCGCAATACTGACACCCATGTGGAGGAAGAGGTTTCTTTCTGACAGCCCTTGGAACCTGACATAAACATGACTATAATAATTTAAAAATATCTAAACTTTAGCTTCCTTCCCTTTTTTAGAGAATGCTTTCATGCATTTCTTACAGCATCCATTCACAGTTTTAAAATCCGAAGATTCATCTGAACTTGAATCCGAAGAAGATTTTCTCTTCTTTTTTATTTTTTTTTATTTCTTCTTCTCATCCTCGATAGAGCATCCCGTGCAATGACAAGACAAACACCCTTGTTCTCCGATTTAAATTCTTCTCTGTGAAGCAGGCACAATACAAACACAAGTTTTAGGTTTAATAGAACCTTTGTCAGATTTAGTACATTATTAACAACACTAAGTTATATTAATTAAAGATTACATATTTCCATCTACTTTTTTTCTTTTCTTATTGTTGTGATAATGAAGATTCATCAGCTAAAATAATTTAAATTGAATTTACTTATTTAAGATGATGGATCTCTTATAATTATCTCTTCATCATCACTAACCGACGAGTATTAATTACTAATTTCATCATAGACAGGGGATTTATCCTATTGAAATTCTTGCTGAATTAGTCTTAATAATTCTTGATCATTCAATCCATTATTATTGCTAGTCATTAAATTATTTATATTTATCAATCTTTATAATAAGATTAAAGAATAACTTACTAGAGAAATATGGAGAACATATAATTATATCTTAGTGGAATTATCAACATAAAATGAAATTGTATTTATGTGGCTCATATTCTTTGGATGAATGAAAATTGAATATCTTCAAGACATTTTTAATTTGTTGTGTATTCAACTCGGTCTCCCTTGAATTTGGCATTCTTGAAACCAACAAATTTCAATCCTTCAGGTATCTGCATAGACTTTATTTAAAAATCAAACTACCCATAAAATACTGAATTTATACTTTGTTTAATTCTTCAATATTATCACAAATCTATCCTTATTCCCCTTAATAGTTGCATTCACTAAATATAGTAATACATTCTTTAATGGGTGAATAAAGCAACATAACATCTCTAAACCCCCATGAAGCAACTTCTGCAGTTGCTTATAAGGTGGACGTGATGGTCAATTTGAACTCATCTTTATTATGCTATATGACTTGATCAATAAACATAATTCTTTCCTTCCATGGACTTTTTGGATCCCCACATATATTTGATTGACCTGGGTCATTCCAACCCAAGAGTTGACTCCATATCAATTTATCATCCCCTAGAATAATCAATTCTTCGCCATCCCATCTGTCTATCTTATACATGGTGATTCGTAATCTTAAGAAATTATGTGCTGGAATATCAGAGTAAACTTTTGAAACTAATGATTTCTGAATATTATAATCTATTTTACTTTAGCCAATATTTTGTAGCCTCCAAAAATGCTGACATCCTTACCACATTACGTGATAGGTGAAGATTCGACCTCAGATTGAATAGGATCAATGTTTTCGATCTACCATTCTTTTATCTTTTTAAAACTCTATGGTTCATTAAACTCTTTTGATAAAATAAACCAATCGTCTTTATTGACACATTTCCCTTCAATTAATTAATGCGTTTCTTCACATTTTAAACATTCATTGTCTCCTGATCCATAGCAACTCTTACAGAATTTTGGGCATTCAGCTGCAAAAGCGAAGAAATCTCTAACACCCCATGATTGGTCTTCAGGATCTAAAATATTGTTAAAAACTTAGTACCTTACTTTAAAGAGGAAGTGAATTTCACTGTCATCTCATTTTTCTTATGCTTTTAGATTATTTCTATGTTCACCAACTTCTACCCACACCCTGGTTTGGAACTAAACACTATGAATAATAGGGATTACTCTCCACATATGCTTAATCCATCTAGCTTTTAGAATGTCTGCTTATACACTTATTCATCATCAATGTACACATAGAATTGATCGTTATCCCATAAACCAAACTTAAATTAGATGATATTGAGATACCTTCCATAAAGTGAATTTGATCATTACTTTTTAATGAGGAGGTAGATTTTTTGTTTATTTAATTAAAACGGCCTTACTTCCAACATTATTGGGACCTCCAAACATTACAATTCCAGAGCATTAAAATGATTTTTATTTGCCATCTTGTAAATTCCATCCTTCTAATGAAGTGTCAGTATGAAACCAACTAAGATCAACTTGCTTCCAATATTTGCATTCATTAGCTTTATCATTATGACATATGCCGCATTGGGAAGGACATTCCTTAAAAGAGATTTTTATATTTCTTATGCCCCATGCTTATTTATCTGCACTCTGAACTTAGGTACTAGCTATGACGATAGTAGCTGTTGGGGAATTATGAGCTACCTCAAATTCGACGTCATAAACTTTATCACTGTTAGGAATTTTTGGACCACCACATAATTGTTTTCCTCCTTCTGTGAAACCCCATTTCATTTCCCACGGCACACCATCCACAAAGACTTAAATTTTATCATTTTCCCAATCGCCTATTCTACATAACTTTTGGGTAGTACTTCCATAATTGTATTATAAATTTAAGTCTATAATGTGGAGGAATCTTTATCATCTTTGTTAATGTAGTTTGGGAACCGAAAGACTTCAATCCTCCTAAAATTTATATTGGCCCACATTTCGTTACAACATCAAACGTAGCTTCATATTGATTTTGGATTACCCATCCTATGCTTGCTGACATTAAACTGTACCATTTAGATCGTCGATATTTTCACTTCTGAATGCCTCATATGTAGGTAACCATTGAGTTACTCCAAGATTTAGATTGGACATAACCAATAACACTCCTAAAGCCAAGTAGATACCCGACATTAAAAAAACGAATATATAATTATTATTATACAATTATTCATTGTTATTTTTTTCAGTAACTACGAAACCTAGTATTGGATTCTTACACTTAAAATCTAAATTTCTAAATTCAAAATTCCTATGGTGAATCAATTTTTAAGTAACGCTTCTCTTTTTTCAAATTTTGTAAATTTTAATTCAGACAATCCCTAATCAGACAAAAGAAACACTAGAAACTACCCTAATTTCAAATCTATAATTCAATTTTAGAAATTAAATTTTGTTAACCCTTTTCATCTTCTTAATATTTTAAATACTTTTTGAAAAAATATTAAGAAATTATTTGATAAAATTTATTTCCTTTTATTTCATAAAAAATATGTCAATAACAAAATAAGAATAAATTGCGACATTCTATTCGCCTAAATTTGAATAATAGTGTTACCTTTGCCAACATGGATTGCATGGCGCAGAACAACAGACTCATTCGAATGGAATCATCGTAGGAGAACCACAAGGTATAAAATTACATAATTTATTTAAATGTAGTTGTCTACTCAACCCCTGAAGTTATTGTTTCTCAAACCGTAGGACAACCATTACCAATTAAAAAAGAAACCACTTAAAACAGTCAAAAAAACATTTATAGCACGACTCAATAGATTGAGATTTTACAACCAAACCAAATGCAATATAATTAAAAACTCATTTAAACTCAACAAATTTAACAAATTTAGCACAATTAACTTAAGTCCATGGAGTATAACAACAGAATAACATAATAAATACCAATAGAACAATAAGTCATTGATTAAGCAACGATTAATAATCCACAATAAATTTCGACCTTTTATTCCGGAAAATATGAGGAGTAGTGCTATCTCTGTTAACATGGACTCCATGGAAAAGAAGTAGTGACCACACAAAATAATGGAATAATTGCCACACAAAATAATGGTAATGCTACATCTGTATTTCCTTAGTTGTTTATTAAACACCAGAAGTAGTAGTGTCCTAATCTGTTGGCTAACCTTTGACTGCAAGAAATACCACAACTGTTCAAAACTTCTCTTAAATCATTAATACTCCTCCTAGAAATGAGTACTTATATTCTCAATAGATTCAACAATCGCCTATTTAGAACATTCAATTAAATGTGCCATAAACTTAATAAATTATACCTACCATTACTTAATAATTATAATAGTCTCCTGTATAAAATTTATAAATCAGCGTTAATTAGCCATAAATCATTCCTTAAGTGTCATAATAAAATTATGTTTTCCAACAGATACCACAAGTGTAAAATTATCAGGTCGTTGCAGCCCCTTAATAAATTATATCAGAGTCTGTTACAACTGTTCAATAATAGTAATTAACCCCTTAAGAATAAGTTGAAAACTATTGGAGATATAAAATATATGAACTTCAAGAGAGAGTCTATGAATTAATGAATTAGATAAGCCTTCAAAAATAAGGAAGCCTATAACATCAGCGAACTGGGTCTTAAGTTAAGAAAAATACAGAAGATTCATTTAAAGTAAGAATCAATTAAATTGCATTAGGTTGAATAAGCTAAATAAGAAATTTTGTAATTAGAAAACTAACTCAAAACCAAACAAAAATCAAGTATAGATATAAGAAATAAACTCAATTTGATGATCTACAGATAAGATCCTACTGACGAAGCTACTAAATATAAAGAATAGGAACTGTAATAATTAAGACAAAAATATAATACTTTGAACTTCAAACATTAGAGTAATATGGAAGATATTGCCATGACTCAAGCCATTATAGAAGCCATCAAAAGTGGAAAGGGGTATAAATTGGTTTCTGTGAGGGAATAATAATAAACATCATCGTATAATTAATCGTACCAAGGGTAACAATAATATAATTAAGTAAAATGAATATTTAACATATATTAAAATATATTTTTTAAATTATTATTATATTAATTATTAAATTAACCTGTATTTTTGTGAAATATAAATAAAAAAAAAAAAAAAATGGTAAATAAAAAATCCAGTATATAAACTTTGAAAATTGTTGACCTATTTAGAAAGTAAACTTGAATTTGTCAAAATATTTTTTTTCACTTTAGAATGGGACATTAATAAGATTAATATTTTATAAATTTTGAAATACTTATATTAAATTCATCATTTTTATTATTCCTTGCAGTAATTTAGCAACTCATTAGCTGTTTCTTTCAGTTTTTCTATATTCTTAATAGACCAAGGTAATCTTTTAACATTGTATGCCTAAAATTAATTGTATTGGAACATGATACTTTTCTATTTGATGAGATAAATTCCCAAGATTTTTCGGCTAAGGCTTTAATTTTTTTATTCCTGTCATTCTCTATGATTGTATCAAGATTATCTAAAAGTAGGTTGGAATAATACCTAAAAAGGTCTTGTACTAATCTTAAAATTATTTAGATTAGAATAATTCATGCAAAAAATGGTTATTCATGGTTTTAATTTTGCTATTTTTTCTAAAAGGTAAGGATATCTATTTTAGTTTTTCTGCCTGATAAGATTGCTAAAAGAGCTTTGAAGCAGCTTTGAGATTCAGTTCTAATAAAGTGTAAAAGATAGAATTACTTGATTTTGTATTTTTTTCTTAGATTTAATGGAAGATCTCTCTAAAGGCTTTTCTTAGACAAAATTTGATTAATTCTTCTCTACTCTTCTATTAGGATCTAATTTTCTTGTTCAAAGTATCCAAAATCTTAATGACTTTCACACATTTTTTTTCTTTCAGTTTCTACATAATTTTTTTAAATTTGGATGAATTTGCAAATATCAAATGTATCATTTGCTCTAGATTTTCAAGTGTTATATCATCATAGTTCATTTCTTCAATTTATTACTGTATAGTTTAAATTTGACTAAAGTATTGTTATGGTTGTTTGGGTTGTGGTGTTTCCTTGACAATTTAGGCTAGATATACATTGTAAAGCCTTACATTAATCACATTTGATATCAAAATTGATAGGTGGCTGAGGAAAATTTATGTTGGAAGTTAAAATTGGTGAACCTAAATTATGAATTGGACTCATCAATGGATTCTAAAAATTCATCATTAAAAGAAATTGTGAATTTGTTGCCCAATATGGTAGAGGATACATACC